TGTGGCCTATGTGGAGGGGGTGGGGGTAATTCAAGACTGCCAATTAAAAATAGACACCTCTTTCTTTAAGCTGCGAGATACGAGACACGCTGCAAGGAGATAAAAGCGATCCAATGCCGAGCGACCTGCGATCGACGACGCGGTGGCGAAAAAACGAATTTTTCACTCGCGTGAGCGCGTGACTACGATTGGCAAGAGTTGATATAATCAAAAGTCTTCCTTCGGAAGGGAAGCACATCTCAACATTCATGTAATAGACCTACGGATTTCAGCTGATGTGTCCAAACGAACAGTCAACTCGTATGAAAGTGATTGTACTCCGTCAGGTATTTGCTATCGCTCCAGGAATCATTTATGAAACTTAATGTTTGATTCCTTGAAATAAAGATTTCTATCTGTATTGTAAGTAGACTCAAGATGGTGATGCTCGCGGAACATTTGAAAAGGGTCCAAAATGTAAACACACCAGAAAATGATTTGAAAATTTTCCCGTCACTATTTAATTCACATATAAGATGAAGTAATGAAATTGGGTTGTTAGCGGAATGCTTAAATAAAACAGCAAAAAAGGTTATCTTCCATTTAATTCCACTTAATTAATTTTGGTATCCATGACAGATACGTATTTCGACTACAATGTGCAGTCTTCATCAGTGTCATTCCCACTTATATAAGGATATTGAAGTATATTAGGCATTTATATTGTTCATAATAATAATAGTAACTGTATCTCAGTACACAACATCCAAAATATTCGAAAAGTTTTCAAAAATACATGAAAATCGATAACAATTTAATTTCAAAAATTAATAAGCCTTTTCGAGAATCAGGGTTGAAAATTCTCTGGGAAGAATCACCTGGGTGCGAGAGATATCCCCGCATAGAAAAATACCATTTCTAGAACAGTTCAAACTTCACTGACACCTTACTAGCTATGTTAACTTTTCACAAATAGTTTTGTTATGGTTTATGGAATGTAATAAACATTAAAGAAACACTACTTTCAACTGTTACAGTTTCTGGTATGTTTCAGCTAAATTTTGTTACGGTTGATCAACTATACTGAACTGTTACAAAACATTACGAATAAAAGTTGTAAACAACTTGTACAACGCTTACGTGTTTCGATTATGGTTGCTTTATGTTTTTACAATTTGTACAAACAGAAGAAAACGCTTTTGATTGAAACGGTGCTCGTGAGTTCATTGTGTTGTTTTGTTCGTTATTTTATTTTTAAAACCCTTGGTAATATTAGCTTAAAGCATAAAATATTTCTTAAAAGCGCATGCATTTTCTACACAAATATTCAGGGCTAACAGCGGTTTACATGTGAAGGAGATTTCGATGTTGGTGGCTCACATCATCCAAAAAGGAAATCGAAGCAGGTACGTTATGCCGGGGCCTTTTTATCTTCCAGAAATGGAATGGAGTTTGTTTTGCAGGGCAAATTCATTTATCTATTCATTTTATATTAGATCAATAAACATGTTACCAAGAGCAAGGGAGGTGTCCACAAAAAGAAATCTTGTAAATCACATTAAAATTAAAGAACAACCCATGATGGCTGTATTCCGGATAAGCTACGACAGTATTTATTATAACGTCAATAAGTATAGTAATTTATACCATTTCATAGTATATCATGAAGTTAACAACAATGGTTGGTTCTAAACCGTACTACCTTATTCGAAAGTTAATGGAAATAGTTTCACATATCCAACTAGAACCTTTTCTGATGTGGTAAGGCTATAGTTGTTTTGCTAAAAATGTATGAGAAAAAGCGAGATTTCGTATGGTGAACGTTCTTAACCACCCATTGTTCATATGGTTGGGTCTTCGAAAACCTTAATCAATATGGTCAAAACTTTATCTAGGTATGGTTTGATTAAAGTTGACTGAACCTTTCTCATTATGGTGTTCAGAGGAAGATAAACCATTTTTAATGTGGTAATTGTATGGTTGTGATTTATGCGGGTCATTCTCTGAGGTGAATCTCTGCTTGTCTCCTAGGAGATTTTTCCTGACACCACTGGAGAGATTGTTAGACACAGCACGAGAGAGTGAGAGAATTAACAGTTCACTGCTTGTCTGTCTTTACACTCACTTCCGTGAGAAAGATGGCAGCGTAAATGCGTTATCGTTTTTCCAATAATTCCGACAGAGCTTGACGTGAGTGTGTGAAAACATCAATAAAAATTGCTGAAAAACGTATACAAGAGGACAAATTGTGAAGTTTTTTCACGATGAAAAAAGCCCGGTTTGACGACGATACCGAAAAAGTGGTTGTGAATAGACTGTTTCTATGCACCACCTATGTAGAGCTAAGGGATTATGAGAGAAAATGTCAACCAAGCCGTTTGTTTACATTAAAAATTAACGCATATCTAGATAGAGCTGGAATTAGGGAATAACAGCTTTTGTATACAATGACTTCTCTCGATAATTTCAAGGAATTCAAGACATGCCCACGCAAACCAACATAACCATTAGGTAGAGGAACTCTTCCCCTACTCGGTGGTAATGTTTATTTGCGTTGGCGAGACCTGACTTTCTAGAAATCATCGAAAGAAGTCATTGTTTACAAAAGCTGTTACGCCCTTATTCCAGCTCTATCAAGATATTGAAATTCTACTTCTGAATTTAAACAAGAGTTGAAACAGCAATGAATAAAACGATCTAACAATCAAGACAAATGTTTTGAACTATCTTAATTTTTTAAATTGGGTTTCATAGTACTTTGAAAGAATTAGTCATTGAATTATAGATACAAAGTCTGTTCAAGTCGAGGTTCATGTACAGCTTCCAGTATTAGAAGGTCATCATATCATCGTTATTGCAATACTCTACTACACTTAATCTACCTGAAATGAGAGTTACTTCCACTCACTTGCTAAAAAAAGTTGTTTTCAGCATTATGAAAATAATGAAAAGTTATAATGATAATTAGTACTTGAAATTTAGAATAAGAGGTTGCAAAGAATGTGTTTATCTTTCAAAACCTGTCAATTTTGCTTTCAGAGCGTCACAATTAGCGATTTTATGATTCGTGAGCGTTCACTCAGAGTGAGCGCTCACGAAACGTACAATCGCTGATTGTGACGCACTGAAAGCAATATTTACAGGTTTTATGTGTCAAACACCTACTTTATAACCTCTTCTTGTAACTTGCAAGTACTTATTATCATTATAACAGTTTTTTATAGCAAGTAAGTGGAAGCAACCCTGCCTGAAATAATATTTCGGTCGTTTTTTTTTCAAATTTTGTTTTTAAAACCAGAAGGTTTGCTGTCTGCAATATTTATCTTGGGTGTTGCGATACTGTCTGAACCAATTCCATACTTATGCTGGGTAGTGTATGTATAGGCTGTAATGTGAACGGGATGTAAGCATTTTATTAATTTGGCTGATTTTGAGATGTTTCCATCAGTGTTTTGTTGTTTTGCAAGAAATAACTTTTAAAGACATATTAAGCTATTTTGCACCAAAGTATAACAGTCTATTGCTGAGTTGGAAATAATCCCTCAAAATTACTTTTACTCATAGAAATAAAAAAAAAACAATATTTTAAAATTTGAGTCCTTTCACCGCTAGCATGTTTTTTTAAATAAATGTAGTAGTAAATTAGAGACAAGCAGCCACAAACCGAGTTAGTTGCCGTAACATTGTGAGCAGGTGCAATCTTGAAGGATGAAGGACCAGGAAAAGTATGAAATTAACATATGTACACGGTGTTAGGCCGTTTTAGCATGTGGGCCTATGAATGATTCGAAATATTTAGTTGCTCGGCCGTTTTGAAAATCAAGTTAATTTTAATGATTTTGATCAATAATGCGGAACATTCGTATACGGCTGGTAGCTATTTAGCGGTGCTACAGGATGGTATAAAAAAACGATTTGTTTACATTTTACTCATAGGCCCTTTTCAAATGTTACGCGAGAATTGTAAGCTTATAGGCTATTATCTCGGTTGGGCTCTCTATATAATACAGAATACTGACAGACGACTCGAGCTATGGTGCTCACTAGACCAGTGTAGATTTTCAGCTCGTATTGCGATTTCATAATCAGGAACTTGTTAGACCTCAGATACCAAGAAAAAGTTTTAGAATTGTTATATTGAAAGCAGTGATGGGAAAATGAAATCTCACCAATGCCCAAGATCACGCTTGATTTTCGTAGACAAAAATCAACAAACAAGCCTCATCAGCTACAATTCTAACCGGTGAGTTTGAGATTCAAGAGTTTTGCTTTACACCCGAACGTCAACTGTCAGCTTAATTTATACTCATGCAGTGATGGCGGTTGGATACGGAAAACTAGGAGAAGATTACTGGCTAATCAAGAACTCCTGGTCTAACTACTGGGGCAACGATGGATATGCTTTAATGGCGGTGAAGGGTAACAACTGTGACCGTACCACCGAGGCGACGTATGTAAATTTGAAGTAAGATTTCTGTTTAAATTAGAATTAAGTACAAGAAGTAGTTTTATTTTCGGTTATGTTTCATCTTTTACGAGATGGAATAAAAATGGTTTTCGAATTTTGTAACTTAAAATAAAAAAAAAATTATAAGTTATTGTTGAAATGAGTTTTGTTTGGTAATTGACCGAGTGTTGGTAATTTGCTGCTGAAAAGTAGGGTCATTACAAGGCACAAATACTTTTCACGGCACAATCACACGGAATTTTTATTGCTTCCACTCAACCTAATCATCTTACAACTTACTCGAAATTTCCCGGAACTCCAACCGAACGTCTTAGCTTGGATCCTCGTAGGGGGCACATATCCAACAAGTTTGTATCCGCACCGGAGACTGCTCGACACCCTCGGACAGTTTAGCATGTTTTAGTTTCTTATCAGCATCGATTATCTCCATGATGTGATCCTTGAAATACTTGTTGAATACGTCTACCGTCACCAGGCAGGCCTTCTTGATGGTGATAACCTCGGAGTCACCCTGGAAGTTGTCCTTGGAGAAGACGCCCAACGTTTTGCCAACGTTGGAGTTCTTGATTATGTCCAGCAGCTTTTTCAAAATTGGCCTTGTCTTTGTCGTTTTTATCTTGAACCAACAGCTTCACCGACGGAATGCCCTCCTCACCTAGGGTTACCATATGGTATCCTAAAGGAGGACATGTCCTCCTTTTTCAATAATTTTTCTACATCCTACTTTTGCCGGAAAATGTCCTCCTTTTTAATCCTTTTTTTTCAGTAACATATTCATAAAATTGTTTTCTAAGCGCGTTGTTTGCAGAGCATGTTTGTTTAACTATGTTGCAACCTCATCTTATCTAGCAAATGCCATTCGATACTGGGACCAGGAGTATACTACAGCTGTCAACCGCCCTACACAGTTAGAAATGATTATCGACTTCAATAATATTTACCGAACTTTCAACAGCTACTGTTCGGTAAAAATCAGACATACATTCGTTTAAAAGCTTCAAATCAAGGAAAACATCACCGCAATGGCAAGACTTGATTATTATAACAAGGCTGACAATGTTTTGAAATTAAAATTTAGTGAAGCAGCTTTTGAAATGAGGGTCAAAGTTTTACCGAACGTTCAGCTGTTGAAAGTTCGGAAAAAAAATTACCGAAGTCGGTGAAAATTTCTAAGTGTGTTTATTTAGGCTCTGGTACATTTGGTGAATTTTCACTTAAATTTGACAGGTGGATTTTTTTTTAAATAAACCTTCTATTCTATCATACTTATTTCTGACAGACCAGGAATCAAACAATTTCTCAAAAATCGGACGATCAATAACTGATCGATTTTCGAACATTATAATGTATTTTCGAAGTGTTTAAGTAAAAACTCATCACATTTAAACACAGCTTTAGATTGAATCCAATGGGATTTTCGTCCTATGGTGAAACAGTGTTAAAATCATCAGGTAGCTTAGATGTTTCTATTTCGAATATTGATTTCAATCAGCGATGACATGTATCCTGATTTTTGATCACATTAAAACCTTTGATAAAAACTCATTGCCTCCTTTAATGTTAAGAAAAGGAAGCATTGTCCTCCTTTATCTTCAAACCTCAAATGATATGTCCTCCTTTTCAAGTTTTTGATATGGTAACTCTATCCTCACCGTCCTTCTCGATCTGCTTCCAGAAGTCGATCTTCTTGCTGGTTAGGAAAAAGATGGACTTTTCACACAGCACCTTAATCGTATCGATCAGCGCGTATCTCAGCAGCCAGGTTTGCAGCGAGTTGGATTTGCTGTAGATGGTTTCCTCGTCTACGCCAACCGCCGTCAGAATGCAATCTACCTTCTTCAGTGAATCATCATGGGAAAACTCTGGTTCCTTCCAGTTGGCGTAGAGGCGTTTTATTCGCCGGTAGAAGGAATCCTTACCGAGCACGATATTCGACATTTTCAGGGCCGTTGCGAATGCAAACCAAATCCATTCAATCTGTCAGAAATACCGGGTTGCCAAAAAATCACAGCTTGCTCCATGACCGGCACAATCGGCATAATCGGCACACTGAGAAAATGTTGACCCAAGATTGGTGTGCGGAGTGACCTACCCCTTGATGTTGGGCATCGAATTCCCGGGTTTTTCCTAATGTTCCCGATTATTTTTCAAATTTCCGGATATTTCCCGATTTTCCAGCATCAGTGCTGAGATTTGCCATTCTGCCAAGTTTGTCAATAACACTTTCGCGCGATATTGACAAAATTGTTTATCACGTAGTCACTGATAAACTTGATCTTCAAAAAAACCTTTGGCAAAATCTCATTCATGTTTTCGTCAATGACAAAGATTCACCAGGCAACAAAACGTTTAATTTCGTGCATTCTGTGTCCATTATTGTTATCCAAGCAGTTCAGGACGGAGATGCTTGTTCAACGGCTCCATATAATTGTTTTGCTCAAGTAATTTAATTTCGTTACAAACTAGTTAATAAATAAAACTGCACATGGTCGTCACTGACAGCATTGTCATTGACAATTCAGTGCCAACATTTCAAAGGGGCGTAATTGCTTTTGTAAACAATGACTTTAGCCGTCAATTTCTCGTGAATGAAATCTTACCTATCCAAAATAACAATGCTAGCTGGTAGAGGAGACATTCATCTACCTGCTGGTGTTATTATTTTTCATTAGTGAGCGTTTATTCGCGAGAAATCGATGGCTAAAGCAATTGTTTACAAATGCAATTACGCCCCTTTGAAATGTTGGCACTGAATTGACATGGTTTGCCTTGACGATGACTGTTCGCTCAAATGAGTGACCAAAGCTGAATTTTGAATATCGCCGAGTATTGTCGAGATTTTGCAGCACTGTCCAGGATTTCCCGGTTCAAGGGCCCCACCCTGATTATAAACCATTCTAAAATTCTATTAAATCGAATTCTTACACTTTCTTATTTAATGTGCCTCACATGCTGAAATCAGTAGCTTTGTACATCATAGTCCAATATTATACAATGTTCACTTTATCGATGGAGCCGGTGCCGGTGGTGTAGTCGTAAGCGTGACTGCTTTCTAACACCCCAATGGGTCTAGGTTCTGAGGCATAAAAATCTCTGGTCACGTCTTCCTTCGGAAGGGAAGTAAAGCCGTTGGTCCCGGCCCATGTTGTGTTGAATGGGTGCGATATCCTACGCAGGTGTGGAAGCTGCCTTCCTGCACATTCGATTGTCGTCAATGGATGGCAATCGATGTCCGTCGGTGATTGGCACTAGATTGCGGAACAGAGACCGACGTTAAATAAAGGAAAAAGAAGACTTTATCGATGCTCACTATATCTCGATTCTAATGAGGCGTCACAACACTCTTGTTTTCAATTTTTACCTTTGCAGCAAAAGTTATGTTCGTCATTGTCAAATGCAAAACATTTCAAATCCATTTGTTTTAAATAGTAGCGTGATTTAATGCGCAATACATTAGAACTAATGGTGAAACAGTTTTTATCATTGTAAAATATGGAAAAATAGAAACCAAATCATCTTGCATCAAATCACATGAGAATTCAAAAACCAGATAAATGGCAGTCCAACTGAGTGCCCACCACAGCCACATATGGACAAGTTATGCATGCCTACGGGCAAGTGGTCAGAATCTGACATGATCAAAAATTCATCATCAAATCACAAGCCGGTTGGCGATCTTATTGAGTACCCAGAACCGCATTAGTTACACCCGTTCATGTTCCGGATGTCTCCGATGAAATGGCCAGAGCCTGACTTCAGAAAAATCTCATGACGCGACACGATACATCAAATCTTATAGCGAAATCGTGTGAAACCGAACTTTTTGTCAGTGCGAACCTCAACCTGAGGTAGGTTTTAAAAACAAACTGAGTCAGAAAACAAGCAGACCCAATCTTGAAATCCGATCCAGGTTGAAACTGAATAATAAACGAATTCGCTATTATAATATAATTTGGAAGAAGGTTTTGTATGAAGGGATCGATGTCACCGGTGGACAGATTCAGGTTTTCCTAGAAATTTGACAGATTAAGATGGTTTATTTACGAAAAACCGTAAATAAATTTCCCCAATCCGTCAAGAAAAAATTAAGTTAGCATATCGTGCACTTATCTATAAAAAAAGACAAGTAATATTATATTGGATATAGGGAATAAATACACTGTTCCGTAAAAACAAATCCAAACAGCATTATTATGTGTTGCATCCGCGAATCCATGACAGCTTGTCTACTGTCAGATGATCATGAGATAAACATTTGTAAACATCGCATAACCTCACACATTTCTCTCCGGATGCAATTGCAAGCCCAAAATCGATTCACGGATCACCAAAAAAGCAAACATACAAAAAAGGGGAAAACTTACCAGAAAATCATTGAACAAATTGATATTCACAGCTATTTTTCGCGTTAACCAAACGTTTTACACACTTATTTCGTCCAGCAAAATTTGCCACAAGACCTAGTAGTAAATAATGTCCAAAAATGGCGATTTCCTGCACTCTTCAGGTTCACTCTTTCTCATCCGATAACCGTATTCCGCAAGAACCTGGTACAACACGAACGCGCGTCGGATTGAATTCACCCTTCCGGTGACGCGGGGTGGTTTCCGGCTAAACGGATCAGCCCAAATGTTGTGGAAAATATTCCGATAACAAACTTTCAACTTCCTGCACTTGCACTGCGCCCAACAAACTCGCAGGAGGAAAACTTGCCTGTCTTCTTTGACACGTTTGAGGCTTTCGCACGGTCCGCACACAACTTGAAACCCTTTCCACTGATTGGATTGCTGCTACTTTTTCTGTTGCAGTGCCGCCGCGGTTACCGTTGATCGGACACCACAATCGCCAGACGGAACTAACGAAGACGCGACGGATTTTTCTTCCTTCACTAACACCGTAACTTCTTGCGCGAGGTTTTTCGCGTTTTCGTTTCTTCTCCGGTGCGGGACGGAAAACCTCGAAAACCTCTTTCGCAAGAATCAAGATGGCGTTGATTTACGTTTTGACAGTTGCCACCGTCTGCACTGGTGTTGGTGTTGTTTATTTACATCGCTAGCCTATCTCATGAGAAAAATGCTGATAGGGCACTGGATTCGAATTTCAATCAAGTTGGGAAATCAATGTTTCGGGCACGATCATCATTGGTATCAATCTGTACCAATTCGCATCCACTTATTTAATAGTTTTTCTTGTTGAATGCGAACAGTCGCTAGGTTTAATTAAACTGGAAATTAACAAAACACGCAAAGCAATTTCCTAGTAAAACTTGAATGAAACTTTGTTGACGTTTTTTCAGCGGGAACTACTCAGCGAAAGCAACTGTTCTAGTAATGGGCGTTTCATTCCATTTTCATGAATCGATTTTCCCACTTCGATTAAACCCTCTTACACCGTAAAAAATGGATACGTCGACATAAAGTGTCTTGCACATACACAGAAAAAAAAAGTTGTTGAATATTACATCCAAACTGCTGCAACCAGGTATAGAGATGAACTAGCCTATAGAGATCTCCAAGCGCAATCTCACGAACACTAAAGTTCAACGTTCATATATAAAAATGAAGAAGAAGAAGAACCAAAAAGGTATCGCGATATCACAACTACTTAAAAAGGTAGCGCGCGGTCTCACGCACACTTTTGTGCATCTGGAGAACTCTATAGAGATTTTCACGCACGGATGTATTGGTGCGATATGCGAGAACGTGTTAGTGAATATCCGAGGAAATTACATAACAAATCGATGTCAAACTCCTTTTGACAGATCTACTTTCATACATTTTTTAGGTTAGCCAGAGGAAAATAATAAACAACTTTACATGGCATTTCTCCCTCTAGTGTGCGTGCGTTAAACGTCACTAATCTATATGGCTAAAAATCTCTTAAATAAAGATATAAAAAAAATGCTGCAACCAGGGTGGAGGCGAACCAGCCTCAGGCTGAAAGCCTCCTAAATAAAGATAAATCAATCAATGCTGCAACCAGGTCAATCCATCGGTTGTGTAATATAACGTAGTACATGGTAGTACGATGTACATCGATTTTGCGAACAAAATTACATCCATTGATGTAATATTGTATCTGCTTTTTGCTGAATTACAATGATCGATATTCCATTTTTTTTTGTTGTGTCAAGAGACGTTTCTTAGTGGAACTGACAGCTAGAAATCTAGAGTGTGTGAGTGATCTGGTGTGAATGGTGCTGAATGTAAACATAAACAAAGCAGAAATTCACATGAGGATAAACTGTTCTTGGTAAACAAAAAAGTCAGCTGATTGGAACTGTCTCGTGGACAGCTTTATTGAAGGCAGAGGCTTCCATATGGCTTGATCCTTCAATACGTCCTCTTGGCAAATTTCGTAGTCTAATACTCCAGTAGATTAAAAGCAGTGGAGTGGCCTTGAGAAACTATGCTGCTGACTTGTTATTTGCTTTTTTACTTGTTGATAAATTTGGTCGTTTACGATGGATTCAAAAAGTTTTGGAATGCATGAAATATCCACGGCAGTAATGTGACGAATGACTGAATGTTAAACGCTGGCCAGACTGAGCAGTTATAACATGTTATAACGGTTGTCAAATAATTGCAACACAGAAACCACCATCAAGATAGGTGCCCCGTAACGTGGGTAGATCATCTTTTCGTGGTACGTTACGGGATGTAAGATCTACCACCGATTCCTAGTCCTGACTACTTCAAACTAGGGGAACAGGATTTTTCAGTAATCCAAGGAACACAGCTTAGTCCTTGTTACTTTTTATGCCTTGTTGATAGTGACAAAACTCGGCTTTGTCTACCGAGGATGATCTTGAAACAAGGAAAAAAATGAGTTAGTTGTCTTCATCTATGTGATTCCTAATCTTCTATTCGTTGTTCCCTAGTTTGTAGTGGTTAATACTAGGGTTCTGATGCATGGTTATTATCAGTGTCAGACCTTAATTTTGTTGCTAAGGAATCCAATTTTGACTGACAAAGGGGGTGTTTCAACACTCCGAAGGCTATGAATAGCGGGACCTTTCAATTAGAGTCAGATCCTTGCGATAAATGCAAGAGTGGCAACTGTAAAAAAAATCGAATACTTCATCATTTCTCAATAGTGATGGAGTAATACGACATGCACTAAACTAAGGACACGGGATATACTATACAATAGATCAATTTACTGGTCGCAGTAGTGTTAGGTCCCGAACAGAGGAAAAAAATCCATCAAGATAGCGCTATAACATGTTATAACTCTGTAGTCTGAACGTACTATTATAGTACGTTCAGACTACAGAGTTATAACATGTTATAGCGCTATCTTGATGGTGGTTTCTGTGTTGCAATTATTTGACAACCGTTATAACATGTTATAACTCTCCAGTCTGGACAGCGTTTTAAAGTGAACTTTTTTTTTATTCATACTTTTTTGGACGTATTGTAGATCTATTGTAAATCAAGAGCAAATTTTCATTACGTCGAATGTAACAAAGGTAAACAAAGTCGAGCTATCAGTGTCAATCGATTCTCCTGCTATTACACTATATACTGTCCAAATATAGGATCAAATCCCATTTTTAAATTTATTTACTAGTCCAATTGCTTTTTGACGTAATCACCTTCCGATCAAAATAGTTTTCGATGTTACTTAAGTCACCCAATTTCTATGGAGATGCCGTTTGACTTAAGTAACAGCGCTGAGAATCCCGTGAAAAGTGTACGTTCGTCGTTTCGCTTTCTTATTATTAAAGTGAATAAATCGAACTGTTTGTTGCTAAGATGATTTCGGTGGTCCTAAAATGATGAATGGGCTGCACGTAAGGAGACGTAATTGATAATTCTCCCGAATATCCTGGTAAATACACTTTGACTTAAGTAACAATAGGGGCCACCAAACGACGTATAATAACTTTTGACTAAAAAACCAGTATTTTTAGCATGAAAGCTAGCGATTTGCATTTGTATGATTAAAACCCTGCTAAATATGTTAACCATTGCTATCACTATGAGATTATATGTGTTTACTTGGAAATAGGAATAACTTTTCGGTCATCAAAACAAAACTTTATTTTTCTCGGATTGGTGCGAATGTTACTTACGACATAATGTGCTCTTGAAATAATAGATCGTATGAATAAAAGCGTTTACTTTACTTTTCCCGTTAGAAAAGCACGGGAAAGTAAAGTAAACTCTTTTTATTCATACGGCCCAATATTTTAAATTTACTTGTATTATATACATACAATAAGATCGATTGTTTGCAATAGATTTTGTTGTGGTTGTATTTTATTTTATGGTAATTAATCATTTTGTTCGACCATTTTCCACAGAGATGGCGTTGTTCCGCTGGTAGGAAGTGATAAAAATCCCCATATAGAAATTGAGAGAAGTGGGTATAATTCGCTTTCGGTGCATATTCAGGTCAAAAAAAGTGAACGACAACCTAAAGACATTAGTCAGGGGCTTTGTCGTTCAGTTTTTTCCCGGAAATTAATACTAAACAAGCTACAATTAAATAAAAATGATTTTTCCCCATACAATTTTACCTGCCTTACTACCAGTCCCCAGAGATCCAAAAAAATTCAAATTTGAGAGAGAAATTCTCTCTCTCGAGCTCAATCTCTCAACATGCCATGTATTTTGTTGACACTCGATTTGTGATTTCCCTTTCACAGATTACAAAATAGAGTACCTAACACTACAAAACATGTCTGGTACCTCTATATATGCACTTGTTTTAACATTTGAAGTCCCTCCTTTTTTACATATCCTGCGCAAAAGATACTTTATGCCCCGCCCCATACATAAAATTCGGCGGGAAATTCTGTGAGGGGTGAGCAATTTTGTGTGCAGAATGTGTAAAAAAGGAGGGACTTCGAACAATAATCTAAATGCATAAATAGAGATACCAGGCATGTTTTGCACTGCAGTGTCCTCTGTGAACAATTATAGGAAAACAGATTGTGTGTAGTTTCCGATAGATGTCACCGCAAACAACAGCTGTGACATCTGATGGAACATGAATGCAGAAGCTTGACAAAATGATCAATTGTATGGTTACTCTTTCCAGGATAGGACGTTTTGATATGTTCGTCTAGCAAAAATATTATCTCGGCAAAAACTGACGAGTACAATTTTTTGAGTGCACATAAAATTGAAACGTTCAGGACGCAGCCGATCATCTGAAACATCTTGGCAGTGCGTGTTTATATCTTCAAAACGTCAAACGTACAAAACATGTGCGCGTGATTCTCCGGGTGATATTCGTGTTCCCCAGCAAATTTGTTCCAAGATTTGCCTCGTTAATTTCCCGTGGATAGAGCAGAACACAAACCTGTAAGAATGGCATCCAAGGACGTAGAACGCATGGAATTGGCCGAGGACCAGAACATCGAAGATGCCATCATAGCCGGCGAAAGTGACGACGACGATGATGATCAAGTGGATGATGCTATGGAAAACGAGGAGGAAACCAATGGACAGGTTTACCTTCCGGGACGCAAATTGAATAACGACGAAGAACTGGTGTGCGACGAGTCCGCGTATGTGATGCTCCATCAGGCCCACACCGGGGCGCCATGTTTGAGTTTTGACGTTGTCGCAGACCCTTTAGGGGAAGATCGGGAAAAATTTCCACTAACTGCATTTTTGGTGGCTGGTACTCAGGCTGCCAGGACACACGTCAACAGTGTCATCGTAATGAAGATGTCCAATTTGCATAGGACATCCAAGGAACGGGACGAAGATGATGACTCCGATGCGGACGAGTTGAGTGACGATGAAGACGAGAATTCGGATAAGCGACCGCAGATGAACTGTGCTCTCATCAAGCACGCAGGATGTGTGAACAGGATTCGGGCAACGACTTTCAACAATACACATTATGTGGCCACTTGGAGCGAGATGGGACGGGTCAATATATACAACATCAATGATCAGCTAGCGGCCGTGGATGACGAACATTCGTGCAAGAATTACGAGACCAACAAGGTCGGTGACGGAGTGAAACCGGATTTCACTTTCTCCGGACATCAGAAGGAGGGTTTCGCTATTGACTGGTGTACCACAACGCGTGGTATGTTAGCAACGGGTGATTGCCGACGGGATATCCATATTTGGCGCCCGAATGATAAGGGCTCGTGGACGGTTGATCAGCGACCTCTGGTGGGACACACGGACTCGGTAGAGGACATCCAGTGGAGTCCGAACGAAGCGAATGTACTGGCTACCTGTTCGGTGGACAAATCAATCCGAATCTGGGACTGTCGAGCACCTCCGTCAAAAGCCTGTATGCTGACGGCGGACAATGCCCACGAGAGCGACATAAATGTGATCAGCTGGAACAGAAACGAACCTCTGATTGCTAGTGGTAAGTGATATTTGATGGTACGCTTAATTTTTTTTTTTTTTTTTTTGTCTTTATTTTAGAGATTTTTAGCCTGAGGCTAGTTCATCTCTTCGGTACGCTTAATGATTTTTGTTGAATTAATGATTATTATTTTTCAGGTGGTGATGACGGTTTCTTCCACATTTGGGATCTACGTAACTTCCAGTCGAAATCGACCGTAGCCACATTCAAGCATCATACTAATCATATAACAACCATCGAATGGCACCCGAAAGAGTCGACCATTTTGGCCACCGGAGGAGACGACGATCAGATTGCCCTGTGGGATCTATCGGTCGAACGAGACGACGACGACGAACGAACTGATCCAAACCTGAAGGATCTGCCTCCTCAGCTGCTGTTCATTCACCAGGGACAAACGGAAATCAAGGAACTGCACTGGCATCCTCAGCTTAAGGGTGTGCTTTTCTCGACGGCACACAGTGGATTCAACGTTTTCCGAACAATCAGTGTATAGACGAGTGTAAAACATGGCGGTTCTTTTCTTGTTCTTCATAATTAAGACCTTATTCAGTTTGTGTCACTTTAATAAGCTTCAAAAATATAAAAGTAATGAAATAAAAGAACACACCCCCGAGATCACTGTTCGACGTTTTGATCAGTCAGTTCACCATGCTTTATCATTGACAGATTCACGAGATGCCGCATCGTTGGTCGACCGTGGGGACAGTTCTGAGGAGAAACGCAAAATTTCTTATAATCTGCACTGTTCTCAGATAGAGGACATTTTTTAACTTACCCATGGTTGTTCAATTTCTCCCATGTGACTCAGCAGCTTCTTCATCTCCGCCATGGATAGCGCCTTCCCGATCATAACCGACTTGCGACAGGCTCTGGAAGCAAACATGGCTCGGACCCGGGATGGCCGGCAAACCGTGTTCGGTGCATCCTGCAGCATGAATATCAACTCATCGATATCTTCCTTACCAAATTCCCAATTTTTGCTGAAAGGTTTGGCGACCAGTTTGATCTTCTTGGTCGGTTCCGCCGATCCGTCAATCTCGAACTTGAACCCATTCATCTCGAATATCTCCAGATTGTCCATCAAAATCATCTCGTTGACGGCCGTCAGTTCTAGCTGCTGTGGAACGACTAGTTTCTGATTCTGCAGCACTGTTGTCCGTTGCAAGTCTTCGAAGTTGTACTTTTCGTCGGTGGCATGCTGGTCTACGATAAACAGATCCTGCTCAAGCCGTGCAATGATGAAACCAAGATTGAACTGTCCAATGATTTCCATCTGAGCAAATTTGTCCTTGGATATTTCTGTTTCGAGTTCGTCTTCGGCGGAACGATTGCTGGAAGGATTGATTTTACTTTTGAACTTGAGTCTACTAAGCGATGCACTGCGATCTGATGCCTCTTGCTGTGCCATCTGGTGCTCCTGGTCAATCAAATTCTTCAATGAAGACATATCGATGTCCAAGCTCTTCTTAGTGGTTTCTTGAAAGGAATCTCTGAAAGAGGGTTGGTCCAGTTCTATCACTTCCACTTTAAAATCCTTCGTAGGACTTTTTATTCCTATTTCGCGCTTCGGGGTTGATATCTCCATCATGAATTGTGCATCACGTATCGGAGCTGTAGCATTAGGAGCTATCTCGTTGCACGAAATCTCCTCGAATTTCAATTTAGGTCTGTCATCGACCGGGATTTCAGTACGACATCTGATGAGATGAACATTTTCTTCAGGGGAATGTGAGGCTAAGAATAGAGTAGAATCACGTTAGAACTGCTCAATCCCGACAAAACCGAGCAAGATCCTTACCTTTGGGAGTAGAACTTCCAACGATGCCCGACGAGTTCAGAATCATTAACTTAGCTTCCTTCTCGTCGTCAATCGGACATGTAGGATTTTCCTCTAACACGTTCTCAATCAATGTTGAATTCCGTGCCACTTTTGGCAATTTCTCCGTACTTTCTTCATCACTCAACACCACTCTACCGTTTCCATTCGATAGAGCCTTGGGATTCACACTTACGAAATCATGCATCTTCAGCGTATATCCGTTTTCGTCCCGTTTCCGCTTCCCAGCGACCATCTTTTCCAAGGAACTTTCACCATTAGATTTCGCAGCCGCGCTTCTGTGACCAAACGCTGCCAACAGTCTTCTGGGATTGGCAGTTTCCATGCTTTCATCAAGCGAATCTTCGCCACCGTCTGTCGATTTTACGGAAATGTTCAACAACCGCGTAGTCGCGCTAACGTCCAAATTTTGCATCTTGAAGGTTGACGGAATGTCTTCGTACGTTTTCAGCAACGACTTTTTGAGAGCCAACAGCAGAATTTTTTCATTATTCACCAGAATTTGCCGTTTGTCTGGTGCAAGGTTGATATCTACATCCGACCGATCCATTTTCAAATTGAGATACACGAAGGGATTTTGGTTTGCATTGTACTTATGATAGGTTTCATTCACCAGCTTCATGATCGACTTAGGTTCACATGGTCTTGAATTGACAAAGAAAAATTGCCGATCTTTTGATGATCGTCCCGAACCGTGAGCACAACTGGAAACGTACCCATCAATTGTGAATCTGGATAAATTCAAACTATCCACTTCTTCCTGCGTGAGAGATAAACTGTCGTCGAAATCACTTTCGTTGAGATCCATAATCTTGCCACTGTTGCTTATGGCCGGTTTCAGTTGAAGAAGTTCCAACGATTGCTTAGCCCCAAATACAGTCGTTATATTGTCCAGTACCGAGTCCGTGCCTTGCGTTCTCATAATCACACTTTTAACACCCTGCTTATTCTGATTCGTGCAGATAATTCTGACTCCAACCGAAACCAAACAGTATGCTTGCAAAATCTGGCACATCTTGATAAACTCCCGTTTGATATTTTTCTGGAATTCCTTCTTCCTTACCGGAAGTGTCGAAAATAGATTGGATAGAGTAACCGTGGTTCCCACCGCCCTAGCACAGGGAGTCCTCTTAACGATAGTTCCGCGATGATCCAATTCAAGCCTGATTCCGTGGGGTGCCGTTTCATGTTTTGTGGTGATTGCCATATCGGATAATGCGCACAGGGAGCTCAATGCCTCCCCACGAAAGCCGAACGTCGCGATGCTGGCCAAATCCGAAAACTCCTTTAGTTTCGATGTGTGGTACTTGGCTGTTAGTCCTTCAAAGTTCTTCTCTTCGACCCCACTGCCATTGTCGGCTACTTCCACCAGTTCGGCTCCTTGCTCTTTCAACTTTATCTCGACGACCGTCGCTCCGGCATCGATGGAATTCTCCACCAGTTCCTTCACGGCCGTCGCCAGGTTGAGCACTACCTGACCGGAGCATATCTTGTGTACAGTATCCCTATCGATGGCACTGATTTTCTTGGAATCTTCGTTAGTCGGAGTGGGATCGATTACGTCTTCAATTTCAATCATTGTTACTCCAATTTTAAAGCATTTATAAATCTTTATAAAGATACAAAATAAACATGAATTTGAAAAGGTTTTATGCGTTATATGCTCTTGTTTATACTTTTTCGTGCGATCGATTTCCGCGCGCGCATGTGGCTGCGTGCTTGTACTCAACAAATCTCGCGTCACTTTTCGAATAGACCAATGTAACATATTCACCATTTTGAGAAAATCGAAGTTGAAGTTCGAGAGATTATTATGTTAACCGTTTAGAAACAATACGTTTTGCAATACTATTTTTAATGTAGTCAGTGAATAATAACGTTGAAAATTCAGTATAAACGGAAAAATCGTAATTTTTTCTTTGAATTTCATGCTACAATATAGAAAAAAAAAACACATAGGACGTTTTGACTAGCCAAGTTGTACATCGGACATGTTACATTGGACGATTTCAATGAGTGTTACATACTAGATTCCCGTTCACAGATTTAAGAGTAGAGTACCTAACTTTAGATTGGCCCCGCTTTTACAAAATGAGCACCAATCATGTTAGGCAGTCCAAATGACCGAAGTAACAATCATGTACCCATCATTTCAAGCTGTACATTGGACAATTTATGACCTATGATTATCTCAAATAAACGAAAGTAAATTCGGATGGGTGTTTTTGTATCACATACCTCATCGTGTAAACTTTAGAAACCATCATCACACTCATAGTTCTTCTATTCTCCACGAGTGCCAACTTTAATTTGCCAATGAGGTGATCCAAGAGACGTTTCTTATGGTGGTAAGCTCCAACCGGTATTATCCTCGGATTAAATCCCGATCAAGAATGTCCGGCTGGTTTGATGTCGACTTCAGAGTTAATCAACATAACTCTGAGTAAACATTTTTCAGATCATACAAACAGGGACGGTATTAAAAGTTAATCCGAGTTGGAGCTTACCGCCATTAGTGGAACTGACAGCTAGAAACCCGCATAAACAATAACCATAAGAAGCGCATAACCACCATTTCGGGATATCATCCCAACTTTATGTGGTATGGTCATACCATATATGATATCGTTAGTGTATGGTACCAGTTTATTAGGGAATCTAGACCACAAACGAAGTGACAGACAACTAACTGGCGAAGAAATCAATTAAAATAATTGGGGTTGGTTGGAAATGCTAACATGAAGCTTTAGTGTGATAATTTATTAGCTAGAGAATGATCTTTAGAAGAGGGTGGGTGGATAGTTCCGTTAGAGTACGGCAGTAAGAAAATTGAATAGAAGTTGAAAATGAGCGAAGGGCCATTAATGCGACAGTTTTTAAAGATAGACGCACATTTTTTGCCTAACCCGTACGATGTACGCGGAGACTTGAAGTATGTCTCCAAGTCTACAGGCAAAAAATGTGCGTCCCTCTTTTGCTCATAAACTGACTGCGGCTGTGGAATAGTTCTAGCGACGTTTTCATCACTACCTAAAGCCCCACGTTGCGAGAGCATTTCCAGTCGATGGTGTGTTATAATGCAATAATTCTTCTTTACCCAACTATGATTCTTAACAATCCATTATTTGTAAGGTTCACTTCCAAAGAACCATAATACATAAGGTTTAAACTTTATCCCACAAACGTTCATGTAAAGTTCCATAACCATTTAAGTTAAAGTTTAGAAGGGAGTATAAACAATTTTTAACCATTTTCGGTAAGGTCAAGTTAAGGTTCGCGCTTATGCGGGAATGCTCCAGTGGCATGTCGGTTCGTCGGTGCTTATTTGTTTATTTGTTATGGTTCCATCAACAGACTAGAAATAGTCCCAATGATGTGTTGTAAAAAAAGTACAGATTATACAGACGACATACATATTCTACAGTTACTACAGTTACAAACGAAAATAACTACACAGCAAAAAAAAATGTAATATCGATCAATGTAATTCAAGCTGATGTATGAAATAATGATGTAATAGCAAAAAGCAGGTACAATTTTACATCAATGGATGAAATTTTGTTCGCAAAATCGATGTACATCGTACAACGTTATATTACACAACCGATGGATTGACCTGGTTGCAGCAGTTTGGATGTAATATTCAACAACTTTTTTTTCTGTGTAGGAAAGCATTGTCAAGTTACTAAAAATTTATAAGTTTTAAATTTTACACTTAGCTGTTGGGCATCAAGCGCCTTCGGTCAGCAAAAAAGGCAGAGAATCTTCGGCGAAGCATATTCCGTGTCAAGTGGAAATCGAACATCGACGCTACTCGGTTGAACACTAGCTGCAAGCCGTACACGGTAATCGCAAATAACTCTTTTATGACTATAAAGTACACATTTTTGAATGAAAACGGGACTACCCACAAAATGAGTAAAATTTTACACATTTATGAGTAATTACTAGTACAAAAATGAATCAATTTTATGCATTTATGAGTACCAGATACTCATAAAATGTGTAAAAAATACACACATTTTAGGTGTAGTCCCGTTTTAGCCGAATATGCATACTTTATAGTCAAAATTGAGTACTTTATAGTCATTTTTGCGTATTTTGCGGTTTCCGTGTATGTCGTTTTCGTTTTTGCGGTGTAGCTACACCGGTGCTACACTGCCGAACACCGAAAAAATTTAGGGTGTAGCTATCGGTTGCACCTTTGTTTATAAACAAATGATGATGAACTGTCAATGACTCGCACTTATTGCTGCTTACACTACACCGGTGTAGTGTAGTAAAAACGAAAACGACAGTAAATTGGCGTTGACGGCGACTCTGTAGCTCTTTATTCCTATGAGAAAATCCATAAGCAAACGTCAGACTGTGCGTGAAACATGGCGGACTTTGTACTATCCTTTCACTCCATCGAAAGTTCCCATAAGAAACTGACGATATTTGCTGGAAGAGCAAATTTTTCGACGATGCCGTCAACGCCAATAGCGCTCCCTATGCTATAATTAGTTCGAAGAAGTGGAAGTCTCAGCATAAGACTGTTGCGTAGTGATCGAGGTTGAACATTAATGTTCACTTGTTGCAGAATTGCTTCGCAGTCGATTCTTCCTTGCAGAGTATCGGTGACGGTTAAGGCTCTGAAAACATCTCTTCTGAAACGTAAGGGCTCGACATTGATCAATTGGCAGCGATTCTCGTAGCTTGGAAGACGAAGTGGGTATCTCCAAGGCAGCTTACGGAGCGCGAAGCGAAGAAAACGTCGTTGAACAGATTCAATTCGCTCGGCCCCATTATTGTAGTTCGGGCTCCAGACAGCAGAGCAGTATTCCAACGTAGATCGTACGAGAGAGCAATAGAGCGATTTTAAGCCGTAAATGTCCGTGAAGTTCTTAGTAATCTTGAAGACAAAGCCAAGCGTTCTGGACGCTTTGTCGACGACATACGATATATGGTGTGAGTATGTCAGCTTTGAGTCTAGAAAAACGCCTAAGTCTTTCACGCAGTGCACCCGTTCGATAGTCGTGCCTAGTAGTTTGTAGTTGAAAATAATCGGTTGTTTCTTGCGTGAGAAAGTAATAACTGTACACTTAGCTGGGTTGACCACCAGTCGGTTTAGACTACACCAGTCAGCAAAGATGTCAATCTGATTTTGGAGAGAACGGCAGTCGGCGAGTGAGCGGATGCGCAGAAAAACTTTCAGATCGTCTGCAAACGATAATCGTGGCTCTGTGATAACATGGTGAACGTCGTCGAAGTAGAGGAGAAATACCAATGGTCCCAGATGGCTACCCTGAGGTAGACCGGACTTTGCGCAGAAGCTTACTGAGCGACAAGTATCCAAAGTTACTGTCAATTGGCGCTCCGTGAGGTATGAACGAAACCATCTCAAAAGATTTTCACCGATCCCTAGCCTATCAAGCTTAGCGATCGCAATTTTATGGTTCAGCTTATCGAAGGCTGCCGTAAGATCTGTGTAGATAACGTCCGTTTGGGTCCGAGCAATCAAACTGTCTGTGATGTAAGACGTTAGGCACAGCAGGTTCGTAGTTGTGGAACGCCCAGTTATGAATCCGTGTTGATCTGTACTTAGATATTGCTTGCAATGCGCATTTAGGGACTCTAGGACAATTAATTCAAAAAGTTTTGATACAGCACTCAGCGACGTGATTCCCCGGTAGTTGTTTACGTCGCGTTTGCTTCCCTTTTTATGAATAGGAAACATATCCGCAGTCTTCCAGCAAGACGGAAAGATGCCGCTGGAAAGAGAGAGCTGGAATATGCGGCGCAGTGGATCTAAAAGACAAGTGATGTTTTTTTAAGAATAATCGACGGAACACCATCGGGTTCAGCCTTAGTTGAAGCATAGAGGTAACTCTAAGACTAGAAGGTCCCGAAATAACGTGCTCAACTTTTTGGCTCAGCTCTGGTACACACAAAAAATAATCGTTAATAAAATTAAAAAAACCATTGGTAGAATTAAAAGTTGGCGTTGGTTCTTTTTGGTAGAAAGTCTTTAGAATTTAAAATAAAATTTCGCCTACTATCAATTCAAAAGTTAACCGCTCCCTACTTTTAAAAGTTCAAACTTTCAAAACGAATTGTACTTCTGTCAAAACAAAAGCATGGCAGTGTTGGAATAAAAAGTGGATTATTTTAAATTCAAAACAAACGTTTATCTTGAAAGTGTGGTCTAATTGAAATGATCTTTTTCACTTTGAATTGAACAATTAAAATATTTTCATTTTAAATACCAGCATTGTCAGTATGACATGTAGAGTTTTTTTTATTATTCAATATTATATATATATTATTTTTATTATGATATCAAATCATGGCTCGTGATGAACTGATGAACTCAGACAGTATGTATCAACGGTTTTGGATCGTTAGATATCATGCATTTAGCACACTGTAAGCATTGCTTTTATCTCCAGTAGTCTCCAGGCCAGCTCCCTGGTTTCCTTGAAGATTGATAATCTTTGTAACTTGTGAACATCATTGAGAAAATAGATTACACCTACAGTAAATATGATGCACATTGTACAGTCCAAGGAACAGTTAAATCTGGGAAACGAATCCCGCAAAGGCCTCGGGCTTCGCATTTATTTTGGCAGTAATTGATTGCTAAAGTTCAATCGGTGCGGCACTCGATCGTGGTATCTTGGGATAATATGAACGGTTCCAGGCCAACTTTGGCCAGCAGATGGTGCGAACCAAGAAACGTTCATTTTGGGTCGTTTTGAGGTAATACTGTAAACAGCAAAAGTACCTAGTAAGCATTTATAAAGGTTATTTAAAAATATAAAAAAAAACACTTACTGGATCGTTGAGTAGGGCCTATTTGATTTGATCCAACATTTCAAAACCATTCACGGAAATCTAAAACCGGAAGCCAATTTTAGGGACGGGCAGAATCTATGTTTGGGAAGTGGATTTATATGACACTACTGCTGCTGCTTCTGTTTTGTTTTGCATGTTTTATCTTAAAATTTAGCGGCAAAATTTCAGTGCTGCCAAAAGTGTTGGTGTTTAGAGGTATTTTTGACAGTAAAACAATTTTCATTTTAAAAAATGCACTTTTAAAATTACGAGTCATATGTGAACGAAAAACTTTCAAACCAAAAAAATAGCTTTCGTTTTGAAAATATTCGTTGTTGAAACTATGAAGTTTGAGGAATTTTCAATTTGAAAGTGAATTATTTTTATTACAACAATTTTTGTTCTTTGTGTGTACTCTCTTCGGTCCCAAGCTAATCAATTCACCCCTCGAAACATAGGAAAAACCAATCACCCCTCATTTTATCCGTCAAACTTTCATAGCGAATCAAAACAAACATTGCGTAGTACTAGAATTTCGACTAGAATAGGGTACGTTAATCGTTTGCTTGGGACCAATAGGCTACTAAAGTGGTGAGCCAATTTAAAATCGTTAGTTTCGTATTGATTGTTGGTTGAAGTCTTAAGTTTAGATGCTGCTCTAAAAATCGTATCTGTAGTGGCTTCGACCATGCTGAGCGTTTGGTTGATCAAAGGAACATTACTGGCCGCGGAAGTAATGATATTAGCGGAGAGTTGCTCGGCTTCAAACACACTAGCAAATTTGGCTGAGAACAGGTTGCAAATGCCTTGTTGATTTCCAGCAGTTTCACCATTAAAAATCATGGTAGAGGGTAAGCCGACTTCCCTGCGTTGCTCATTTACGAAGTTTCAGAAGGATTTCGGGTGTGATTTTAGCCGCCGTTGAATCCTCCTTTGATAGCGTTGAAAACAGAGACGACTTAACCGCTTATACTCGTGGTTGAGTCTGAGTAGCATTTCAGCGGCAGTGTGCGGAGTTTAGTAAATCTTCTGAGAGCAGCCTTCTTAGTTCTTTTCGACGAGCGAAGATCTTTCGTCATCCACGGGACGCGAGAGTCGATATGGATGATCTTTTTGGAAACGTGTCTGTCAATGACATATGCCAAGACGTGAGAAAAGGTTTGTGCAGCAATGTTGACGTCTACAGGATCTAGAATATGCTCCCAATCTAGGCTAGACAGCACATGGACGATACTGCGATGGTCAGCTCTACGGAAGTCATATGACACAGCGTTTGGAGTGCTGGTGAAATCATGGACAATATTATTTTCGATCACGATAACTAAAGCAGGGTGATGATGCACTACCTTGACTAAAGGTTCGGGTGCCGTGGAGAGGAAAGGAGCTGTATCACGAGCACTCACAAAGCAGAGATCCAGGGTGCGGTTGTTTTCATTCAACAGGCCATTGATTTGTGACAGAATTGCGGTACTATAACTATAACCATTATAGCAGCATCATAGCCATTAACCGTTGGAAGCCGCTTCTGACGGTAGTCACATGTAGGAGGCCACGTACCTTGAAATGTACGGGCTTGGTAGTCCACAAAAACTGCTTATCATTTATGTACTGGCAAAAGTGGATAATTTACGCTGGTAGTATACTAGATATACTGCCGCTATTCGCATGTCCGTCCCATAGCAAAAATCAGCAAGCCGAGAAAACCGCGTTTTAAGCTGAATTCGTACCATTGCTTCTTATATGATGGGACAACCAATTTGACTGTCTTTCCAAACTTTTTCAGAACAAAGTTGTTGAGTTCATTCAGTATTTTAAAAATATTTTATATTAGCTACCATTTGCATTGGAAAACTCAGTTTTGACAAAAACGACTATGGGACCGACATACGAAGAGCGGCAGTATACCTGTTTTACAGATAAAAGTGAAGTTTCTGAGAATTTAATGAATCAACTATTTTCCGATGCAGTGAAAACTGCTTGACACGGATGGAGTTGCCGCCTGTGAGAAAAAAAGCTAGAACTAGCAGCTTTGGAAATGGTTAATTGATTAATTGGGAAATTTCCGCAAAAGCTCTACACAGATGTCGAGGATATTAGTGGGAAATCTTGTTCATTAGATATCTTTGGTGCGTAAGAATGTTGGACGACAAAACGGTGGCAATAGTTCTCGAAAGCCAAAGTGGAATGGAGATGACTTCTATGTACAGCAAAGGACAAACAGGCCTTATGCCTTGTTCAGACTACAGAGTTATAACATGTTATAGCGCTATCTTGATGGTGGTTTCTGTGTTGCAATTATTTGACAACCGTTATAACATGTTATAACTCTCAAGTCTGAACAAGGCCTTACCCTGAAAAATAAGTAAAGTAAGCCAAGTGGCATTCTGCCTAATGACCACTACAAAGAATGTGGAGTCCATCTATTTCGAATCATCGTTATGTCCTTACCTGTTGATATTCTGTGACCTTTGAAACATTTACAACCATTGTACTGATGAATTGAGAATCATGAATGGGATATCTTTCTTACAAGATTTTTTATGTTTAAGATTTATACAAAACAAAATTCTAACATTCTTATTATTCGTCAATTTCTGATTCACATCACTCACCAAAACCACTCAATGCAACATGAAGTCTTCGAATTTCCGCGAGTTGAACCATACTCAATGGATTTTGCTCATGCATTTTTTGCAAAATTTTAACTTGACGACTTAATTCAGCAATAGTTTCGTCCGGTGTTCTTCGATTGAGACTCCCCTCCGGTGAATCAACATTCGGCAATATTTCGTAAACATCCAGTTTCAGTCGCTTCGCAGCAGGACTTGTTTCGCTATTTAGGATATTTTCAGGAATATCAAAATCTTCATCGGCGTCAGGAAAAAGTTCGTCGATTCTATCGCTTATGTGCTGCGTAATTTGTACTGCTTCATCATTCTCGCTACATCGATGTTCCAGCGCTGTTTGAATGCCGTACTGAATCTGTTGCCGCGTGTCATGACTTGACGCTGACACATCTTTGCGAATCCGTTGAAGAGCAGACAAGATAACATCATTGCAGACAATTTCACGCACCTTGGAGGGTGGCATTGTTGCTATGGTGTATAATGTACTCACTCGTATGAGCATATTTTTATCTTTAGCGAGAATCTTCAGTACTTTTTCACTGCTTTGTGGCACAAGTTTTACAAGTTCAAGCAGCTTCTGCTTGGAGGTTGCACTCTGAAAACTTACTTCTTCAGTAATATTTTCCAAAATGGCTCTCTGTAGAGCATTTGAGCTCGAACCGTGTTTCGCTAATTGGACGGTTAGATTTAAAATAGTGTAAATTACAGTATTGTACTTCGATGACCATTTTTTGTCATGTTTCAAAGATTTCCAAAACGGAATTATATCACATTCTGCTTTCTGCAACATATTCTTATCATCATAACTACAAAGCAAATGCAGCATATGAAGGGTTGCATACAAGTTTTCCGCAATCATGCTTTTCAGCAGATTAGAGCAGTTTTCCTTGAGATTACGTAGCAGTGATTGCTTGATCGTTTCAGTGATATATTTGCCTGGAGTTTTCAAACCAATTGCCACCCACAATTTGTGATTTCCCGGATCAACAACGGAGTATTTCATCATCACTTCTTGTTGCATGCTCTTCGGCATGAACGTGTACATATTATGAATTAATCGTCTCACAAAGGCCACCTTCGGTTGAGAAACAAAAGCAGAAAATCGATCGTTCACAACTTTCCAAAACTGAAAATACTGCCAAAGAAGCTCGACTGGGTGGTACCGTAAATAGACGCTCCAGATATCTAGGCCCATCATGCCTACCCAGTATGAGTCGTTTAGGATCATTTTTACAAGCATTTCTTCGAGCATTTTTCGACTCTTTTTCGAAGAATTCTTGGAACGCAATATAACGAAGGCTGACAAATGGACCAGTAACTGTCGGTAGAGGTGCTTGTGTCGGTTGAAAACACCATGACTTTTGGACAAGTATTCGACACATGTTAGCAGCAAATTGCAATTAGTTGTATACAGGTTCAACACACGTGTGTCACGACTTTCAGATACCAGTTTCGATATAATAAGAATGATGATATTGTAAAAAGCTGTTATTTCTTCAGTTGATTGGTAGTTGATCGATGTAAGTGCCTGTACGAAGAAAATAATCAGTGAGTAACATGGTAACATTTTATTATAATCCAAAGCAATGAATGGACTCTACCTTTACGAAGGATGTGGTTTTGAAGGTCAATCCAATCACAGTCATGTAACCGACTACCAAATGCTGCCGAATTGCTTCGGTAAACTCCTTTCCTATATTTCTTGATACAATAGCATCCTCGATTACTACCGTTGTCCTTAAAATACCTTGGTATTCACCATATTCGTCGACTTTTATGAGATGTAAAAATTTGATCAAAACCCGTAGTATAAGGTTGATAAGCTTCAATTTAACCATGTCGTTTTTTGAGAATTCCTTGTTTTCAAGCAGAGATTTGAACGCTGCCTCTATCTCGTTGTTAGTTTCGAATATGAGAGAGTGGATCCACGCAGTTTCGTTCGCTTTAATCTGAGCTTCATGTAAGGAGCAGAGTTTTCCTACAGCTTTCCATGCTTCCGTACACCGTATGTTATCTATTCCAATAGTCAAAGATCCAATTTTGCAGAACGAAATGATGACTGATAAAGGCAATACAATGGGGGATTATTATTAGAACATCAAATGATATATCAATGTTAACATACCGTCTTTCAAACACGTGAATTGTTCTTCAACTTCAACGTGCTGAAAATAATGACTCGCCTTGTCGGAAGGCGTCAGCAGGTGTATCATTATCAGTTGAATTTTCTGGCAGATCACGAAAATCTGCTGTACAACGTCATGATCATCTGCTTCACTGTTAACTTTTGCTCTACTTCGACGAACGATTTCATAGCTACGTATAAGAAACTCCAAGAATATGGTCGTCGTACGGTACAGTTGGTAGGTTTCCGATACTTGAAACACGTACTCGGCAAAGTTCAACAGTATGTTGGCGAATGATAGGAAGGATTTTAGGTTGTCTAACAAAAAGCAGGAGAGGGCGTTATCCTTCAGCTCAATCACAATCTAAAAGAACAAAACGATTTGTTTTAATTTAAACTCCAGTGAAGACATAGATATTTGTTTTGCAGCTTACAACATTTGACATTGATCAAACCTGATACGGTAAATCATGTAGTGGATATAATGATTCTTAAAAAAAAACGTAAGTTATTTTGAACAATTTTACCTAGTGTCTCACTTTCCAACAGGTGCTTCCAAAAATTTGGTATTTTGTAATAGTAAAATTGAACATGTTTGTAGTTCTGTGGCGAACGTTTCAGCTCAATTGATCATAAGTTTACAAAGTTACCATCATGTCAAAGTTGATCATTTTGTATGGAAATCGGCATGCGCTGCTATTATATTGAACACAACTGTAAATCGTTAGCTTCACGCATGAAGTAATAAAAAACATGATTAGTTAAAGTAAATGCACAGACAAACAGACGTAACGCTTTGAATAAAATTATCTGCAAAACATAGTACCGCTAAACTCCAGTAGGACTCCAGTAACGACATCTCGCGGAAACCAAGCTTGCTCGCTGATTCGCCAACAATGTTGCATGCAAGAAAAACCAAATATATAGAAACGTCAAAGTGATCCGATGCCGATGTTACCTCTATGCCAGCGCTGCGACGAGTAGTTTGCGGAAACGATAACATTCAAACCAATCGTTAAATGCGCAAACGATGATCTAGAATGAAGAGTTACATCTGTTTGTCTGTAGTAAATGTATTTTTATACATTTTTAGAAAAAAATGCTCAACATATCCATCTTACCCTCATATACGACCCGCCCATATTCTAGTACTACATGTATGTCAGTTGATTTTATTTATAAACAATAAAATTTCATTCCAAACTTCAAATTAACCGGCGAACAATGCTATCGACAAAATCGCACTAACCTTGTCCAGGTGCTTTAACACTTCCGGAAGCAAGGCCACCGAAACTTCCGCCTCAAATTCATCCGGATCAAAGCATTGCACCACTTTGCCGAACACGAACTCGTACACCTCGATGTCACATTCCTGCCGGCGGAGACTGTTCAATGATATTCGGGACACCTTTTTCAGCGGAATTTTGTCCAACTGATCTTCGGCAAGACGCAACTCGTTGAATGTTTGCACTTTTATGTCCTGGTCACTCATTTTCCGGAGAAAATCGGATGGAAAAGCCGCAAAGTATCACCACCTTCACCGCAAACATCCAAAATTTTGTCCCAAAACAAACGACTGTCACATTCAAAATGCGCGCAATTACAAACTCGTCGTGTTTCACTTCCTTTTATGCCCTTCGGAAAGTTTGCTTTTGTGTGAGTACGACAATGGCTGCATCCTGAGAGCACGTGCTTTCTTGTTTTTGTTTACTACCTTTCAATTTGTCAACACTCACGCTTTTCAACCAGTTTAAATAAAATAAAATTAGGTTTTTGTTGAAAGTTGGAAGAAAATATTCGTTTATAATGTTTGAAGAAGGTAAGTGTGCTGTAAAAAGTTGTATTTTCACAATGAACATGTTTTACTATCCAGATCCCCAGAGCTCCGACGAGGAATGCCCTGTCCCGGATGCCGATTCGTGTGATGCGAAAGAACTGAAGCTGCTGTTCGAGCAACATATTAAATCCAGTTCGGAAACCGCTGCTTCTTTGAAGCGCACCTGTGGCCTTAACTTGGCCTTATCTAACGATGGTCGCAAACTGGCGGTGGGCCTCTCCCGAAAGGTGCTTCAATTGTACGACCTCGGCACCAACGGTGAACTTGTGCTGTGCAATGCAGAGTTTGCGAAATACAAGAGCGCTATCAAGGGGGCAAAATTTTTCGGAAACAATCCGAACACTCTTATGGTTTGTACTGAGGAAGGGGACGTAAATCTGTATGATTTACGCACCGGTAATACGGTTCATCGGTTCGACGATGTTTCGGAAGGTCCGAAGAAGACGATGACAGCGTTCGATATCAACCAGAACGACCGGGTGATGTGTGCTTCGACCGAGGTCCAGAAAGGCGGAGACAGCTTCCTACTGTTTTTCGACATTCGGGAACGATCCTTTCTGGGGAGCTATTGGGAATGCCACAGCGAAGACGTCACGAACGTTAGGTTTCATCCGACGAATCCGGATCTACTGAGCAGTGCAAGCGTCGATGGGCTCATAAATGTTTTTGACATCTCCAAACCGAACGAAGACGATGCACTGCAGGATTGCTTCAATGTCGAAAACTCCATCGAATCCATCAACTGGCACTCGAGCCCAACGGATAAAGACTGGATTTCGTGTATTACGACTACGAACGATTTCCACCTGTATGAAGTGGAAACCCAGGAGATTGTTGTCGAATTCGATAGGGAGAGTATTACCGAATACACGAAGAGGACTTCATCGATGGACTGCAATGTGATTAATACACACAATGATGGCAGCGCAGGATTCTTCCTGTTGGCAGGATCGAATTACAACAAAGGGTAAATTGGCGAATAACGCGATTACTAGGTCATAAATATTAAAATTTACATTCTTCCAGCGAATGTTTGCGATCGCTAAGGTACGACAACAAACACTTCTTGCCGCACAGGAACTTCCTTCACAACAAGCAAATCATTCGGGCCAGCGTTTATAACGAAAAGGTAGGCATACCGAAGCGCTCTTATCAGTCTCAAAACAATCACTCAACGACGGTAATAATTTGCTATCGACATGCTTCGTCGTGGTTGTTACAGTGATGACACCCTACTTCACATTTTTATCACTCCCTCCGCCCGTAAAAGCAAACAATCTACCGCGTGCTGCACTTATCAATGCGTCATTTTAGCCTTATTTCTTTTTTTTTATTCCAGGAACACTGTCTAATAACCACTGGTGAAAGTGGACTCATAACGGTGTGGCGTTCTGCGGAATCAACTCCAGCGCAAGCGGAATTCGACACTAGTGCCAGCAAGAATTTGAAGCAGAAGTTACACATTAGTCACCGAAACAAGCCATATTGATTTGCATTTAAGTTCCACTCGATGATCCCGCATTAAATTCACAAAACTAGACACGTGAGTCATTATATATAACATAAATTATGGCGATTGCGGGTTACGGAGATATCAAGATCCTTGTTTTGATCATAATGAAACGTTCATATTAGTAAGTAGTTTTGAAAGAATCGCCTTGTTTTGCTGCTTGCAGCGATACACGTACCGAACCGATAGCATTGTTTGTCTGCCGCGCCGCTCATCACACTCTATTAGTGGTAATTGATTTTTCATAGTCGTTAATCAATATCGTTTATTATTTTTCGACAATCTGTTCTCTTCCATTTAACGAGTGAAACTTGTGCCCAAGGGGATAGTGTATGGTTTCCGTTATAGAAAGATGGGCGCTAACGAAAGTTTACTGAGTGCTGATCAGTTGGATGAGTATGCAGAGTTGACCTATCTTACCCGCTGGGAGGTGCTGTTGATTTTTACGAAATTGCAAAGCTTGGCACCGGATGGACTGGTTAGGGATTTACAGCAGAGATTCCCCTGCCGAAAGATTATGGATGTTTTTCCGCAGCTGAAGGTAAGAAATGTTGATGCTCGTTTTTCTTGGTTTGCTTAAAAAAACGCTGAATATATCCACCTAGGGTGAAACCTGAACTACACAACTTTATTCTCCGTCGAGTATAAGTTACAACGATATTCGGCGTGATGTGTACCGTTATTTATTCCAGATACAGATGAAGACTAATCTAATTTGAGCTATTCCAATCGGTTTTACTTCGTAAAGCGGGGTGATGAGTACCTAGGTAGCAAATTGTAATTGATCGGCAGACCTGTATTGAGATCAAAGCAGAGTGAAAATCTTATACAAAATACTAAATTTTTCACCTGCGTGAAAACGCAATTGACCACTTTGTCAAGCAGTTTTGGCGTGACTTTCTACCAGTGATTTCACATAACTGAACCAACTAAATTCTATTTCTTTAAGAAAAAACGCACAAATGTCTGCTACTTTTCTCGTGGTTCTAGTAGAAAAAATCTCAAAATAATGTTTTATTTCAAAGTTCGAGTGGTAGTAAACGTCATTTTAACTGCTCGAATGAAGTGGTTAATTACCCATTTTATTCGAGCACTTAAAATGACGCTTACTACCACTCGAACTTTGAAATAAAACATTATTTTGAGATTTTTTCTTCTAGAACCTCGAGAAAAGCAGCCAACATTTGTGCGTTTCATAAAAAAAATATAAATTATTTGGTCCAGTTTTGTGAAATCGCTGGTAGAAAGTCACGCCAAAACTGCTTGACAAAGTGGTCAATTGCAACACAGAAACCACCATCAAGATAGCGCTATTACCTTTTTATAACTCTGTAATCTGAACGTACTATTAGAGTACGTTCAGACTACAGAGTTATAACATGTTATAGCGCTATCTTGATGGTGGTTTCTGTGTTACAATTATTCGACAACCGTTATAACACAAACGAAGTGACAGACGACTAACTGGCGAAGAAATCCATTTAAATAATGTGGTTCACTGTAATAGAATTTTCTTGGAAGCTTGTGCCATCATCCACCAGATGGGTTAGATTTTTTGTTTTGATTTGAACAAAGTTGATTTTGTGTACAATGATTCTTTGACAGTGTTATAACATTGGTTATAACATGTTACAACTCTCCAGTCTGTACACTGAACGAATTTGACATATTCCTGTTATGTGGAAGTCTAATAAATTTGCGCTATAAGATAATCCATTGAAAATGATATGATTGAAAATGTGTCAGGTAAATTCTATATGAATATCTGATACATTTACAATGCTGATAATTTGGTAACTTTTATATGATCGTCATATGATAAATGAAAATCGATCAAATTATAATAATTAACTGAAATGGATTTGAAACCCATAAGCATAAGCTATACTTTTCACCACAATATAATATATGTGTCATAAATCAATCGAAGTAAAGTTTATGTGAAAATAACATGAAATTTACTTCTTCTTTTGACACATATATTTAATCGATTTCTAAAAATAAATTCGAAAAATAAACATCAGGCAGTGGGAGCTTTCACAGTTGTGCCTTTTTTTTATTGTAGCTGATTTGGGATTCGATCAAGATCTGTTGAGGTGTGATGCTTTCGGTGTCTGTGCTCGATTCCACTGGGCCACGGCTGACTTCAAGATTGAGCTCGTTCAAATAGCATGAAGTAAGAACAGCTCTCCCGACATGGAATGTAGTGCAACTTTATGCTCGTTTTGCTAGAGTGAAGACAAATAGCACTGACAAATTTATGTTCCGTTTCGGTGGTGTGGTTTGTTCAAATCTTTCTTAATGCACCTGTGTGCAATAAATCAACGACTAAATTATATGATTTGATAGAACTGGCTCATGAAGTTCGAATACTACTTAGGGCTGGAATCTGAATTAGCCGTGTAGAAGGCTTACAATTAGAATCATAGCAAAGTAAATATTACAGTAGAATCATTTTTTTTTTCAATCTCAATACATTCTTTTCTGGAACCAATTATCATATGAAACAATAATAAACAAAGATTATTCAATACAGTATCATTGTTGTTAGTAGTATTTAGTTCCACTAATCATTTTAATGAGTGTACGTTAACATCGTTGAAAATTGTTTCAATAATTTATAAAGAACAATCATGTAAGATGTATTTTATTGGGAGCGATATTCATCCGAGAAAAACATACAATCTTTAAACGTCAAAAATCAAAGCAAGCTATTACAATGAGATATATATGTTTTCCTATACTGCAAAGTTAAATGACAGTCCAATAGTTTCTACATGTCTATTTACACGCGACATATCAACAAACGTCAAAAATCAGTAAAAGCAACTCCAATAAAATATACATGATTATCTTATAAGATATATATTTTAGTGAGCAATATTCATCATGAAAACAGGTATATTTTACTGAATTTTCTCATAGTGCAAACTTATATGATTTTCCATTAGTTTCTAGATGTCTGTTCCCACCCATGACATATCAACAGTTTTTCACCATGAAATATATCAGACAATATTCATATACTTTTTACCTATCGCTAACCACGTTCGAAGCAAAGTATTATCAAGTACTAAGTATGTGAAATTACGATAGAAATTATTCCATATCGCAGTCATAGTTTTTAAGTGATAATCCAATGGAATCTATCAATCATCACATAGAATGAATAAATCTGCTGACATTGCTATGTTATAAGATGGATCCAATAAACGGTACATGTCGATTTGTTTCAGTGTACAGCGTTTTAGAGTCACCATTTCCATGTTAGGGTATGGTATATGTTGTTCCATTCTGTTCTGTTCCTAAGGAGAGGGAAAGGGAGTATAGTCGCTATTGACCAATGCACGGAACAACTGCATGAACAAATTTGACGTTTGAGCAGTGCCGTATTTACTAAAAATGAACACATGAATACTCGCGTAACATTTAAAAATGACCTACCTGTACATAAAACTTGTCAGGCATTTTTCCCGCGAACCGAAGTACGCCCATGCAAACCAACAACTCCATTGGGTAGGGTGAGTTCTTCCCTTTCCGATAGTCGTTTGGTTTGCGTGGGTGTTCTTCGGTTCACGAGAAAAGGGGCTAACAAGTTGTTTATAAAAGTTGATAGGACCTTTTCTAAAGTTACGCGAGCATTACATCATGGTGTTCATTTTTAGTAAACACGGCACCGTTCAAAAGTCAAATTTTTTCTTGAGTTCATTCCGTGCATTGGTCAATATTCATAGTCTGGTGGATAGAATCTCGGGAACCAATTGAGCTGTCAAACAGCGGAACCAATCGAGCAAATCACGACCAATAACAGAAAAGAGCACATCAGCTATTGACCACTTTGTCAAGCAGTTTTGGCGTGAGGTTCTACCAGCGATTTCACAAAACTGGACCAACTAAGTTCTATTTTTCTGTATAACCCTCACATCACCACGTGAATTGTTTGTTTCGCTATGGAGCCTTAAAGTGAAGTCAACGGCAGAATGTTCAAATTGCATAACATTTTGATCGTAGACGGTATCGTGCTGTTCTAAACTACCTGTGTGTGTTGATACTAAGGACTGCATTTCGGCTTCAACATTGTCCTGGTTTAAAAAAAAAAATGCTACTGGTTTCCGAGTTGGTTCCGCTAACTTGTTCATATTGCTCGGGATTCGGTAGAGTTTCTACGTGTCCAAATATATGCCGTTTAAAAGCATACCAATAGAGAGCGCAATCTCACGAACACTAAAATCCAACATCCATACGTAAAAACGAAGAAGAAGAAGAAACAAAAAGGTATCGCGATATCACAACTACTTAAAAAGGTAGCGCGCGGTCTCACGCACACTTTTGTGCATCTGGAGAACTCTATTGGATACCCTAATAAAAATGTTATAATTAATTTGCTTAACGACGTATTCGGGCTATCATCCAAACCATTTGTGGAATAGTTCAACCAATTGGGTTATCGTTCGTTTATGGTATTTTTTATTAGGGTAGCTTTTGATAGCATTCTGCGAACGTACATTCATATCTATATACTATTGGAATTCTATGTATATAGAGTTCTCCAGATGCACAAAAGTGTGCGTGAGACCGCGCGCTACCTTTTTAAGTAGTTGTGATATCGCGATACCTTTTTGTTTCTTCTTCTTCTTCGTTTTTACGTATGGATGTTGGATTTTAGTGTTCGTGAGATTGCGCTTGGAGATCTATATTGGTCAGATGGTCAAAATAAGAGTAAGCGGACGAAAAAGTATTTGAGCATTCTGGAATCATACACAGCAAAAAAAGTTGTTGAATATTACATCGAAACTGCTGCAACCAGGTCAATCCATCGGTTGTGTAATATCACATTGTACGATGTACATCGATTTTGCGAACAAAATTACATCCATTGGTGTAATATTGTATCTGCTTTTTGCTATTACATCATTATTTCATACATCAGCTTGAATTACGTTGATCGATATTACATTTTTTGTTGCTGTGTACCTACATACGAACATTTTTATTCTGTTCTCAAAAACCGCTTGAGGTTTCATCGTAGCTTCGTATTGCTTTTGAATTGGTATATCGTAGATGAATGAACAGATGAAGTTCCACACCAGTCTGGAAATTCGTGAAAATTGCAGGGCTGCCATTTAGCTTCAAGCACTTAAGAAAATGTACACGTCTCTGACATGTGGTTCACACTTAATTTTTTTTTGCGATATGCCAAACACCTGCATGAGCACTATAAAACAAATTGTGATACTGTGATACTGTAAAAATTTAAGTAATAAATAGAATGTATTTGAAACAAAGTTTTATTATTCAATGTTTATTTTCTTATGAAATATATGTATGCTAGATCCGTACTGCTCATAAATGCAAAACTATGCCACCTCTGCTTGATTTCCTATGCATATGGGACAAGATCTAGAATGATCTCATAATTAACAAAAATATAATAATGAATAGTTCACTGTAGCTTTCGTCAAATGCATTCAAAAGTTGCACTAAACCATCCTGAACGAGTTGTTTCTCATGTTTACATACTGTAAACAATATTTCCGAAAAGAAAAAGTTAATCGGGATTTAATGGGGGAAGTATGTCAGAAATAACTTACTATACCCATTAATTTTCTCCCTCTATGTAGTAGTATCAGATAGAAATGACCCAAACTTAAACCCAATACGGCGAAAAATCCTGATGGATAAGAGAATGAGCGTAAAAAACCAATCAAAAATTACTTTTTAAGCATTTCCTGGAATATATCACTAAATTTACAGTTCTCAGAATATCCTCTGGAGAGCATCAGAAGATTTGGCGCTATCTGCGTGGTTTGATTTTTTCTCCCGGACCAGAAATTTGTGGCATCGCGAGTGAAAATTTTATTTCAGTTTATTTACGCGGTGATGAGAACGGCGCTGATCTATTGTTAGGGTTTTGCAATGTGCATTGCTTTTGTGCACGGAGTGACTTGAAAAAGAAAAGTGATATTTGGTTGTTGTGTGGTTGGAGTCGCTGGAGGAGGAATTGTTTAGGGATGACTAGAGAAAAATATGCGTGGAAGCATCGGGAATGCGCTCCCGGGTGAAGTGATTTGTTCCAGTTGAAGATGGTTGACAAGTGTATTTGTGGTGATGCAAATTATGGTTTAGATGACGCATGGCTTCAAACATTTTGTGTATCCGAATAAAACATATTACATACTAAATACGCACAGGGCATCGTCTGCTGACCATTGCCGCGGGTATATCGTGGGAGTCCCAGGTACCCGGTTCAAGCTTTAGTTGGCGGCGGTGGCTCTTCTTGACCTTCTACCCCTGAGTAGTTAGTGTGAATAAGGGCGTCTATGTGATGTTTTGCTGTACCTGTTGTGGACATCTAGTGCATCCTGTTCCCTTAACTTGTTGAGGACACCCTGTCTTGCCTCAAAAGTTATCCTTTTTGAAGTACTAGTCTTCACAACATAAAGGGCACCATTACGGAGCATGAGATTTGATCAAATTATTCGCAGTTCTACTTGTCCAACGCCCCCGGCTGGGTGAGGGATAGAGGATGACACACACACACACACAGTTCTCAGAATATCCTCTGGAATCGATTTCTCCGAACATCAATCGACTACTCCACCACCGCTGAAAACAAACTGAAAATAAATCAATGAACGTATCTGTTTTCTGTAAAAACCCAACACTCCTGGATCTATCGGCCGCAAACGTCCGGCCACGGGTTCAAAATTTAACATTTTCCATTTGTTTTTGCCGCTTCTATACATTTTGATTCAAATCCAGACCAGGATTTTTATCTTACTCTCTTGAAGCTGACTGGTTGAAAACAAAATATTTTTGTTTAATTTTGCTAATCAAGCAACCTATTGAAATGCCAAACACTTCGAATCTGTAGGTTTTTCACTGTAACGCAGATTCAAGAATATTTTAATGGAATGTAACGTGCAACACACCTGCATTTATGATGTGGGATCTTCCATTATTTCATAGTTAGAAACACGAGAAATAGGCGTGTAAAACACATTGAATCAATGTAGAAAACACATCGAATTATTGTGATTGATCAATTGAACAGACAAGTGTTAAAACACGTGAAACTGACGTGAACATTTTTTTGAGTGATAGAAGGGCATGTACACTCAAAAATATTACTAAACATAGAAAAGTTCAAAATTAATCATTTTATGTTTTATCAATATTTAAACATTTATTTGATTATAATTTGTTGTCAGAATAATACTATGTCGGAATAAAGGCGTAGAAATCGTTCACTTTGTATTGAGGTAAATATTTCGACGACGCTCATAATGGTTTTCGATCCAGTCTTTATGTTTTTCAAGTCGATACATATTCGTTATCTGCATTAAAAATGGAACCGAAATCCAAAATTTCATCAATTTTGGTACACTGTAACTATTTTAAATAAGTACGATTACATTAGCAAAAATCACCATCATAGCGCCCCTTGGTGAGACTTTGTATGGGAGCGAACTGTCAACGAATAGATTTAGTGTCAATGATCAAAAATTTAAATCTTGATTTAAAAATCGAGATGAATGTCTACGGGATCGATAAAAATATCGTTGTGCTCAGCAAACGAAGCTCTATCAGATGATGTATAAAAATCGGTACATTTTTCTAAGTTAAACAACCCAATTGTTAGTTGGGTAACCCACACTGAACCAAAGGGCAGAGTGAAATCGCTGGTAGAAAGTATAGATACTATAGATTCCATAGATAAGCGGAGGCACAAAAAGTTGTTTTGGCAACCATGAAAAATAAATGATCTTATTGGCATCCGTGAAAAAAGTTCATGCCATCATAGACCTCTTCGTTGTGCAGTTTTGTTTTGTTTCGTGCGTAAAAGTTCAAAATGAAGTGCAAAGCAAATCTTTACAACAATGTATCGAGAAATGGGTTACTTTATCTTTCCTTCTTCCGTTGTCCGCGAAATAAATCGCAATGTGGAGTGTGGAAAGCGTTTTGTGCTCATAATATTACAATACTTCTCCCTTAAAAAAAAAACACCATGATGAGGTCATGCTCGTTTGGCTACACTAACTGACAGTTCGTTTGGCTACATTATACTTTTCCTCCGCTTATCTATGTAATCTATAGTATCTTTAGTAGAAAGTTACGCCAAAACTGCTTGACTAATGCCCAACAATCATTGGAAGCAGAATAAGAGCTTATTCAGGCAAACATATGTTTCTTCAGCTAAAAATGGCTTATTCGGCCTTTAATCTGCCCAATTTGTGTGTTGGGTGCTACACTTTCCTAAATCCAATCAAGAACATATTATGATTTATGTAGGTCAATACAATGCTATCCCAACAAACAATTCAAAGTCACAAATAAGCATACACATTGAATAAATGCTGTATAACAGTGTACAATGCTGAATAAAACAGGATGTCGAATTATGTGCTGACAAAAGCTCATTGAGATCGATAGAGGCGCTTTTATTCCGCCGTTTGCTCTGATATGATTAATTTCCTTATTAAAAGCTTTATAAACGTTGACTGTCTTCCTTATTCAGAACCAGAAGGTTGATCTAATAACAAACTGAATAAGTGTAATTTGCACATACATTGTCGCTTTTATTCGACTGTTTTCAATTGATTGAATAAAATGCTTTTTTAAACGTCTTATAAATGTTTTCTAGCTCCATTATTAGATTTCTTTGCATTCCCAACAAACAATTTTAACTGATTAAAAGCTTAATAAGCTAAAAAATTGCTGAAGAATCTAAATGTAGCCTGAACAAGCTCTTATTCAGCTTTCAATGTTTGTTGGGTTGTTTTAAAATATTGCTGTATAAAGGTGAATACACTCAGCAAAATAGCTCTTATACCACCCAACAAATAATTCAAAGTCACAAATAAGCATATATATTGAATAAATGCTGTATAACAGTGTACAATGCTGAATAAAAAGAGTTGTCGAATTATGTGCTGAAAAAGCTCATTGTTCCACTCTGATCTGATTAATTTACTTATTAAAAGCTGTAAAAGTGTTAAATGTCTTCCCAATTCAACGCCAGAAGTTCGATCTAATAACAAACTGAATAAGTGTAATTTGTACATACATTGACACTTTAATTCGACTGTTTTCAATTGATTTAATAACATGCTTTGCATATGCTACAACCAAACGATTTCAAATTTTGAGAGTATAATGAAGACATAATTTGAAACTGTTGAAACCCTTGGAAAAGGCGCCGGTGGTGTAGTGGTAAACGTGATTGCCTCTCACCCTGGTTCATGAGTTGATGGGTCGATAGGTAGGGTCCAGGTGTGGGAGCTGCCTCCCTGGCGTCCGTAGCATTGGTGTTCAGCACGGAAAACAAGATCGACGGAAAACAAATCAAGGAAAAAAAAACCCTTGGAAAAGCCTCAACCCAATCTCTACATTTATTTATGCATTGCCGGCAATCAGGTGTAGACTGTTTTGTCACAATGTTTGTCTTATTAATAATACGAATCATCATAGCCTAATCAAACCGTACACTTTCCAGTACAACCCCTTCCGGGACCGGTTGTTCCAAGTGTTTTCCTCCGAGCACGACTCCCGCTGTTCGTTCGAAGACATTCTGGACATGTTTAGCGTCATGTCCGAAAACTGCCCACATCACGTCAAAGCGGCCTGGGCCTTCCGGGTGTTTGACTTCGACAGCGACAGCATGATCACCAAAGAGGACATCTTCGTCATCTGCGATCGGTTGACCAAGTACGATCGGCTCGATCAGGACGAAAAGGAGTGCATTGCGGAAGTGGTGAGTGGGAGATAGGAAGATTATGGTTTTGTTTGGTTTTGAACACTTCAATTTCAGCTACTAAAAGAGATGGATCTGCACAGCAATGGAAGCTTGGGAGAGTTCGAGTTTATTCATGTGATATCCAAGGTGCCGGAGTTCCATCACTCATTTACCTTTAGGCCGTAGTCTGGTGAGGAATTACCAAACAAGTGTTTTTTTTAGTTTTCAATATTTTATTCCATTGTTTTCTTTATTGTCAATACAATACGTTTCAAATTTACACTGACTGTTTAACTTATCCTTGATGCAGGCGCAAGCCTGTTTGCATTCTTCCTGTCTTGTCTTGTTTCGTGGTTTCATGGCTTAATTCGGTTCAACCTATCGGTTTCATTCGTAACACATACACTTTGAGCTGAATAGAGACCATTCGTTTATTCTTGTATATAATGACTATTTCGTTCACTTATCGCAGTAATGGAAGTCTGGTTGATTAATAATACATGTTTTTGCTCTCTTATGTTGTCAAAATTATAAAGGTACCAGGTTCTACTAGCCCTACTCGCTCTAGACCGGTACCTACGTCAACCTGGTCAGATCTCTTTTCCCGCAAAGTTCGTTTAAGTACAGTAATAAATAAAGATTGATAAATAACTAAAAACGAGCTTTGTTCATCGATCAGAACCCAAGTCGAAAATAAGTTCATCCTAGCTAAGATCAAGTTAAACAGAACTGAGAATAAATACTCATAATTGACCGCTATCTCGCATAGATTCGAAGAAATTCAAGCCATGTTACGTGCGTTTTTTTTTCCATTAGAGTGTGAGTTCTAGAGTGCTGAGCTACCTGGGTGATTTTATCAATATTATTTAAATTCTACAACACATTTTTCAATTCGACCTTGATAGCGATGCTAAATTAGCCCTAATATTCACAACTCTTTTTTTGCAGGTGCAACTCAGACACAACTTTGTTCGTACACACACTAGCTAACTACCTAACTAACCATGTAAAAGTAACGAACAGCTAATTGACCACATCAAAGCCAGTATGTAGTCATAATCCCGGTAATTGTTTTTTTATTTGTTTCTAGTTTTTTTTTTGCTTTACAAGCTATGGTAGCTTTGCTTTGACGTCTAGTTTAGTTTCGATAGCAGTATTTTAGCAGATTTATGCTGCGCGCTCGCTCTTGTCTATCTGTATATAAAATAGGAATTTAATTGTGCACAGCAGTATAGTGATCACCGAAGCCGCTAAGGTACCTGGTTGGCAAGTGGCGCCGGTTGAGTATCTGCAAAGGATAGGGATAGTGATAAGACGGGAAAATCACTTATGACTGGTAGCGGCTTAAAAAGGAATGTGAATTGGTCAACATGACAATCAACCGAGAAACGGATCTGCCGAAAATAGGAACAACGAGAAGTATAATCACCGACGAAGTAAAATTATATGCCTAGAATTCGTGCAACAAAGCCTGGAATCGAACGGACGATTCTTTGACCACTCGTCTATCAGTGTTCGTAAAGTGGAAGGTGCTAGCCTGCATAAACGCGAACCATAACTTGACCTTACCGAAAATGGTTAACAATTGTTTATAATCCCTGCGTTTGTCGTTTGTGTGATAAAGTTTTAACCTTAAGTATTATGGTTCGTTGGAAGTGAACCTTACAAATAATGGGTTGTTAAGAACCATTACCATTCAAAATAGTTGTTTTTTCCATACATTTTCGGAGAGAGGACTATATTAGAACCTTTTTACTTATGGTTTGAGAACTTGAATGGCAATGGTTATGGTAGTCAGTAAGGTACATTAATGGTTTTGTATTATCGGTCAACTTTACGTGGAATATATCGCGAATTGGTAATCAGTAATTTACAGGCCAATTCGCGATATATTCCACATAAAGTTGATCGATAATTCAAAACCATCTACGAACCTTACCGACGACCATAAGCATTACCATTAAAGTTCTCAAATCATAAATAAAATGGTTCCAATATAATTCCATTCCCAAAAAAGTATGCCCATAATACTGGGGTGACTGTATTCAAAGCTTGAGATTCAGCAAGACCGCAGGGATCGATTGCACATCAGCAGGGACGCTCAAAACTAACCGCGACTGCTTTGGCCGAATGAAGACAGGGCGTCTTCGTCTTAGTGATGTTACTACGTGTGCGACAATTGGCGAGACATCATGTTACTATGTATTGTCCTGAATCGGACAAAGCAGATCAATCTATAGTTTCACCATATTGTCACACTCCGTATCATCTTAGAACAGATCAACAAATTTGAAAATTCCCCTGCAGTGAGACTCAAAGGAATCGCAGACAAAACCGTCAACCGTCGACGGAGCAAACTGCGTGGCTTTCACATGCAGTGATCGATCCTATCCGAACCAATTCCAACGTGAAATCAATGTATTCATACCAGCGAAACATGGTGCGTATAAGCCGATGCCTGCATAGATATGTCAGTCGATGTCATCAAAAGCCGATACCAATCGAAATTCGAGTCGTCTACCTAAAAGTTAAATATTAGCACACATAGCTAGTCAATACGCCTACTCACCTATCAGTGATTCAATATCCACACCATTTCGTCGTAGATTGCAAAGTAGAAGGCTGACATGAAGCACGCTTTTAGCAGTGCCGGATACAGCCCCTTGTACAGTCCGGCGAACCCTTCCTGCTTGACTATGTTGTACATACAGTTGAACATGTTATCGCACACAAAATGTCGACCAAACGTTTGTCGGCTCTTGGCGAATCCCTGTATCTGCAGCCGTTTCTTGGCCAAATCCAGTGGATACACTAGTAATTTGGTACACAGTCCCGCTAGGCCGCCGCAGATGAAAAGTTCCACCGCCGGGAGCGTTTCTGTTGAAGCGATATTGAAATACTGCCGGAACATGCTACCGAAAATATTGTAAAACATAAACTGTCCTCCGGTGAGAGGTGCTATCTGCAGTACGCTTGGGCTTAACCCTCGATACATTCCCTTGATACCTTCATGTCGGTAGATCATCTTCAAGCCTTGCATGGAATTTTTATATCCTCTGTTAGGATCCTGAGAAATCAGTCGTGTTCGGACCACATCCAACGGGAGGGTTATCACAGTCGCCACCGTTCCACTGAGAGCGCCACAGAAGAAATTTCTCGCATTCTGGTGGTTTTCAAATGGTTCGAATTGCCTCAAGAAGAGATTTGTATGCTCATACGACGAAAACTGGGACACTCCGTAGATAATCGAGAGCACCTGTGCTGGGTTGTGACCTTTCCAGAACGCACGTAGACCTTCTTCCTTGTACACCAGTCTGGTAGACTGCACAATCGTGCGATACTTCGAAGTCATATGATCTTCACTGAGTGGTTCGACCTGCAGTTGGAATCGAATTTTCAGGACATCCAACGGCTGACAAATGAAGCGAGTGATACAACCAGCAAATCCACCCGCAATTCCTGTGTTGGAAGACTTGTCGTTCTTATCACGATCCATTGTACGCTACCTCGCTGAGGCGAAACAGGATCTTTTCAGTCTCACCGGTCTCGATTATCTAATTCCAAGGCCACTCCAGGTTTTTCCTTCGATCTTCGTTCACTAGTTCCCACGAGAGGTGTTATATCACAACTTTCGCTGTGCTTCTACAGTGCACTGTTTTTCTAGGTTAGCAGGGGTATCCAACACAAGGGAACAACTGAGCACACCACCCCGATAATGGGTTATTGGCTGATATGCGCCAATGCCAATGTTCGTCTCTATTTCTATTGCACTTTATGCACTATACTTTGTGTCGCTTTTTGTTGATATCGATATGTGAGGTAATAGCTGTTCGGTTAGTTCTTCCACCTTTCTTGCTGCTCCCAGTGTTGGTACTGCATCGCCACCGTCTATTTCCCCGTTTTCACTCCCAACTCAATCTCGTGACACTGTTCGTCACACACACCCACACCCCAAACCAAAAACAGTCCGTCTCAAGTTCACGAGCTTCTACATTGTTACAGGTGTCGTCATGATGTTGAACTTTTAGAAACCAGATAGATAATCGGCAAACAAAATGTAACCAGCTTCTAGCTAGCTATTCCATATCCATTCGATCCAACAACGGCTGTAACTGAAACAATGTACGGGGAAAAGAATTAACGATAGACCTCTTATTGCGAATCCGAATCTGTCCACCTCGAGCATACGTGACCATGTGAGTTAGAGATATTTTTAGAACTGTCGATTCCATTCAACACTGACTGACTGAATGTTGTTATTTTTGATTGCAAACAGAACGTAAACAAAGTCCGTACCAACCCGATGTACCCAGCTTCGGTCGCGTTTATTGAATAATCTACACTACTATTGCTACACATCAATACCCACACACGGACACTACGGATGGGTTACGTGAGTTCGGGAGAGCTATCACCTTTTCACACCAAACTAATGTGTACACTGAAACAAATCGACATGTACCGTTTATTGGATCCATCTTATAACATAGCAATGTCAGCAGATTTATTCATTCTATGTGATGATTGATAGATTCCATTGGATTATCAATTAAAAACTATGACTGCGATATGGAATGATTTCTATCGTAATTTCACATACTTAGTACTTGATAATACTTTGCTTCGAACGTGGTTAGCGAAGGTAAGAAGTATATGAATATTGTCTGATATATTTCATGGTGAAAAACTGTTGATATGTCATGGGTGGGAACAGACATCTAGAAACTAATGGAAAATCATATAAGTTTGCACTATGAGAAAATTCAGTAAAATATACCTGTTTTCATGATAAATATTGCTCACTAAAATATATATCTTATAAGATAATCATGTATATTTTATTGGAGTTGCTTTTACTGATTTTTGACGTTTGTTGATATGTCGCGTGTAAATAGACATGTAGAAACTATTGGACTGTCATTTAACTTTGCAGTATAGGAAAACATGTATATCTCATTGTAATAGCTTGCTTTGATTTTTGACGTTTAAAGATTGTAAACAGATCTATCCCAATCATTAAATAGTCATATAGAAATGCCTTTTAAGAAATCCAACAGCAAGCATTTGTTTTGGCATGTTTTTCTGGGATGAATATCGCTCCCAATAAAATACATCTCACATGATTGTTCTTTATAAATTATTGAAACAATTTTCAACGATATTAACGTACACTCAATCATATGATAATTGGTTCCAGAAAAGAATGTATTGAGATTGAAAAAAAATGATTCTACTGTAATATTTACTTTGCTATGATTCTAATTGTAAGCCTTCTACACGGCTAATTCAGATTCCAGCCCTAAGTAGTATTCGAACTTCATGAGCCAGTTCTATCAAATCATATAATTTAGTCGTTGATTTATTGCACACAGGTGCATTAAGAAAGATTTGAACAAACCACACCACCGAAACGGAACATAAATTTGTCAGTGCTATTTGTCTTCACTCTAGCAAAACGAGCATAAAGTTGCACTACATTCCATGTCGGGAGAGCTGTTCTTACTTCATGCTATTTGAACGAGCTCAATCTTGAAGTCAGCCGTGGCCCAGTGGAATCGAGCACAGACACCGAAAGCATCACACCTCAACAGATCTTGATCGAATCCCAAATCAGCTACAATAAAAAAAAGGCACAACTGTGAAAGCTCCCACTGCCTGATGTTTATTTTTCGAATTTATTTTTAGAAATCGATTAAATATATGTGTCAAAAGAAGAAGTAAATTTCATGTTATTTTCACATAAACTTTACTTCGATTGATTTATGATACATATATTATATTGTGGTGAAAAGTATAGCTTATGCTTATGGGTTTCAAATCCATTTCAGTTAATTATTATAATTTAATCGATTTTCATTTATCATATGACGATCATATAAAAGTTACCAAATTATCAGCATTGTAAATGTATCAGATATTCATATAGAATTTACCTCACACATTTTCAATCATATCATTTTCAATGGATTATCTTATAGCGCAAATTTATTAGACTTCCACATAACAGGAATATGTCAAATTCGTTCAGTGTATATGCTACGAGTCCGAACAGACAAAACTATAGAGATTGCTGACGTTTATCGTACGCACACTACGTCTACTACGTCACGTATATACGTCTACGCAAAATGTTTTCATCGGGAAAAAAAAACTTCATAGTGGAAAATTTTCCCGATGAAAACAAATCACTGCCACAAGCATACTTTAGCAATCTCTATAGAGCTTTTTGACGTTTAATCGGCGCACACTATTGCACCATTTAAATTGAACAAGTGCGAGCAAGAAGGAAACAGATTAGTGGGAAAACAAACCGTGCATTCATCCATGTGTGCTAGATAGAGAAAGCCGATTAAACGTCAAAAAGGCCTATAGCGGTATAATCAGGAAAGCCATGCGCAGACGCATAAACGGCGCAAGCAAACAAAACTGATTGTTGATAGCTACACGGAAATGAAAAACTACCCAACATTGGCTTCTTTTGACTCAAACTTATACACAGCAAAAAAATGTAATATCGATCAACGTAATTCAAGCTGATGTACACAGAAAAAAAAGTTGTTGAATATTACATCCAAACAGCTGCACAGACGTCATTCCGCCGGTTGTGTAATATTACGTTGTACGATGTACATCGATTTTGCGAACAAAATTACATCTATTGATGTAATATTGTATCTGCTTTTTGCTATTACATCATTATTTCATACATCAGCTTGAATTCGGAATTACGTTGATCGATATTACATTTTTTTTCCTGTGTATGAAATAATGATGTAATAGCAAAAAGCAGATACAATATTACATCAATGGATGTAATTTTGTTCGCAAAATCGATGTACATCGTACAATGTGATATTACACAACCGATGGATTGACCTGGTTGCAGCAGTTTCGATGTAATATTCAACAACTTTTTTTTGCTGTGTACCACCGACGAACTGACATGCCACAGGAGCATTTCGTTTGCCCAAAATTCGAATCGTCAAACGAGCGATTCGAACTTTCAAACGGGCGATCAGATCTGTCAAATGAGGTGAAACGCAAACCAAGGCAATATAAATTCCAGACAAATTCGAGATTGGGGCGTAATTGCTTTTGAAAAACAAACATGTCATTCGCAGATTTCTCGCGAATTAAAGCTCAATCTAAAAAAAACTAACAACATAAACAGGTAGAGGAATGATTTCTCTATCATTTGGTATAGTTTGCTCGCGAGATTGTACTTTTATTCACGAGAAATCAGCGATTGACGTGTTTGTTTACCAAAGGAATTACGCCCAAATCTCGAAGTTCTCCGGAATTATACGTGGGTTCGTGACCTTGCTCATGGTATGACGCGATCGGATGAGTAGATGTCGGTAGTGTTTAACGTATTTTAAATATGGCGTCTTGGGCACGAATTTGAAAGTAGCTTGTATGAGCTGTCACGTCGGTTCGTCGAAGATATAAGCACCGACAAACCAACATGACACTTAATTTTGACTTATGCCCGAAAATCGTAAACGACTGTTTTAAATGTGCAGTGATTCGAACTGTCAAAACCATAGGATTTATTGATCTAAATAAAAATAATTTGTCCAGAATAGATCAGACACGAACCAATTCATAACTTTTTGCATGCGGGTTCATGGCTTAGCTAAATATTTCCCATGAACATGGAGCCAGATGTCAGTAGTGTGCTTTGGTCAGACATTTCATTGTTTTTGCTATGGTCATTCATGTCGGTTTGTCGGTGGTATAAGCATACAAGCAACCGGTGGAAACTAACGATTTTAAATTGGCTAACTGCTTGACTAGCCTATTAGTCCCAAGCAAATCGATTAACGAATCCCGAGGGGCACGCATTACAAAGAACCGGTGCGTTGAAGTTAAAATGCAATCAAAAGTACTTAAAGTAATTAATGCGTTTTGAAGTAGTACTGATGGTAATTAAAATTATCAATCCGTAATTAATGTAATTAAAAGTATTGAAAATGTAATTAATGTACTTTAATTACGAAATTTCGACTGTAATTAATGGAGTTAAAAAGTATTTAATGTTCTACATTGTGTAATTAATGTAATTAAAGGTTATTGCGTGTCCCTAGCGAACCCCACTCTAGTCGAAATTCTCCCTAATAGAAATAACCATGAGCTTAATGGATTCTGTGACACTACCCCGAATGTCACTACCCCGAACGCCATAACCCCGAACGCCGTTACCCCGAACGCCGTTACCCCGAACGGTACACTATCCCGAACGCCGTTACCCCGAACGGCCACTACCCCGAATTCATTTCCAAAAGCTGTAAATAATAAATTCTTTTGATATACGATAAAGAAGGGAATATTCCCTTCTTTGAATATATAAAAGAGAACATCATTAATTCGTTAAATATATGATAAAGAAGGGAATATTCCCTTCTTTGAAAATATAACAAAAGGAAATAATTAATTCTTTGGATATACGAAAAAGAAGGGAATATTCCCTTCTTTTAATATATAAGGAAAATATATAATCAATTGTTTTTCGCAAGGGATTCGGGGTAATGCCCATTAGGGATAATAACGTGTGGAATAATGTTATAAATTTGTAATCGGTAGTTCAACGTTCCATGCACCGATTTTTTAATCCATCACGAGAAATTCTTCAACTCAGGTCGAACAATTCTTCGATAAGGTTTAACAGTTTCCGACTGGTTGAATTGGATTGCATAATGACCCTTTGACTTATTAAATGATGAACGAAGTGCTCGAACACCTTGAAGGTTCTCATTTTCCAAAGAGCTATAAAATTGTTTGGAATTAATAAATACATAGTTCCATAAAAGTAAACGTAGTGTATCATCAATAGTAATGTGAAACTAATCAGAGAGTTTTGTCATGAAAAATATATTAAATCATTTGTGTAAAATTTGCCGAGAAAATTGGTATTCAGAAGATGTATCATTTAGTGTGCAAGCTACTTGCGGACCTGTTTATTTCTGGACGCCTGTTCTGTAATATAAAACTGAAATATCATATCAAATTACCAACAAAAAAAAGTGATAAATTACTAATTTCATCATCTTTTCTGGGGAATGGAATTCTGGGTAATGTTATAGAATCTAATAATTTATTTTATAAGAATTTAGAGAGTGTCATTGTGAAAAATACAAAATACAGCATTGCACTATGGGCAAAAATGGGTCCAAAATTACCCAAAATTCAATATCTCAACAGCACGCTGAATACACTTTATAGGGGAGTAAGGGGTAAAAGTGAACCCTCGCTAAATTTATTTTAATTCATAAAAATGTTGAACGATGCGATTGTTTGAATGAACCCAAAGGTTGCCGGCAATAATAAGATTTTTTTTTTTGAATTTTAAGGTTAATTGGGATTAAATAAGTTTTAATTTACTGCTATCTGTTTTAAAAGAGTTTTCACTTTTTTTGTCTGTATACAGCAAAACGATATAGTGGTCGCAGAATTTTGTAAAAATTGGTAGTTTTGTTCCTAATTGCAACATATTAGACCCTTATTTTTTATTTTGTCATTAGGGTAACTATTTATATATTAGGGCGGTCAAGAAAAATTGTTTTTTCAATTTTTTTTCAAAAATTTATAACTTTTGAACTGTTTGGCCGATGACGGAACTCAAAATACCAACTAAAAATTAATTAAAAGTTTTTTTTAAGAAAAAAAAACATTAAGATATAAAAAAAAGGATTTTGTGTTAAAAAACATTGATTGTTTTTTCACTTTTACCCCTTACTCCCCTATAAAGTGTACCCCGTATTCCCCTAATATCTCATGAACTGTTGTTTAAAGACATAGTATTCTAAAACCATGCATAAAGTGCTTATGTTTTACGAAAAATAGAGCTGTGAAAAAACATTTCCTCCAAAAAGTAGGGGGAAATGGGGTAAAATGGTCCAAAACACATACCTACAAGGCTCTCCGGTCTATGGGACTACGTGCAATCGATTCCCCGGACGATTTCCCCTCGGAAAAGTCGTTTTTCATGGCCGGAATTCAGCGTGCTGTTGAGATATTGAATTTTGGGTAATTTTGGACCCATTTTTGCCCATAGTGGCATTGGTAGGGTTCGCGAATTTTCACGAAGTTCACCTAGGAAAAAGCTCACGAATCACAGTGAACTTTTGCATCACTGATTTAGGTACATAAATCAATTTTAAATTGTTATTTTTATCATTTGTATTCAGTTTAAGCTACAAAAGAAAATTTTCTTCTTAAAAATTTACCCTTCTTTTGATCACATGCTGTTCTTCCGTTTGTCTTAATTTCGGGGTTATGGTCATTCGGGGTAGTAGGTTATTCGGGGTAGTAGGACATTCGGGGTAGTGGCATTCGGGGTAACGGCGTTCGGGGTAGTGTCACAGAATCGCTTAATGACGTGTCCGGGGTATCATCCAAACCATTTGAGGGATAGTTTACCCAGGCCAGTTACAAGGCCTATACTAACAAAACGTTCATTTTGCTGTGCTGGGCCCGCTGTCATGGTATAACATGTTGCCTACGCGCCTGCCACTGGGCTGAGTTTACCCATCCGGGATCAATGAGATATAGAAAAAAAGAGGTAAACAATCGGTGATGACGTAAAACTCATAAAAAATTGGCATGAAAAAAGGATTCGTTTACACGCTATTTTGAGGCTACTCATTTTTGAGTCGAAAATCATTCAGTCCAGTCCTAAGAGGGTCCAGCCGAAAGGGAAGTTACCCAAAAATGAGTAAACATTATTTTACTCAAATTAAAGTAAACCTGCCTATGGAGGAAACAGGGTAACGATTACTCAGATTATAACATTAATGGCGGTAAGCTCCAACTCGGATTAACTTTTAATACCGTCCCTGTTTGTATGATCTGAAAAATGTTTGCTCAGAATTATGTTGATTAACTCTGATGTCGACATCAAACCAGCCGGACATTCTTGATCGGGATTTAATCCGAGGATAATACCGGTTGGAGCTTACCACCATAAATGTCATAATCTGAGTAACCGTTACCCTGTTTCCTCCATAGGCACGTTTACTTTAATTTGAGTAAAATAATGTTTACTCATTTTTGGGTAACTTCCCTTTCGGCTGGACCCTTTTACACCAACAATCAATACGAAACTAACGATTTCAAATTGGCTCACTACTTGACTAGCCTATTGGTCCCAAGCAAACGATTAACGTACCCAATTCTAGTCGAAATTCTAGTACTACACAATGTTTGTTTTGATTCGCTATGAAAGTTTGACAGATAAAATTAGGGGTTATTGGTTTTTCCTATGTTTCGAGGGGTGAATCGATTAGCTTGGGACCGAAGAGAGTACCAGAGCTGAGCCAAAAAGTTGAACACGTTATTTCGGGACCTTCTAGTCTTATAGTACGTTCAGACTACAGAGTTATAACATAGAGGTAACTCTAAGACTAGAAGGTCCCGAAATAACGTTCTCAACTTTTTGGCTCAGCTCTGGTACTCTCTTCGGTCCCAAGCTAATCGATTCACCCCTCGAAACATAAGAAAAACCAATAACCCCTCATTTTATATGTCAAACTTTCATAGCGAATCAGAACAAACATTGCGTAGTACTAGAATTTCGACTAGAATGGGGTACGTTAATCGTTTGCTTGGGACCAATAGGCTAGTCAAGTAATGAGCTAATTTAAAATCGTTAGTTTCGTATTGATTGTTGGTAAAACCAGTTTACTCGTTTTTTGACAACTCCATACAGCATGTAAAAATGAGTGCGATCTACCTACCAAGTCACTGAGTAGCCCACAAATAGCGTGTATGGTATTTGTTTATCAGGGCTCCCTAATAAACTTGTTATGGTTATTTATATACTTTCAAATTCGTGCTCACGACGCCATATTTGAAATACGTTAAACATTACCGACATCTACTAATCCGATCGCGTCATACCATGAGCAAGGTCACGAACCCACGTATAGTTTATATTGTCTTGGTTTGCGTTTCACCTCATTTGACGGATCTGATCGCGTTTGAAAGTTCGAATCGCTCATTTGACAATTCGAATTGTGGACAAACGAAATGCTCCTGTGGCATGTCGGTTCGTCGGTGCTTATACCAACCGGTGGAAACTAGCGATTTTAAATTGGTTCACTACTTGACTAGCCTATTGGTCCCATGCAAAAGGATTAACGTACCCCATTCTTGTAGACATTCTAGTACTACACTATGAGGGGTTCGAGGATTTTCCTATGTTTCGAGGGGTGTATCGATTAGCTTGGGACCGAAGATAGTACCAGAGCTGAGCCAAAAGCTGAGCACATTTCTTCGGGACCTACTAGTCTTGGAGTTACCTCTATGGTATTATCATAGAGGTAACTCTAAAGGGCCACCCACATAAGATCCGTTTGCGTTACGTTGACGTAAATTTGACAGTTAGACAATAGATTTAGTTGTCACTTGCTGCAACGCGTCCCATCCGGATCTAATGTGGGCCTTAATAGCTGAAGATCCCGAAGAAAGATAGAGATAACTCTAAGACCAGAAGGTTCCAAAGAAACGTGCTCAACGAACCCCTCATTTTATCTGTCAAACTTTCATAGCGAATCAAAACAAATTTAGTGTAGTACTAGAATTTCGATTAGAATGGGGTACGTTAATCGATTTGCTTGGAACCAATAGCACAAACGAAGTGACAGACGGAGCGGCTCGAAAACTTTGGTGACTAACCTGCTATTGCAATTTTTCAGTGTACCACATGGCAACACCACTACCAGTGGTTTGTACCACATGGCAACACTACTACTGGATTGAACTAGCATTTTCACCAAATGTACTAGAATGTTTTGGTTCTATCTCTTTCACTTTACTCAAAACTAGAATGCATAAAAAAATGACAAAATGATATACACTCTTTGCACACTGTCAAAGAATCATTGTACACAAAATCAACTTCGTGCAAAACCAAAACAAAAATACTATCCCATCTGGTGGATGATGGCACAAGCTTCTAAGAAAATTCTATTACAGCGAACCACATTATTTTAATTGATTTCTTCGCCAGTAAGTCGTCTGTCACTTGGTTTGTGCCAATAGGCTAGTCAAGTAGTGAGCCAATTTAAAACCGCTAGTTTCCTTTAGTATTAAATCAACTTCCCGTAGAAAGCTAATTCCAGCTCCACCACCGTTAATCCGGAATTGCACTCAAGTGGATCTGGATAAAAAATATAAACAAACATTATCAACGTTGCCCTTATTTCCGTTTACATACAGTATATTTACCTTGAGAATAATCCACTTGGCATGTTGGCATGCTGATTTTGTAGACCTCCTCGGTACCGTTGGGAGGAGATTTAATCCCAGTTTCGGTCGAATAAATATCTATTTCCGGAACTGTTCTGTGCTTAGAGCTGCTTGATTCTTGATTCTAGCAAGTTGAGTGCTCTCACTAAACAAACCACAATCACGAAGAGATATTCGGAACCGATAAACGCGTCACTCCCGGAGATCGGAGCCCAATTTCGCGGCCCGGATAAAAACAAACGACTTCCACGAACGAAATGAAAACATGGCTGACCGCGTAGTCAGCCGCTACAAAAAAAAATTGATAGCCCGGTGGATGAAATTACTCTAGCGGAGCGGTCCGTCCGGACGTACGATCAGTTTTCAAGCGCCCAATGTCAAATGATGTCACTTTTTCGCTGGCAATTCGTGTGGGCATATGAGAATCACGTAACGTCTACGGGAAAACCGTTATGGAAAAAAATCTATGTATGTTTTCTCGTAGCATTATAACCTAAGGAGGTGGCACCCCTATCTCTACTAATAACAAGTAGCCGTAGCGAGCATAGGCGAGGGCCCACGTACAGACTATGGCTTATATCATGTATTGCAATGAGCACTCATACATCTAGTTTTCACTGGAAATCCTGTATGAGTGCTCATTGCAAGACAGCCTATATTACATGATATAGGTAAGCCATAATCTGTCCGGGGTATTATTTACCATCGGGATTATCTCTCACAATCATGATGTATAACATAATTCACTTTTAAAAAAACAACAGCATACGACCAGTCTATGAAGCTCAAAGTGATAAACATTTATTTTGTAAGAATTCAGTACCCTGCAAATTTAATTCATAAGCCTAGAAATTCAATTCCCGTCTGCTGCGGTCTTTATCAATGAGGTGCTTCCATGTAGCAGTCGTATGACATATTCCGAGAATTTAATGTGGCTAACTAAAATCTGTAGGTAGAACATGCTTTCTTTTCTGTTCTCATTTCTGCACACACCGTTATGGTTTCAATTTCAATAAATTACAAATTCTTTATTCCGTATAAACATTGTTAACTTAGTTGGTTTTAAATATGCACTTCGAAGATAAATCCAAAAAAAAACATTACACGTGAGGGTTGTTCCCTTGATATCCGGATGAGCTGCAACCGGATATTGCAGTCTGGTGATCCAAATGTTGCCCGCAAACAAATCGAATTGGTGCAAGAACAAGCAAAAACGTACCGTAAATCACCCTAAATCAGTGCACAGCATAATTCCGCGCTTTTTATTAAAACAAATCAAATAATTCACTGTTCTTCGGAAATGAACTAGCCCGTGGCTAAAAATCTCCTAAATAAAGTCATTTAAAAAATCACTTTCCTATCTAACATTTTTTTTTACCTAACTGCGACCTTAAGTGCCCTGAATTACGGAGGTTATTCTCGAAAATAGATTTTAAATTTACCTGTATAAACACTAAACAAGTCGGTTTCATTCGAATGAGATCTGCCTCTTCGCCTTCAGGATACTACTAGGTAGAACGACACCTCCAACTAGGAGTTTCGCTTTAGCCTGGGAACCACTTTTGCTATCGGCGTAAGGACTGACATTCTTCTGATCCTTTCCGGAGAAAGACATTTGCTTCTGGGCCGATTTTTGTCGTTGCTCGCTGTCGATGTTCTCCCGGAGAATCGTGTTCTTCGACGTCGATTCAACGAAGGCTGAGGATTGACTGTAGGTGCGAACGGACGATAATTGCGACAGCTGATTGAGGAACTCGGAACTTTGCGAGAATATCGAACCTTGACTGAGCGGCAGCGGTTGGCTAGAGGATGCAACTTGAGACGCATCGATCGACCCGCCTAGGATTAAAACCGACGCGGAGCTGGCCCGCCTCATCATTTGCTTGCGCTGTTCGTATTCTTTCGGAGATATGTAACCATTAGGTTTGAGGATGTTTCGCATGTTCATGATACGAGTTTTCTCCTTAAGATAGATATCGTCTACGTTTTGACCCTGGATCACCTCGAACACGTGTTTGTGGGCCAACCTGTTGGTTCGAGGGGGTTGATTAGCATGTTCAAGTGTCTGGCTTTCAGATGATAACTTACCTTAACAATTTTTCACTAGTACTAGAGACGGAGTGGTCGTTGAATTCAAGGAACAAACGTTTTACAACCCGAGCCAGGTTGGAGGCTACATGTTTAAAGTTTTCGTGCTTCACCGAAATTTGCTTGGATTGCAACGCTTGCGACACAGCCCACAGTAGTTTCTATAGATATAATAAATTTATTTGAATCTAATTAATAGCATGATAAAACCGTGATTGATTACCTTTTTATGGTTCTCCGTTAACGTCGTTACAGGTCGGCTGCCGGAGTGCGGAAATACCACCTCCGAGTTGGCTCTGTACAGATATTTGCCACAGAGACTGCTTTCTGAGGTACCTGTACTATTCAGGGTCTGTGAGCCCACACAAAAGCTTTGACTGCGTGCCAGCCTTAACGATCGAGGCGTAAGATCCTCCTCTTTAATCGAATCCATTCGGGGAAGCTTACATCGGATCGCTTTTTCGTCATCCTCGTCGTCTACTGGGCGCTTTCTTTTGCCATTTGGCCCGACCAAATCCACCGTCTCCCCAGTGCTCATGTTTCTGATTCCGCTACTTTCTTTCAAAATGGTAACATTATTGGTTGAGGATTCGTACCGCTGAGTGGTACCGATATCCGAACGACTATCGCAAGCTGATGATTGCGGGAAATTACATGGCTTTGCTGGGGAGAACAAAGCTCGTTTTGACTTTTGAACTTTGCTGGCTACGGCCCTACTGATGACGCAAGTGGACGTGGACGATGCTTTTGGTACGGGATCGTCGGATGGACTTTGAAACAATGCGCGCTTGGAACCTTCTCTGGTGTGTGGCTGAGTAGCCTTAGCCACTGGTAGACTGAGCATTCGCTTTTTGACCGATGATCCGGGAGTCTTCCTACGAGGCGTCTTTCGTCGACCAGGGGTACGACGCTTCGGCGTTCGTCCTTTGTGCTTGCGACGATTATCTGATTTCCTGCAACAAACAGTAAGGAATGGAATAATACACCCACACTCCTAATAGAGGCCAACCTTACTTGGGATCGAGCAAGATTTGTCTATTGCACGAACGGCGAGATGACGAAGAAGTACCAGCCACACAGGAACCAACTGAGCTGTTGAGTAGATTGGCCGACGAAAAAACTGCTCGACGACGGGCCAAGTGACTCAAACGGCTTCCCGGTGATTGATTAAGCATTCTGTAAATCAAACATTAACATTTTGTTATGAAGGTAACCAATCACCAACAACATAGGGATTCACTTACTTCAAAGGCAAATTCCGTTTTCTCGTGCTACAAGGCGCTCGAGTTTCGTTTAAGGTTGAGCTGGTTTCCGATCCTATGTACCGGTCTATGTATTTCAATCCGAGCATGTCTATTTTCTCGGATATGATAGAATGATTATAGTACAAACCATGCGCTCTGGCTTTCATCAACTCTGGCCACTCCAGCTTGCGAAGTTCTTCCGGTGAATGAGTTGGTTTACTCAAACATACAGATTTGAATGGCTCCACAACTTCATTTCGATAGAACAAGCGATCTTCATTCTGTTTAAACAACGTTAACATTCGACTAGCATCGATGCAAGGGTACGTAACGGACGGAGGAGGCAGAACCCCCGACAGAGAGGATTGTAGCTTTTTCAATAGCGTTTTCTCAATTTGTGCAATTGGATCCACGCAAACGGCACTAGTGCTGGTAACATTGTCTTCATCGCCCACTTCATCGGAATCTGATTTCGAATCATCCATGCAACTGTCATCATTGTCGTCGTCGGCAAAAAGATCCGGAGATTTCTCATTGTTATAATGCATCAACGAGCTGTTCTCCTTCGTTAGTATCTCGAATGACTCGTTTAGCTTATCTTTGCGAACTTTCTCGTTCGTGTTTGTTCTTTCGAGTCCTTTCTTAGCACTCGCCAGCTCGCACTGCGAGCCTTCACAGGGAGCATTCAAGCTTTTAATCTTCCCATTAAAGGAAAGTTCTCCCGGAGGCACTTCATTATGACTGGTTTCATCATCACAAGATGAAATTTTATTGTCGACCGCATTACAGCTGTCTTCAGCTGCCAACATACCGCTAATGCGTTCTGTTTTCTCCGGGGATTTTTCCACAGCCTCAACAGGTCGGTCTACTTCTTGTTCTTTCGAAGAGCTTGGAACACTTGCTTTATCGTCGGCTTGATTAAGTAAACTTATGATCTTATTCTCTATATAGTTTACCGGCGCCTCTTCATTACTCGGTTCCGAGGAAGTTGCTTCCGGCGCCACCCGATCACAATTGGAATCCTACAGATATAGTAAAATATGTTCAAACTAAGTCTTCTTCCCAAATGCTATCATTTCTGTTATACTAACCACAGAGACTTCTCCAATCGATTCATTGTTACTAAGGTTTAGTCTGTTGCTTTTGGTAATCATTTTTCTGATGTAAAATTTACGAAAATGTTTATTTATTATTTTTTGAATTAACTTATCAAATTAAGGGTTTAAGTGTAGATATACCAAAAACTTGGCCTCTATACCCATACATGTTGCACTGATTACGTAGAGCTTCCCCACATCATTAGGACGGAGCGCGCGATATACCTTGTTATGTTGCGTTTGTTGCTTCTTTTTCTAGGCTTGCTACACTGCGTATTCGAATTTTTACGCTCCTTTTTTTTCTCTTGCCAACAGAGGCTGGGATGAAATTAGGCTATTTTCACAAACGCATTCCGGACACAGGTTTGGGATCGATCGCTATGAATTTTAGCAAAACATTCATCCCGTTACTTAAACTATAGTGTTAACATAAAATAATAGTAAACTTTACGCCGAAAACTGTAGAAAATTGCAAAATAAAACTTAGCTCCACCATTTGCTTCCACTGTTCTTCTTGAAGTGAAGAAACTTTTTGGGTTATGATATTGCATGAAATGTTTCAACGGTTATTTTGTTGCACGACCTGTATAACAGTTTCGAGCGTTTCAGATGTGTGTCAGGAGGGAATAAATCTCGACCAACAATTGACAAGCGCCTATCAGATTTTGTAAACAACACTGATAAATTAAACTATTCCCCTGAATATAGTATACAAAGTAAGCATTTTCGAGGGAGACTGCCCGCATAAACGCGAACCATAAATTGACCTTACCTAAAATGGTTAAAAATTGTTTATAATCCCTGCTAAACTTTAACTGGAATGGTTATGGAACTTTACATGAACGTTTAATGATAAAGTTTCAACCTTATGTATTATAGTTTTTTGGAACTGGACCTTACAAATAATGGGTTGTTAAGAACCATTACCGTTCCAAATTTTTGTTTTCTCCATACATTTTCGGAAAGAGAACTATATTAGAACCTTTTAACTTATGGTTTGAGAACTTTAATGGTAATGGTTATGGTAGTCAGTAAGGTCCACGAATGGTTTTGTAACATCGATCAACTTTATGTGGAATATATCGTGAATTGGTTGCCTGTAATTTACTGATTACCAATTCACGATATAATCCACGTAAAGTTGAGCGATAATACAAAACCATTAATTGACCTTACTGACTACCATAACCATTACCATTAATGTTCTCAAATCATAAGTAAAAACGTTCTTATATAGTTCTCTTTCTGAAAATGTATGGAGAAAACAAGAATTTGGAATGGTAATGGTTCTTAACAACCCATTATTTGTAAAGTCCAGTTCCAAAAAACTATAATACATAAGGTTGAAACTTTATCATTAAACGTTCATGTAAAGTTCCATAACCATTTCAGTTAAAGTTTAGCAGGGATTATAAACAATTTTTAACCATTTTAGGTAAGGTCAATTTATGGTTCGCGTTTATGCGGGTGGGACTACCCATTCAACGAGTAAAAATATTACCGATTTATGAGTATTTGTTACTCAAAAATGAATACTTACTACTTGTTTTTGTAGTTGTAATTATTCATAAATGGGTATAATTTTAATCATTTAGGCTCTGAACCATTTGGTGGATTATTTTAACTTTTGGTTAAAATTTGACAGATGGAAAGTTATCGATTAACCCTGCTATCCGAGCATGGTTATTTCTGACAGACAAGAAGTTAAATTTTGACGACCATGGCTCGAAAACCGGTCGATCGACAGCACGGGGATTTTCGAACATAGAAAATAACTTTCGAAATGTCACTTTTAACCACGAGTTAAATTTAACTCGGCAAATGGTTCACAGCCTTAATGGGTAGTCCCAGTTTCCCTCGAAAATGCTTACTTTGTAGTCATTATTGGGTATTTTGCGGTTACCGTGTATACACCACCAGCGCCGGCTCAGTACATGTCAAATTATAACAGTTTATTTGACATGTTGATGCGCAAAACATTTGGTTCGTGTATGACACTAACGACAACAGATTTTAACCAACATCCAGTTGCATCCGTGTTTTCTTCAAATTTAATTTCAGCATTCGTAGAGCGTAGATTAATCTGACGAAATTGAACCTTAAATATGCCATTAACCGCGGAGCAAGCAATGCTCCAAGTGCAGGTATACATTGTTTTATTTTCAAATATTCGGGATATTCACTATGATGTTTGAAACAGGAGCGTCTACGGTCCCTCAAATCGCTGATAGTTGAAATCGAAAACGAACGGAAGCGGAACGAGCCAAACATCGTAACAACTATTCGATTGGCCAAGATGTCGAGCGAAGAGAAGTCGCCAGCTGTGACCCACAAGTTGAAAACGCTTCACAAAATTGGCATTCAGGATGCAATCCAAGAGGAAAATTTAATCCGCCAAGCTCTAGCTAAGATTCAAGACATTCGAAACATACGCAACGAACGTAGAATCCAAGCGAGAAACGCCGGTAACAAGGAAACCATCAGAAGAGGAGCGTTGATGAAGATGCTGCAAATTTCAGCGCAAACATTACCGCTGTTTGTAAGTAAACCTGGAGAAAAGATTCCGCCTTTATGTGGAAGCATAACAGCAGATAATAGTTATGTTGCCAAACCGGGAGACATGGTAGCAGCTTTGGTAAAAGGTTTGGAAGACGAAGAGAATTGGATTTTGGCCGAAGTAGTCCAATACATTTCTTCAGCAAACAAATATGAGGTGGATGATATAGACGAAGAACAAAAAGATCGACATATTCTAAGCAAACGTCGTATCGTTCCACTACCGTTGATGAGAGCCAATCCTGAAACTGATGGGCAAGCACTATTTCCAAAGGGTACGACAGTTATGGCGCTATATCCTCAAACTACCTGCTTCTATAAGGCAGTCATAAATCAACTTCCTCAAACGGCTAACGAAGAGTACGAAGTATTGTTTGAAGATCCTACTTATGCAGACGGTTACTCGCCGCCGTTGTTTGTCGCTCAGCGTTATGTTATTGCCATCAAGCAGAACAAAAAGGTCGGAGGTAGCTCCTGACAGTCCTCTCAGCAAACAACGGTCTCCACTACGAATTCGTTTGGATCTGGGGCAGGAACATCAACCGCCTCATCGGGCAGTGTGGCCAATTTAGCAGGTTCTGCCGGGGGAAATATTTCTGTATCGTCGGGAAATTTGATGCAGTCAAAGGAGGAAAATTTAATGGATGCATTTATGCTGGATGATCAGTTCTAAAATGTTCTCAAACCGTTTTGTCTCTAATAGTAAAGTGGTCAACTACCTAGTAATCTTGTCTCAAATGTCTACATTAAAATATACGTAATTAACTGGACATCATTTTTTTTTATCATTAAGAAAAATCGACCCTCTGTCTTGATCTGTAATTGGGTTTTTAATTTTGAATAATATGCCGGTTCTTATACATCATCTGAAAGAGCTTCATATTTTTTTCGATCCCATAGACTTTAATCTCGATTTTAAATATGCTCATTTTTTCTAATGTAATCGCACGTATTTAAAATAGTGCACCAAAATTGATGAAATTCTGGATTTCGGTTCCATTTTTAATGTATATTAACGACTTTCTACGTGAGCGAACTGTCAATTTGTTGATTTAGTGCCAAAAAGCGTTATTATTTTGCTTTAAATCTTCATTTAAAAACCGAGAGGATAGTCCATGGATTCGAAAAAAAATATCGTGCTCAGAAAACGAAGGGCATTCAGATGAAGAGCTTTGAGTGTGTTGGTTTATTTCCTTTTAATTCCGTTATAATTGCTTATCTTTTGACAGATACGCGTATTTCGTCTACTACTTGCAGACCGAGTTGCAGACTTCATCAGTGTCAAGTACTCAACACCACTTGGCACTGATGAAGTCTTCAAAGGGATTCCGTTATGGGGTTCGACAAATTTAAAAGATTGTCATTCAGATAATTTTTTTTTCTTTGATTTGTTTTCCGTCGATCTTGTTTTCCGTGCTGAGCACCAATGCTACCGACGCCAGGGAGGCAGCTCCCACACCTGGACCCTACCTATCGACCCATCAACTCATGAACCGGGGGCCAACGGTTTTACTTCCCTTCCGAAGGAAGGCGTGATCAGAGATGTTATGCCTCAGTACATCCCGACGGCGCCGACTGGGATTGAGCCTAGGCCTGCTGGGGTGAGAGGTAATCACGCTTACCACTACACCATCGGCGCCGCTTTCATTCAGATAATGTATTCAAACCGATTGGTGAAATGGATGTAATGTCGACCTAAATGCCCCTTATTTGAGCCCATACATAAATTCAGCAATCGACAAAATTTTCAATAGCGTTCATCTAGATAAAATGGATAAATAGCAGATTTTTAGCGATTGACCCAATCTTAGATGGCGTAAACGCGTTGATCGATTGTCTTCGTCCATTTTCGCTTTAGTTAATAACTCGCTTGAATTAACGTTTCTCGGTCCGTTTGCTGGTGCTTTTGATTGCCAATACAACTTGTTACAGTACTGCATTGAACAAATTCTAGAAATTGTTTCGCTTAGCTGTAGTAATGCAAAGAGAAAACCGATGAAGAGAATCGATCATCGCGTATACGCCTTTATGCATGCTCACTGTTTATTTGATAAAACCGAATGCGATTCAGTCGAAGTTAACGAAAACAGGATGTAGAAAAGTGCGACCGGGATGAAGATCAAAGTGATAACAGTTTGGATGCTAGTTCGTACGCAGGAATCGTAGCCGGAGGTGCCACAGCGGACGCGATTGAGGTGCTCGACGAAGAAGTCAAGGCCATCGACGAGAAAACCCTGGATGAAGACAATATTGAAAAAGAAGAACAAGCAAGTGGAAACCCGGTTCATAAGCGGTTCGATTTCCGCAAAGACTCGACTTACTTGATGGCAAAATAAAGGCCGGCGCACAATAGATACGTTTTCAGGTTTTTGACAGGTACGCTACTCTTCCCACCGATGTTGGGAATACCACCTCAGCCACGGTGAAGTGGTCTAAGAAGAAGAAGAAAAATCAGGGCCAGTCCGATGGTGCGAGTGGACAGGATGCCACCGCGACGAACGTCAGCGTCATTGGTGATTTCAGCGACGCCGTCGACAACGAAACTGCTGCCAACCCGAGTGCAGCAAAAATAAAGCTTCCTCCAATGGTGGTGTAGCAAGTGCCACTCAACACGCTGATTGGCGATCTCTCATCGCTGGACGTTGCAGCTGAGTTTAAGCTCGGTAGGATCGGCACGAAGGTGATGCTCCGAACGAAAGCGGAGTACGAGGTGGAATTCTTCACGCATAACATCCCCGGTGAGAAGCCCTTCAAGGTAGTCATCAGGGGTCTACCAAACTTCGACCCCAAGATGGTTGAAGCTGAAATCAAGAACCGGTACAAACTAGCCCCAATCGCTGTCTTCCGAATGACAAGGAGAGACGAAAACGTGAAGACAAAACATAACCTTAGCACTTGTTCCACCTGATCATGTAAGTAAGGCAACAGTAAAAGTGGTGGTATTTCATTGGTGCCGGGGAGATAATATGTTACCCCGGCTCCCACCTATTCTGCACCTCTTATATCGCCTTACAATGCCAGACTAGAGTCAAGCTCAACAGGGTTTTCTTTCCCCGCTAGTGTTTCCAAGCCCGTTCCCTTGGCTGTGGTTTCGCTAGATAGTAGATAGGGACAGAGGGAATCTCGTTAATCCATTCATGCGCGTCACTAATTAGATGACGAGGCATTTGGCTACCTTAAGAGAGTCATAGTTACTCCCGCCGTTTACCCGCGCTTGCTTGAATTTCTTCACGTTGACATTCAGAGCACTGGGCAGAAATCACATTGTGTCAACACCTGTTGAGTGAGGCCATCACAATGCTTTGTTTTAATTAGACAGTCGGATTCCCTCAGCCGTGCCAGTTCTGAATTGACTGTTTGGTAATGACTGCAGCGCCCGCGGGACACACACCCACACACGGGAGCCCGCGAAGGCCCCGCGCGCAAGCGTGCACCCACGGAGGAACGCATTGAGGCAAACCCCCACCGCGAAGCGGGAGCACAGCCCGAGTCATCCCAGTCTTCAGAGCCAATCCTTACCCAGATTGTCTTTTCCTGGTGCACTTCCAGAAAGGGAAGGTGACGCTCAATGCGCTACAACCCATCCGATCGATCTACTCCATCATCGTACGGTGGGAGCCATACCGTGGTGGCCACGGTGGCCATCGTGACGTAACGCAGTGCCAGAGGTGCCTCAATTTTCGAGTCAATTTGGACACGGTACCCGCAACTGCAACATCAAGCCACGCTGCAGCAACTGCGCTCACGAACACGCCACTTCTGACTGCCCTGCGGATGGAGCCGTGGCGTTAAAATGCGCCAACTGTGGTGGTGCCGTCAAGGTTCTGACAGACAGTGCTCCAAACGCATCCGAAAGCAGGCGATAATCAACCAGGACGCAAGAAGGACAACCTCTCCTCAAGAAGCTTCCAGTGATTCTGCTCGATAAAGATTTCCCCCCTGGATTCAGGAGACAATCACCAGCGCTAAGCAACAACCCCGATCTGTTCTCAGCAGATGAACTGATGGAAATCTTCGAAGAGCCGCCATAAGCCCGAGCAGATCCAAGTCCTCGGTAAGTTCATCATCCAGTATGGCATCTAAACCGCTAACTATCATCACCTGGAATGCTTGCGCTAACGGCGCCGGTGGTGTAGTGGTAAGCGTGATTACCTCTCACCCCAGCAGGCCTGGGTTCAATCCTAGTCGGCGCCGCCGGGATGTTCTGAGGCATAACATCTCTGATCACGCCTTCCTTCGGATGGGAAGTAAAGCCGTTGGTCCCCGGTTCATGAGTTGATTGGGTCGATAGGTAGGGTCCAGGTGTAGGAGCTGCCTTCCTGGCACGTCGGTAGCATTGGTGCTCAGCACGGAAAACAAGATCGACGGAAAAAAACAAACCAAAGAAAAAAAAAAAAAAATGCTTGCGCTGTAAGAGCTAAACAGATTTAACCGAGACCCATCTAAAATCTGGCGACAGCTTCTGGTAGCCTGACCACAACATTATTCGGCTTGATCGCACCAGCTCCAGGGGGGAGGGGGGGAGGTGTTGCGGTCGTCGTCAAGAAAGGGATAAAATACCACAGTTTGTCCCATATCCGCACCTCTATCATCGATGCCCTTGGTGTGGAGGTGGAGTCGTCGACTGGATACGTCCAGCTCATCGCCGTCTACTGCCCTCGACAGTGTGCCGCCAGCAGTGGACTAGCGGCTAAATTCAAGAAGGACCTGTCCACCATCACCCGTACCGGTTCCCGCTTCGTAGTTGGCGGAGATCTAAACGCTCGCTATGAGGCCTGGCGGAACTACCAGCAGAACCAGAACGGTCGTCTGCTGTTTGACCACTCACAGCATGGGCTGTACTCCGTTTGGTTTTCGGATGCGCCAACATTTATCTCACCGGCGGGCAACCCAACGACGCTAGACCTGTTCCTGACAAGTACCGGCTTGTCCAAGCCGGTAGCCTTGAACGAACTCAGCTCCGACCACCAACCGGTGCTGGCTGAACTGGGCTACAACGTGGACCCTGCTCCAAGCCTGCGCAAGGACTACCATCACGTAAACTGGATCAGTTTGAGCGCGTGGTAGACAGGCACATCATCGACAACCCGCCGCTTGACACCGTGGAGGACATCAACCGAGCGTTGGAGGGACTCCACCAAGCCATAACCGTGGCTGACGAGGCTGCGTTCGACGAGTTCCTGTGAGGGGTAAGCTTATTGCCAAAGAATCCCACACCTAATTGATTCGCCTGAGAAATGTTCGTAGACGCCAGTTTTTTTTAGTTTGGTCCCACTGGTCATATTGCCCCACTTTCCCCTATATGTAAAAGTCTGATTGATAAACCACCTCAGGATAGAAGGAGCTATGAGACACTGAGACTGAGGACTTTTTTTCTACTTATCAGACTAAGAAAAAATAAGTCAATAAGTGTTTCATTTCTGAAAAGTACAAGTCAGTTTACAAACGCAGGTAGAGCAAAGTATAGAAAACAGAGGAAAAAAGTACAAATAGTTTACAAGTTAACAGGATTCGATCAAAATACCGCCATAATTTCGTGTACCTATGCTCCTAATTATGCGCATTTTTGAAAAATTCAAACCAAATTTTTATTGAGGATATTTTGAATTAAGATAGAAATTCAAATCGGTATTATTTACTAGTTTATGGGTAAAATATAAATTTGGAAAATAGTACAATACACTACGAATTGACCACTTTGTTAAGCAGTTTTGGCGTGACTTTCTACCAGCTATTTCACAAAACTGAACCAACTAATTTCTATTTTGTTATGAAACGCACAAATGTTGGCTACTTTTCTCGTGGTTCTAGAAGAAAAAATTTCAAAATAATGTTTTATTTCAAAGTTCAAGTGGTAGTAAACGTCATTTCAACTGCACGAATGAAGTGGTTAATTGTTGAAAAAATGCGCGGAGTTAGGCGACGCACGAAATTATGGCACTTCACGGTATATACAAACATAGTTTATTTGGTTCTACATCAACAGACTGGGTTTAGTCTTAAGGCCGTTTGCAATGCTGAGTTTTTTTTTTTTTAATTCTTTATTTAAGAGATTTTTAGCCTTAGGCTAGTTCATCTCTAAAAGCAATGCTGAGTTTCAAAATTGTTTTAAACTACACGACAATTCTATAATTTGAAACTGTCAAAAATAAAACTGCAACACGATCAGCGCAACGCACAGTTTTAAAAGATGTTTGTAATCATCAAGTTCCATAAACTTTCTTGTTCTCTATGAAGTTCTCCGTTTTTTGTTTGTGAAGCTCATCGAAACATCTTTAAACACATCCCAAGAAATTTGAAACAGAGTTCCATTCGTGTTTCAAACTCGCTCAGAAATAAAACAGAATAGTCGAGCAGTTGCAAATCTGGTGCAAAATAGTGCTCGAATAATGAAACTGCAACTCAGCATTGCGAGAGGTGCGTTTCTGTTCTAGTTTCAAATTGAAACAGTACTTATAAAATACAACAGCATTGCAAACGGCCTAATGATGGATTAAGTAATACTAGGAAATACAATGTAGTCAAGAAGTAACAAGCTGCAAAGGCCGTGAAGTCCAACTTAATTCCTAATTCTTAAAAATATATCACGGAATCTCTGACGCAGCGTCTCGCGTGCCAAGTAAAAATCAAATAAGGAAGCAACATGATTGAAAACCCTTTGTAGCTCATTGATAGCACCATACGAACTATACTTTGTACGACGAAAAGGTATCCTCAGCATTGCGTTGTTACGGAGTGCTCGTGGTTGAACGTTAACGTCGATTTGTTGTAGAATAGAATGACAATGGATTCTGCGCTGCAGAATGTCTGGCACTAACAGGGCCGTTGTCGTATCTCTTTGACTCCACAAAGGATCCAGGTGAATTAACTGGCACCGACTTTCGTAGCTTGGAAGGCGATAAGGATCCCTCCAAGGCAATCGTCGAGGTCGAAGAGCAAACCAGATGAATCGTCGTTGAATAGACTCTACGCTTTGTACACTGTTTTAGTAATTGGGATTCCATACAGGGCAGCAGTATTCTAACACCGACCGGACGAGGGAGCAGTAGAGCGACTGCAAACAGTAGATGTCCGTGAAACTTTAAGCTATCCTGAAAATGAAGCCGAGCGTTCTGGATGCTTTGTCGATCACGTACGAGATATGCTGGCTGTATGTGAGTTGACAATCTAAGATGCCTCCCAGATCCTTAATGTGATTCACACGATGTACGTCAACGCCTTCTAGGATATAACTGAATGTAATTGGATGTTTCTTCAGTTGGCACCTATTAGCAAAAGCGTTGAGCTGGAGTTGGAGAAGGTCGTGACAGTCGTGGACCGTCGAGGACAAAATTAACGTCGTTGAAATACACAAGAAATATCAACGGGCCGAGGTGGCTACCTTGCGGAATACCCGAAGCGGCAGGGAACGAAGGAGATCGGCAGTCGTCGATTGCAACTTCCAACTGACGATCAGATAGATAAGATGCGAACCATCGTAGGAGACTGCCGTTTATACCGAGCCTATCCAGTTTGGCGATCGCTATAGGTTGGTTGTAGTTGAGATTGCAATCAAGTTTTTTTTTTAACTATTCGTTTATTTGTTAGGCTTAAATGTCGTTAAACTTTACGGAGCCGAGGTCTATCAAAATACAATAAATCCTAGTTAAATTACATTATTTTTCTTTTTCTTATTTTCAATTTGCTCTAAATAGATGGCATCAATCCTCTTCTTGCTTTCCTCGATCAATGCACACCGTTCTTCAGGATCGTCAATATGCGAAAGATCTGGGATCGTATATGGACGCTGTGTATATGGACAAATATCACCACTCACAGAGATCAGGCTGCTATCACTTTCGCTTGAGTCATTTGCGTTCAATTTTTTGGTTGCATTGTTTGTGGTGTCCGAGTCGACTGATCGCTGGCGTTTCGTTTCGGTTTTGTTGTTTTGCTGTTGGTCTGCATTTGGTATCGATTTCGGGAGCGAGGGCCACTGCTTACTGCTGGCTGCGTTTGATGGAAGTTTGTGTGCGTTGTTGTTGTTCTTGTTCTTACTGTTAACGTAGTTGTTGTTGGTGCTGCTACTGAGAGTATTGTCTTCGTTTGCTACTGCTGTTACTGCTGCTGCTGCTGCTGCCACATCGGAGCAGCGTTGCTTTGGGTGAGATTTGCGCTCACAATTGCGACATGTTTTCACTTGGTTTGGGTATGATACCAGTGTAATTTCGCCATCCACGGTGATGAATGACGGGATGGGAAGAATAAGTCTCATTTTTAAAACACACACTCCATTGCTGAAGCCTGGAAAATAACTCTTCCAAACCTCACCGCGAATTGCTATCACCTCTCCATACTGGCGCATATGGTCGATGATAGCCACATTTTCCATGTCATCTGGGAGATCATGCAAACGTACGTCGACAGCGCTGCTTTCGACATAAATTGGAATAGAGATCTTTTTTCCCTCATACTCCATAAAATGCTTCAGGTGATGAGCTGAAGCGATTCTTCTTGCTACTTCGTTACTTTGCATACCCAGGTATACAACGTTTTTCACATTGTGTGGCTGGATGCATTTCACTTGTGACATATCAAGTTGCAGTTCACTTTCTAAAAATCGTTTGATTTCCGAAATACACGGCCGCTTAGGCAGAATGGATGTATCCAAAACGACACAGTTTTCTCGCAAAGCCCGCATGGCTATGGGCAACAAAACTCACGCGCGTCACACAAAAGAAGTTCGAGAATGGTATTATACGTCTGATCGGTTAAGGAGATGGATAGCAACTGTGCAATCAAGTTAACCGGCTATGTCCCGGTTTCCGGTTGAGTGGAAATTTCAAGAGATTATCTCGAGGGCATTTTAAGAAAGTACTCCACGGTAATTTTAGGATAATACTAGGGGAAACTATGAGAATTACAACAGCAAAGGAATCCTAAGGATAATTCCTAGACAGAGTTGCGACCTATCACAATCATGATCGCCAAACAGCTGATGGTAGTAACGCTTTTTACATTCCTATCAATGTGCTCGTCGAAGCTCTCTCCATGACCATCCATCAAGTTGACGAAAGAAGTAAAAAGCAACTGGTGAAGTAAAAAGCAACTCTTCTGTTGTGATCCATCACCGATCTGGTCATTCCCGACAATCACGACACTCATCTGTGCTCGTTTTGAAGCAGTTGCTGCTTTGCTTGCTTATGTGAGTGTGTTGGTGAGTGAGCCCAGCAGCTTCCGTTTCATGTTGCCTGCTTTGTTTGTAACTCACACAGTCACACAAATTTATGAAACACTAGGACATTGTTAATTTGTTTCGATCTCAGACCTTATTTTTGGTTTCTCGCACTAAGGAAAGTTAAGAATTGCGAGCTTGAAAACATATTTAAGATATCGAACTTTGAATTTGTATTAACAGAATTCGATTAATAAATTTATAAAGCGAATCAACTTATTTTAAGGTTCAAATCAAATCACCGGTTCAGTGGCCACCCTGCTCTTAGCTCACACAAACTAACACCGCCATAATGTTGGGGAAAACTTTACCCTACCTGATTGTGGTGTTAGTTTGCGTGGGTAAGCCAAGAATTTCCGCTGACCGTAACATACGTTGTACAGTGCTGTTCGACATAATAGCAGCGCATGCCGATTTTCCTACAAAATGGTCAACTTTGGCATGGGGCTGTTCATTAACTACGTAGACAGTATTTTTGGGATTCTTATGATGAATTGAGCTGAAACCCTAGTCACAGAACTACAAATATGTTCAATTTTACGATTACAAAATACCAAATTTTTGGAAGCACCTGCCGAAAAGTAAGATACTAGGTGAATTGTTCTAAATAATACAGTGTTAATAATTTGCTTTTAAGCTCAATTCTGAGATTTTAAATATGACATTTCTCAAAATTCAAACAATCCCCACCCAATTAACAAATTTACATAGGGGTAAGAGGGGCATAGTGAACAGGTGGGGTAAAGTGAGCATCCCGTGCACCAGCTTGGACTTCCGGCCATTCGGAACAAATTTATTGGTGGTACGATCAATATCATAATGATATTGAACCTACTACCAGTTGATTTGTTTCATGCAGCTAGAGATCCAGGGCCAAACTGCGGGATGCTCACTATGCCCTTCCTCCTCCTAATAGCCATTTTGTTTAAATATTTGCAGTACATACATTTTCAAAATGCTATTATTTCGAACAATTTTACCCAAAAATTTGGTATTTATAATCGTAACAATGAACATATTTGTAGTTCTGTGCCGAACGTTTCAGTTCAATTAATCTTAAAAGAACAAAGTTACAACATGACAAAGTTGTCAATTTTGTATGAAAATCGGCATGCGCTGCTATTATATCAAACAGCACTGTATGTGAATCGTGTGTTTGCAGGTATTCAACAGTTTTAATTCATTATTTATATTTTGCTCAGACATCAAAAAACGGCCAGTGATACATCTCTACGATAGGCCATTGAATCCGTAATTGTTATCCTTATGTTTTATTCTCTAAAACTTAAACTTTTCATTTTGATATTTTCGTCTCTTGTGGTCTTCATTCTTTTTTTTTTGCTGATGCTCCTTGTTATTTTTTTGTGGGCTCCAGGTCCTCTTTTCTCCAAACTGCAGATGTATCTTTTCATTATTATTTTTTTTCAAAAAACTTGTCTTCTTTTCTCAATGCATTTTTTTTTGCATGGTGGCGGATTTTCAAATCTTTTTCCCATTTTTTGTGTTTTGTTTTTGCCATCTTTTGGTGTTTGCCATGTCTTTTGATTTTTTTTTATCGATCCGCATCTTTTCGTGGAGGCTATTTTGTGTTTCCAGTGGCTCTTTTTTGTTGTGGCATTTTATGTCCATTTCCTCTTTTGTGTTTTATGTTTTGAACGGATTCAAAAAACATTATTTTTAACAACGGCGACTCTTTTTCTCTCTGACAATGGCTTTTGCATTTATTTTGGGAATTTTCAAACACTCTCGCAAAGGAATGCAATTTACGATTTTAATGCATCCGGATTCGAAGGTTGTAGAGAATATTTGAAGACAAATAATGTTTTTTGAAAAGATATTCGTAATGAAATATAATAATAATAATCTGTAAAGTATTAGACAGAATGATGTTTTTATTGGGTCAAAACAAAACAAGTTTTTTTTATTTTAACATGGTAAAATTAAAAGCTTGAATATGTTATTAAACTGGTTAGTGATGTATGGGAAACACATTGAAAAGCTTGTTAATGCATTGGTGTGATGGTGGATGATGTGAATGTAGGGTGAAACATGATACTACAAAAGATCTAAACCAGTAGTTTAAGTCTCCAAAAAAGGTGAAACTTTCCCGTGTTTTAATTTTCAAAAGGACGAATCTAACAATACCGTAATTTGAGAAAAACAAAGTTGAAACTGAGTTTAAATAATAAAAACAAACAGTAGAATCACATTAGGCATTTTTGAACAGTCAAGTTGTTGGTACTTCGAACAAGTTAGATTGGACTGTTTAAATAACTAATGGCTATTTCCGGGAATTATTCGACTAAGCAAGCAAGCAACGCACAATGCATCTGGGTCTGATCCGTTGCGGTAAAGTAACAGCTAAAATATTATCGCAAGATTCGCAACGGATCAGATCCGGATGCATTGTAGTGCTGTGACGATATCGATAAGTCCGATATTATCGATACGATAACCGATATTTAAAAATCCGATATCAACAATAATGGAAATTCGATATCGGTCAGGTTTTAATAATCATCGACATGGTTCTATCTCCAGTTGAAGGATCTGGTAACGAAGAATTTGTTCGTGACGAGCCATTGAGAAAGATCTCTACCGCTAATTTGGTATGCAGTTATCACGAGGGAATGGTTCAACGCAATAATAACCGAAGTGGACGGTTCACTTCGTACGAAAATTGATATGTAGGTACGCGAGGAGTGGTATCGAACTAATGACATGTGCTATTTTACGGTACTTATATTACTTAGGACAAGTAAGAAAAGTACATTCCCATATTTGTTCCTGGTGGCTCTGAAACTTCTGTCAAATACAACAATCTCGGTCCCTTGGGAGCGTTTGTTTTCGTAAACACGGCAAATTTTGAGTGATGTAGGCTCAAAGAGTGAACAGAATATTTTTGTTTGTGTAATAGGTACCGATGTTTTTGATATTCCAAATGCATTATGAAGTTGGAAGAGAATTAAATATATTTTCCATTGAATATTGGATCGATACTCAAAATCCGATATCGAAATGATATCGATATTTTCAGAGACCGATATCGATATTATCGATAAATACGACCTCGTCACAGCACTAATGCATTGTGCGTGGTTCTTAACCCAAAAGTCCTACTGGCTTCCTCTGGATGTGGAAATTACTTTTAAGTTCCAGCGGAAGTTTATTCTGACTGATTCAGAAGTCCTTGTGACTTCCTTTGGAAGTGTCTTTCAACTTCCATGCCACTCATAAGGCAATTAGTTGCAATGATTAGGATTGTTAATCATCACTTATCAGTTTTGTATGGGAACGAAAATGAGAGATAAGCGATTTTGATAAATTCTAAGAGGTTGCTGAAAAGTAATAAAGTCACTCATGTGTTTATCACGTACAAAGTGAAGTATACTTTGGGGCGCCATTAGGTTGAATTTGGAATGAATAATAGGACCCAGGTGTTTGATGTTTCAACACATCACCTCGCCAAGAACAAAAAATCAGTGCTAACATTTGAAAACGGCACAAAAGCCATTTGTAAACAAATGGTTTGTGGGCCCTTTACTCACTACTTGAAGTACACCCACGCGACACAACAGCAACATCGGGTAGGGGAAATTTTCCCCTTCCTGACGATGCTGTTGGTTTGCGTGGGCGTTCTTCGGGTAGCGAGTAAAGGGCACACAAACCATTTGTTTACAAATGGCTTTTGTGCCGTTTTCAAATGTTAGCACTGAAATGTTGCGCTTCGACTGTAACAATCGAAAGACTACACATTGGCTTTCTGCAGGTTTACAGCGTGCAAGTAAAACATTCAGTTAACTAAATAGGGGAAATTACTCTAATACTGGCCTAAAGATCTAAAGATTGGATCCATCGTTGAAGTATCGTATTTGTAGGAAAAAAGATGAATCTGGACGTTGCAATTACAAAGTTGATCAACAACATCATACTTTGTGATTTTGCATTCGATATTGAAAATATCGACAACCTGCATCAATGTGTATTACAAATAAACATAAAATAGAAGTTGATGTACCATGTCGACGCCGGTTCCTGATACTCGCTGCAAACACTACTTACATAGGTATGTTCTAGGGAAGAGAGTTTATCGAGCTTTTGAATATTATATTCAACCGAATATAATTGAATTTGAGATTCAACCGAAAATATATAAGCCGGGAATCATTAGCTACTGAGTTTCATGTACGACAATGGTTTCATGTGTAGATGATAGACTTTGAGGCGTATTTTGGGTCGCAGAAAATAGATTGTACCCAATTAGTAGCCCACCGAAAGAACGATGAACCGTGCACATACGGACGGAGCAGTGAAAGGTATTAAAATGAGTTTTATCTACTTACCCTAGTTGCCACTGGTGCTCTCTCAGTGTCTCTACGTCGGGGGTTATCCTAGATGCTAGAAATGAAACGTATGCCGTAGTGAATGCGTTTTCGGCTTATAGCGAATATCGGGTGGTGTAGGATCTAGCCCGCTCCTAATACGGTGCGTAATAAGTAGCCCTTCCTCGGTATCCACGACTGTTGAGTGCGTTTGTGATGGTTGACGTAGTATGCGCGAAACAGATAAAAAATCAGATGGAAAACAAAAACGGAAAATAATTTATTTCCAACAAGGTATGGCTTCGATTCTATTCATTATATCTTGCGTTTTGATAAGGTACGTACGCAGGCCTTCGTGTTCCTCGGTGTCCTCCGTAGCAGCATGCCCTCGAAACTCTAGCCCCCCGTCCTCGAACAGTGCCACGAGGGAAGCGATTCGTGGTACACATTCCAGGTCGATTTGTACGTTTCGGATTCACTTTGATTTGGCGTCCACGGAAGAGGGTTTCGTTCATTGCAAGTGCCGTTTCGACAAATTCCTTCGAGCCAAATTCTATATAGGCAAAGCCCTTCGGGTGTCCATCGGCTTTGTTGCAAAGAATGGTAACCCTATTGATGGTGCCACATCCATGGAAGTGGGCTTCTAGTTCTTCGGCTGTTGCGCCGTAGTCAACGTTTCCCACATATATGGAACGATTATCTATTTCGGCTTTTTCCTCTGCCGTAAGAATTGGAGTAACACCTGTGGGTGAACCTAGGGTCATTTGTTTGGTAACTTCCGTTTGTAGTTGCTTCAATTTCTCCGCTTCTTCCTCCATTTCTTTAACACGAGCTTTGATAGCTTCTAGTTCTGGGTCAATTTGCATTTCAGCCCCCTTCAAATAATCATCCTGTAAGTGATTGCTTCTGATTATCTTATCGATAAAACAATTTTGTATAAAATTTACCTCAATAATCAGTTCCGAATCATCATCATTGGATCCTAAAGCTCCCAGGTTGGAGTCGTTTAATAGACTTTCATCAGCCATTATTTTTTCTAGTAACGTAAACAAAAAAAAACCGCGTTAATGATTGTTGTGATGGGATTTGAATCCACCGGTGTCAATCATCAATGATCATCAAAGCAGAGCGGCATCACTCAAGATGATGATGACGAGACACCGAAGCAGTAATGGCCGCCGACCGAAAAATTTGATCGTGCATCAGTAGCCGGTTTCAGATTCATTTTTCGCAGCAGAAAACATACTCCACACTAACCTTTTATAAAATCGTGATAAAACGGATGCTAAATAACGGTTTTACACTAATTTGAAGCTAAACTGGTAATTGTTAACAACAACAATTGGAATTATAAATCACACTGACCACGACCGCAACTTCTCACCGAAATTTTTTTGCAAGCTCTTTATTTCATCGAACATCGAATGGCGGGCGTCGCATCAGGCTGACGTAACGCATGGTGACGTATCCGGTGTTATGCGATTCAAAATGCAAACGTTATTCTATAAAACGGTACTCCAAACGTAGATTTTTCTTAGCAAAGTTCATCCGGATAACTCCTCTGAAGTTTGTCTGAATGCTTCACACTCTAACTTTATATTACCCATTAATGAGTACAATTTCACCCATTTTGAAGTATAGCTGGTTAACCCATAAAATGGGTAAAAATTAATGAGAAACGTTTACCCACTAATAGATAACAATTACTCATTTATGGGTACAAGTTACCCATTAATGGGTAACTTTTTTACCCATTAATGGGTAACTTTTTTACCCATTAATGGGTAACTTTTTTACCCATTAATGGGTAACTTTTTTACCCATTAAATTGGTTAACCTATTTTACTTCAAAATGGGTGAAGTTGTACCAACAATCAATACGAAACTAACGATTTTAAATTGGCTCACCACTTTAGTAGCCTATTGGTCCCAAGCAAACGATTAACGTACCCTATTCTAGTTGAAATTCTATTACTACACTATGTTTGTTTTGATTCGCTATGAAAGTTTGACAGATAACATCAGGGGTGTGTGGATTCATGCAGAACATGCAGGGGTGAGTGAAATAGCTTGGGACTGCTTGGGACCGTTGTTCTGGTACTGAGTGAGCCAAAAATAATAATGATTTTCTTCGGGACCCAGTGGTCTTAGAGTTACCTCTATGCATAAACTGAATCCACCCAGAAGCACACATGAAATTTATGAGTCAAATGAATAGTATGTGTGGTTACATATGGCTTTTATGTGTACACATATTAAGTATGTGTCCAACACATAGATATCATTTGTTGATCTCATTGCAAAAATTCATGTGCGGGACACATAAAAATAATCTTTGAAATTTTATCAGTGTAGCATCTAATATCTATGTATATAAACATTTCAAAAGGTCCTATTTGCATTGAACCACATCAACCTTCTCTTTCATTAATAACTCAACTTCAAAAGCATTCCCTGCTGTGTTCAACATTATAACCTCAAGATAATAACTTCTGCTATCAAACTATATACATGAAACGAATATCAATTATCTTATTCATGTGTTTCACTCATACATTTTTGCCAAAAAATAAGTCTTATACATTCCATAAGACAAACCACATGGGTCCTATAAGAATGCATAAAAAGTATGTGTGACCGCTTATACATTTCATTTGACACATGATCTTCATTAACTTTTTACAAGGCGTCTGCTTATTAGTTGACTTATACATATTATGAATAATCAGCAATAGAAATTTGTCAAAAGGTATAAGGAGATTTCTATCCGTGTAGATTAACAATAGCACAGCGCCTTATGTGTGCAAAATAGCCTTGACTTAAAGGGCCAAACACAATGAACGGAAGCGGAACGGAAACTGCAAGTTTGGCAGTTGTCACAAATGACAAAAAGATGCCTAACCGAAGTCGATTTGGTTCTTACTAGAAATACTCAGAGGGAGAGATAAGCGGAAGGAATGTTTTTAGCCAAATGAACTGTCAAAATCTGAGTCAATCGAACATTCCCATTAGAAATTTTCCGATGATTTCTTATTCTTACTAGATTAATTTAGAGAGTATTGCAATCCCACAGAAATTCAATCACCTTTATGTTTCGTGTGCTTCTCAAATTCAACTAGTTTTTTGAATAAAAAAAAACAATATTGTAACTCTATTGATTAATTGATCTTAGTTGGTTAAGTAATAGCACCAAGAAATGAGCAAAATATTGCAATGCACTCAATTATTATTTTGCACGTAAATCGATCAAAAGTAAAAGTCATGTGAAATGCTAGCTTCTAGCAAGGGTTGCAAGATTATTTAGGTACAAATCCCTGCTGCCGAATTTTATTTTGTTTTCTCCGCCCATCTCTCCCTCTGAGTATTTCTAGTTCTTACCTGGGAGGGAGAAGCAAATACTACACACAAAATCTAATAAATCAATCACAATATTGCGCAAGAAAATTCTTGGCAAATAAAAATTATCAAGTAATTTGTTCCCATAATGAGGGGTTTCGGTTTGTCGTGTCTCTGTTGTTTACGTGTTACCGTCGGATGACTTAATGCTTGCGGAAAGTTGGAGTTGAAAAATCACTTGTAGAAACTCGTAGTGAATCAGCCAAAATGAAGTGTCAGGTGAAATACTGCGGCCGGAACAGCAGGAATTATCATGAATTGGGTTTTTTGCGCTTTTCTACTGATTATATCACAAGATCCCAATGAATTAAGTTCTGTCGGATGGATTCCGGAACCTGCGAAATTAAACCAAGCTCGCGAGTCTGTAGCGTAAGTGTTGACGGTACAAGTGTTTTGCATTTTATCAATGTTGCTATGATCTTTTTCAATTATTTGCAGGCCCATTTCTTAGAGGACTGCTTCAGCGTCGATAAAAATGGGAAGAAAACGAAAAAAAATGTCGTTCCGTCGATTGAAGCTTTCTTGCTACCTCCTGAAGACGAACCGGAAGAGAGCGATCGGTTGTTGGACTTTTATAAATCCCGTCCCCTCTACTCTTCGCCGGCTCTTCTGGATCATAACTACGCGAACTTTGCTGCTGTGGTGCCTGAATGGGTTGCTATTGGAGATGAGAAAGATGAACAGAACACTGAAGAGGATTCAGACCCGGAAGTCACCAGGAACGATCTAGATTTGGAGGAAAAGTTCGAACCACAAAGTGAACCGGTCTGTGGTACAGCGTGTAACGAAGGGACTCAATTGGGCTCAAGGATTAGAGCTAGTGAGAAGGAAAATTCATTCAAGTTGTTCAGGTACCCAACCTGACACCTGTAATTATTGGAATTAATTTAATTACGGCTACTTCCTGTGCCGGAGTTGAAGTTTTGCGTGCCCCTCGATGCTACCCGTACCCAAATATACCCCTTACCCGATCCGAACTCAAAAATATTTTCTTCGTATACTCGTACCCGACACGAACCCGAAAATTTAGAGTAACCGTACCTGAATATCTCTACAACCCCCTCCATTTTGAGAAAACTATCAAATTTACGATATAACATGCTTGATACACTACAATTTAGCTAAATTACATACCGATTCCTGAACTGAAGAAACGAAAATTTTGCAAATTGTTTTCAAGCAAGAAAATATTTTGTATTCGATATCAATACTTCCCATTGATTGATGTTTTGTACTGCTGGCTCCCACTGACAGTTTGTGACAGCTCATTTCTGGCTTCACTTGACATTCACATTTTCCGAGTCTGTTTCTCCCTCCCAGGTTCTTACTAGTTTTCAATCCGACTTGTTTCAACTTGTTTCCAAAGAATCAGACAATATTTTTCTGCGTGCATAGTGAACATCGGAAAAACAGAACGAGTGTAACGCTCTGTTTCTATTTCAGTAGCGGGCATTGGCTAACGTTGCTAACACACGCTCAAAGGAAAAAGAGAGTGGAGTAACCGTCAGCGCGAAAAAAAAGAGTGCGAGAGCTGAAACCGCAGTCGATCGGAAAAGTGACACAAAAATGGCCGAGGAAAATCAAAACATCATCTGCGCTCCGGCAGAAAGTTCCATCAAAATCAACAAATGGAAGGTCCGCGAAGGATATCCGGTGACCACCGGCAACATCATTTTGTTCTACGAATGCCTAAATGGCAGCGAGAAGGACGTCAAGCGTCTGAAAGCCACCAAAGCGGGCGTCGTAAAAAAGCGCCTCGCTAAAGAAGGTGAAATTGTTGATAAAGGGTAAGTGCGCCAGATAGTGGCTTGTTGGCTTTCGCGGCTTGTCGATGTTGTTTCTCGCGTATGGCGTCGTGTCGTGAGGAATAATAATTTGTTTTGATTTTATGTTTTCTTGAATGCGCGGATTTTGGAACATTTTTAGGAAACCTTTGCTTGCGTTGCAACAATGTAGTCATACCACCGTCATTAAGGATATGTGTGCCGATTGTGGGGCAGATTTGCGTCAAGATGACCAGGCTGGTGGATCTGAGGCTTCCGTCCCAATGATACACTCCGTACCGGAACTGAAAGTTACGGAAACATTAGCTAAGAAGCTGGGACAAGCAGACACGGAACGGTTGCTGAAGGACAAAAAATTGGTTCTATTGGTTGATTTGGATCAAACATTGATCCATACAACTAATGATAACGTTCCAAATAATTTGAAGGTAATATTCACTATTTTATTTTGCTAGCGGTATGAACCCACTTAACTAACGGTATTATTCTTCAAAACAGGATGTGTATCATTTCCAATTGTATGGTCCGAATTCGCCATGGTATCACACGAGACTTCGACCGGGAGCTTTGCAGTTTCTAACTACGATGCATCCTTATTACGAACTGCACATATGTACGTTTGGAGCCCGCAATTATGCCCATATGATTGCACAATTCCTTGATCAAGGTGGAAACTTGTTTTCTCATCGAATTCTGTCACGTGATGAATGCTTCAATGCAACTAGCAAGACCGATAATCTGAAGTATGCATTCGATGATTTATGGTTTAGTTAAAGTTCAAATGTAATCTTTATATTACAGGGCTCTCTTTCCTTGTGGAGACTCGATGGTATGTATTATCGATGATCGGGAAGATGTGTGGAATATGGCAGCTAACCTCATTCAGGTTAAACCCTATCACTTCTTTCAACACACCGGTGACATCAATGCACCGCCAGGAATGTCTAAACATGAACTTGATGGGAAGGGAGTCGATTTCAAAGGTACAGTATTATAACATAGTATGTAGGTTGACAAATTGGGTCTTACTGTTGCACTGGTTAAATTTGCAGATCTCATCAGTCAATTTTCAAAGGATAAGAAAGATAATGAAAAAAATAACAGTCGGCCACCAACGCCAAAGATTGAAACTGAAGAGGAAAAGACGGATGAGGGTCCCCCTCCTAAAGAAGAGAATGCTTCGTTGTCGACTAAAGAAGAAACAAAAGACGTTGAGCCCTCAGGCGAACTGAAGGAGAAACCCGAGGACAAAGAATGTGATTCAAAAGATCAGTCAGAGGATAAATCGCCGGAAAAGGATTCTTCACCTAATGAGTCCACAAGCAAAGAAAACAATGATCAAGACGGTGAGGAAAATCTAATTGAAATAGAAGATCCTGATGATTATCTGCTGTATTTAGAGCATATCCTCATGAAAATTCATGAAAAATTCTACGAGGAATATGAGAAAACTAAAGAGGTGAGTTTCATTCAGGACTAGAAAGTCGGTTGTTTAAAACGTGGTACTAAATATCTTATTTCCTTTTTTTTAGATTTCCGACCTGAAAAGGTTAATCCCGCAAGTAAAGTCACAGGTGCTTGTCGGGTTCAACCTAGTCTTTTCCGGATTGGTCCCCAACAGTATGAAACTGGAAGGAAGTAAAGCATATCAGGTTGCACGCAGTTTAGGCGCCAAAGTAACACAGGATTTCCAGCCTGACACCACCCACCTGGTGGCAGTCACCTTTGGCACTTCTAAGGTGCACAATGCTAGGAAAAATCCCAAAATAAAAATCGTTACCCCAGAATGGCTTTGGGCCTGCGCCGAGCGATGGGAACACGTGGAAGAATTGCTTTATCCATTGAAACAGTCTAAGCCTTCAAAAATGCGACAACCCCCGCCGCACTGTCATAGTCCGGGTAAGTTTCCTATACACTTTGGCGTATTCTGCGCGGCGTGTGAGGTGAGGTGACACGCTGTCACTTCTGAAGTGACAATTGTCACCTCGCGTGAGGTGACTCTCCATTTGATTTGCACGGAGACTAACCTCACCCGAGGTGACAATTGTCACTTCACCTCACCTCACACGCCGCGCAGAATAGGCCTAACTGTTGACGTAGAACTTGATTTTTAAATTTTTATCCGTTTTAGAACATGCTGTAAACTACGGAGAAAGTAGGAAAGCCGGAGGGTCTTCGAAACCACGGGAGGGCTCCCAGCAGGAACCGCCAAAATTCATCGATACGTTGAATCCGTTGCTCAGCTTTTCAAATGACGATCTGGACGCCATGAATAATGATTTCGACGAGTTCTTCGAATCGGACGATAGCAGTAGTGATGATGAGCCTGTCGACATCGAAAATCCACCGATGAACAAATCGCTGCGGAAGCGGAAACGCAAGGAGGAAAAGGAAAACCGACGCAATATTTTCAAAGAGGAAGACGAATCCAGTAAGACTCTTATTAAGTACAATGAAGAAGAAAACGATAACAGCCAAACGAACCTGAGCTCGGATGATGATGACAGTCCAAGTGCTAAGTTCAGGCGAGGATGTGGTCTACCTTCGGACCTAGATATGGGTTCGAACAGCGAGGGCAGTATCGATCCAGTGGATGATGTGGATGACGGCGATTGGAATATGATGGGCGCGGCGCTTGAGAGAGAATTTCTCGGTTTGGACGAGTAGGATCGCTTTCTCCGGTAGGTAGTGTAACTATTTCAGTGGTAGTACAAAAGTGAACAGTGACCTCACCAGCATGCGCGGTTTATTATTCTTTTTTCTCCGTTCCATAGTTCTCTTGTTACAATGTTGTACATATATAATGAACCGGTTTCTAATGTTTGAGAACAATTTTAATTTAATTTCCTCAATTGTACACTAGTTGCTAATTGTTAAACGGTAGAGTTTTATTCTAGATGACACTTCCAAACTTGCATTCACACAGCAAACGGTTGGTCCTTTCCGTCCTCGTGATATTTGATGTACGTTTCGCCGTGTGTAAAATCTCGAGTTCCCTCGAGCCGTCCTCTCGGTGGGGCCTTCTCGTAATCGAATGCTTCTTTCGATTTGCCGTACAATCTATTGGCATCCTCAATATCCTCGCGATACTTTCCAGCTGTAACCTTCTTGCCCGTGATCGGATCCGTCACATCTCCCAGTGGAGAAACAATCTCCTCGAGGGAATGCGTTATCAATCGGGTCAATTTTTGCGGTAGCTCTTTGATCAACACAATGTCACCAGTTTTGCACTTTTTTGTAGGATCATGCACAAAGTAAAACTCGTCTTTCTTAAAATACTGGAAAACAAACAGAATTTATTCAACCTACTGATGTTCAACCCTTTTATAAGCCGTATGGAAATTCATACGATTTGCAACAGGAATGAGTGCTAAAAGATTATGCAATGCAAACACTAGCATAATTACCATATTGAGATTGGTGTCCAGTTCCATCCGTCGTATGCGGATTTTGGATGCATTTTGTTTGATACAAGGCATCACCTGGCCCAGCAGCAGCATGAATGTTCTATTAGCCATTACTAAAAACTCCAGAAATAAAGCGTGAAAAGATCGATTGCTGCCGAAATTGGCGATCTGCTTTTGTAAACAACGTGACTTCGTTTGACAGCAACATAAGCGCAACCAAAACATTGCGTAACGAGGGGCACGTAAAAGGTAACTAACGGGACTCACAATTCAATCCCGCCGAAGTTGTCAAGATTCTATGATTGCCACGGAGAGAAAAAGTACAGAGAGGCCCGAATAAAAATGAGCATCAGCAAAAAAAAGCCATAATTAACAAATACCATAAACGAACGGTATCCCGGATGGTAGAACTATCCCACAAATGTTTTGGATGATACCCTGAATACGTCGTTAAGCTCTTATAATACTGTAACATTCAAGGGGTAACTTACTGTCGCCTTGTGTGTAACACCGGAGTTACCCCTTTCCACGAACTTTTCTTGGGAGAAAAATAATCCAACTTGGAGCTTTACGTGGATGAAACTGGGCAAGTGATAAGAAAAACCGTGAGTCTAGCTCCGGATACCTTTTCCTATTTGGCGGCAGTCAAGGGGTAAGTCACTCTGCCACCATGTGTCTGTGCTTATTGTGTTTCTGGGTGTTTCATTGTGTTGACCGAGCTGTCAAAACTTCAACCGAAAATATATCTTTACTGATGGCAACCATAACATAACGCTGAAAATGACATCCCCCTGCGACTCCCGACCCAAAAATTAATTGCAAATTTCACCCATTGCTTGATCCTTCTTCTCGGGTGGCACGTGCTCATTCGTCTTCCTCCTGCTGCGAGAGGACCAATGCCCGTGTCAAGGACTAATCTTCGGACAAGTTACCAACAAGCAATACGAAACAGGAGGGTGGTGAGCCTGTCAATCTACATATACATAGCGCGTTACTAACAAGTGCCAAGATTTTGGTACTTAGGGTTACCATTTTTCTTTGATAGAGTGACCAGAGAACTTTTCTGAATGTTTTTATTTTTTTGCAAGCATTTGAAAAAGTTATTTTGTAATCGGTATCATAAAATGATCGGTAAAAGTGTTGATAATATGTTTAATGGAAAGCGTGTTTGTTTTTTTTGTGATTGGAAACAAAATTCAGACAATCCCTTTGCTGGATGGGTTATTTGTGTTATTTGTACAGCAAAACATTTAGGATCTGATTAAATGCTTTTGGTTGGGAAACAGTGTTTTTATTAGTTGGAATGTTATGTGTAAACTTAGCGTTTGGGGGTTATTCGATTGAAGGCAATTTATGATTGTACGCCTTATGTTGGTGTGGTTTTTAATTTACCATTGGGACCTTCAGTAGGAAGTTCTGGATCGTCTATAACAGGTACGGGACACACCCACGCCCATTTTCATTTTTATTTGCGCTGTCTCTCTCTGTCTCTCAAATGAAATACAGTGTATAAAGTTTCGAATCTTATTTATTCATAATAACCAGGTTTCCAAAAACTGTTCTCAGTGTCCTTCAAACAAAATTAATTTGGTAAGTTTATTACGAACTGACTGTTTAAATGGTTGAACCGATTTGCTGTATCGTGCAAACCGAATTTCAAATAATTGTGAATAACCAGCTTGATAAGATCCACACGATGATTGCATTCGGGTTCTGGTTCATTTTTCGAACCGCCTCTTGTCGCTGGGGAACCTGAAGAAAACCAGCAAAACATACATCACGGGTTGGTAATAACTAAAAATCATAACAACAGAAATTACCTGTGAGAGGGAAATCCACCGTCCGTAGGTGATTTGTTCAAATCACTCTTGCAGGATGGTCGCATGCTGCTGCTGTTTGAACCAATTATGCTAACTATGACGATTTTCAAACAAAACTTTTCGCGAAACTACCGAAACGATCGAAACTACCGTCCGAAAGACGAAAACTCGATGAAAACATTATATGAGTGAATCAAAACAAACACCGATTGACAGAGTTGACTGATGACCGGGCGCCATGATGGTTTTGATACCAGTTACGATATTTTTGTCAGACAGCACCCCTCTGATACGAAGCTATCGATTTTAAATTGGCTCACTACTTGACTAGCCTATTGGTCCCAAGCAAATCGATTAACGTGACCCATTCTAGTCGAAATTCTAGTACTACACTATGTTTGTTTTGATTCGCTATGAAAGTTTGACAGATAAAATGAGAGGTTCGTGGATTTTCCTATGTTTCGAGGGGTGCATCGATTAGCTTGGGACCGAAGAGAGTACCAGAGCTGAGCCAAAAAGTTGAGCACGTTTCTTCGGGACCTTCTGGTCTTAGAGTTACCTCTATGATTAAACTGAGTTTAATGTCAAATTGATTAAATTTTAAGCAAAATGAGAATAGTTTAATTTATCAGTTCGGGATAGCTATCATATACACTTAATCTAGCTCGGTAAAATCTCCAAAAGCCGATTACTTCGGCAGTAACTTTTGCTGATATCTCTGCAAAATATCTGTTTGTTAGCTGATATCTCAGCAAAATGTTATTTGTTAGCTGAGTCTCGGCAATTGTTTTACTGAATCTCAGCAAAATAAATTGCAGAACTACTCGGCTGTTGGAAACTCGGCGAAAAAATTTAAGTGTGATAGACCCTTTTCAAATGTTATGCGAGAATACGGATTATGTCAAGAGTAATAGCAACAATCAATACGAAACTAACGATTTTAAATTGGCTCACTACTTGACTAGCCTATTGGTCCCAAGCAAATCGATTAACGTATCCCATTCTAGTCAAAATTCTAGTACTACACAATGTTTGTTTTGATTCGCTATGAAAGTTTGACAGATAAAATGAGGGGTTATTGGATTTTCCTATGTTTCGAGGGGTGAATCGATTAGCTTGGGACCGAAGATAGTACCAGAGCTGAGCCAAAACGTTGAGCACGTTTCTTCAGGACCTACTAGTCTTAGAGTTACCTCTATGGTAATAGTACGTTCAGACTACAGAGTTATAACAACAATCAATACGAAACTTACGATTTTAATTGGCTCACTACTTGACTAGCCTATTGGTCCCAAGCAAACGATTAACGTATCCCATTCAGGTCAAAATTCTAGTACTACGCAATGTTTGTTTTGATTCGCAATGAAAGTTTGACAGATAAAATGAGGGGTTAGTGGAATTTCCTATGTTTCGAGGGGCACATCGATTAGCTTAGGACCGAAGAGAGTACCAGAGCTGAGCCAAAAAGTTGAGCACGTTATTAAGGGACCTGCTAGTCTTAGAGTTACCTCTATGGTTATAACATGTTATAGCGCTATCTTGATGGTGGTTTCTGTGTTGCAATTATTTGACAACCGTTATAACATGTTATAACTCTCCAGTCTGGACAGCGTTTAAATTTTTAAATAGCTGTATCTGCTTTGGTAAACAAAGCTTCAAACGTCAATTGGGTTCTTTAAGGGTATTGAGGTAAATGCATATTCGTAATCTGCATTAAAAATGAAACCCAAACCCAAAATTTAATCAATTTTGATACACTGGAACTATTTTAAATAAGTACGATTACATTTGCAAAAATCACCTTATTAACGCCCCTTGGTGTCACTTTGTATGGGAGCGAGCTGTCAGATAGTCAGTTTAGTGTCAAACAGTGAAGTTATTATTTTGCTTTAAATCTTGATTTAAAAATCGAGATGAAAGTGTGTGGGTTCGAAAAAAATATCGCTGTGCTCAGAAAACGAAGTTCTTTCAGATGATATATAAAAACCGATTAATTTTTCAAAATTAAAGAACCCAATTTATCTTAGCTCGCCCACGCAAACTTACACCACCAATGTTGAGGAATCTTGACCCTGATGGTGTTGTTAGTTTGGGTGAGCGAGCTAAGAGTTTTGACAAACTGACGCTTGAATCTCTGCTTACTATAACCAACAATCAATACGAAACTAACGATTTTAAATTGGCTCACTACTTGACTAGCCTATTGGTCCCAAGCAAACGATTAACGTACCCCATTCTAGTCGAAATTCTAGTACTACGCAATGTTTGTTTTGATTCGCTATGAAAGTTTGACAGATAAAATGAGGGGTTATTGGTTTTACCTATGTTTCGAGGGGTGAATCGATTAGCTTGGGACCGAAGAGAGTACCAGAGCTGAGCCAAAAAGTTGAGCACATTTCTACGGGACCTTCTGGTCTTAGAGTTACCCTAATAAAAAATAACCATAAACGAACGATAACCCAAATAATTGAACTTTTCCACTAATGGTTTGGAAGATACCCAGAACACGTCGTTAAGCAAAATAACCATAACAATTTTATTAGGGTACCTCTATGCTATAACGCAGATACAGCTATTTGAAAATCACTCTTGCTTCAAGATTAGGCCATTTTGGCAATTTATTCGAGATTTATATATAGACGAGTGCACGGGTGATTTGAGTTCACTCACTCGACAAAAAGTGACACAACAGCGGGGCCCTGTTTACTACTTTTTAAAAAATAAACTAATGAAAAAAGCTTCCTGAGACAATTTTTATTTTCATTTGAAAACAATAATATTTACCATAAATGAAATAAAGAAGCGAAAAATACATTCTCTTGAATAAACCGTATCTATGCATTGTGAGTATATTTCGATTTTATACTATGGCACACATAAACCATTTTTATACTAAGTTTGCTTTCTCTCCCTTTATACCGACCTTTGCGTCGGTACGGAGAGTTGCTATTTAGCGTAACTTTTATACTATTTAGATTTCAATATTTTTTGAGTGTGCACTCGTCAATATGGCAATTTATTAGAGATTTAAATGTGCATCACTGACGTACCCCTCGTCACTGTAAATCCCGCCAGGATTTCACCGCCATTTTTGAAAAAGAAAACAAAAACAAAAACCACAGGCCGACGACAGTTAATAGTAAAGAACAGAACAGAGGTAAGCGGTCAACGTTTCAAGCGTTCCAAACAATCAATCTCTTCGTGTGTTGGAATGGTTTGTATGATTAATTTGATTCTGAGTTCTTAGTGAGGAATGCAGCATGAATTTCACCTGTGTGATTTGTTCCGACTTGTTTGTGCCCTCGGATGATATCCATATTACACCCTGTGGGCATATATTCCACTATGTCTGTTTGGTGCAATGGTTGGAGCGGTAAGTTTATTTACCTAAGGCAGCGTCCATCAAGTACGTCACGCTCTAAGGGGGGAGGGGGGTTTGCAATGATAATGCATTTACACGATGTTTCAGATTCGTCTAAACTGAACCTACCGAAAAATAGGTGAACAAATTTGGGATCTTGGCTGGGATAGCCAAGTTGAGCAATGAACAACATCGATCGGATTCAGGTCCATTTGTCAACTTGTCACTCCCAACTTTGTTCATCAATTTTTCGGTAGGGTGCAACTACTCAAATTAGAATTGTTTTGAAATAGCGTGTATAGGAAAAACGTGACGAAAGGGGGGAGAGGTTTGATTTTCAATAAATTTCGCGTGACGTTCTTAATGAATGCTCCCCAAATAGAAATAAGCTAAAAAATATTAACAATATTCAATTAACTGGTTTTAGTTCAAAAACTTGCCCCCAATGTCGGAACAGATGCATTGAACAGAAATTGACTAAGGTGTACTTGACCATTGCCGCGAATGTTGACAGTCCGGACGACCACGCGGCATTGATGCAAAAATTGGATAATTTGACCCTCTCGGTACGCGAAAAGGATAAGACGATCAAAACATTACAGGAAAAGGAAGCTTCCTGGGAGGCGGAACGTACGAAGATAAAGAAAATGCTAACGCGCATGGGAGAGAAAATTAAAGACAGAGATTTATCGATCAGTGTGTACAAGGTGCAATTGGATACGCTGAAGCTTAATCATACACATCTTCATAAGATGGAGGAAGAATTGAAACAGCTGAAAGATAAACTGCGCCTTATGTTAGCCCTTGAAAATGTACTCAACTCCACCTCGAAGGAAGTTGATGAGATTCTCGCCTTGAATGATAATCCACGTGCGCTGGCCGTTTCGGTGGCCACACTGAAAAGGGAGCTCCAAGCGTCTGAATACAAGATGAACGAAAAGCGTGACCGGATAAAGTCTATCCAGAAGGACTTGTCGGATGAGCGAGCTAAACGAAGCGACGTTGAAGACAAACTATCCTATGCGGATAGTGAGAAGTATCGGCTGGAACAAGAAGTGAAAACGTTGAAGAGAAATGCGGTCATTGATCTATCCACCGAAACGGGATCAGATACGAGCATACCGAATACTCCTGACCAACAGCCGAAACGGAAGCGAAGCGATACAGATTTAAATGAAAGCACTCCAACAGCAGAAAGAGTTCGCGATATCCTCGAATCGGACTCGCCATATCTTCGCATAAAATCGTGCGGCGCTGGTCTGATGCCTATTTTTCGACCTGGTCTCAGCGCATCGGCAGCTTTGGGAAAAGCCGGCTCCACTGGGCTCAGCAAGACCATCAGTGATCCGAGCGAAAAGTACTCCATCTTCCGACAATCTCGTCCGGCGGATAGTTTGAGATTAGGAGGAGCGAACAGAACCCCTTTGGACCCTTCAATTAAACTTGTGACAAATAGGAAATTCATCAAGATAAACAGATGCAGCACATCGGCGAGACTGAAGTCAGGTCAGCTAAGCAACCATCCCTCGACAAGGCAGAAGAACGGGAATACAATGAACGACTACCTCGCTGGTTTTCCTACATCGGAGGATTTTAAATGATTGCCAAATCGAGTCATGTTGGTTTTTAATCATTACTTTACTTCATGTTAATTTGATTTTAATCAATCTTTCATTTCAAGACCATGTGAAATTGAGCCTTTAAGCGAAATAAATAAAATAATGTTGAATTTAAATTTGTTATATCTTAGATACTGCAGGCAAGGTATTCTGGTCCTATGGTGAAGTCGAACCTTGAAGCAAAATAATAAAGTAATGTTGAATTTAGAACTTGTGCTGTAGATCTACTTTGTTTTTACCTGATTGAAAGTTATTTAATCGAATTAATGAAAAGACCACAGCCATGCTTGGCATACACAGTTTTGCTCACGAACTGCTCATTTGCTAATAACTTTGCACAAAGTTGACGAAACATAGTTCTGTTTGAAGCAGTCGATAGAATAGAGTTTGAGCTTGTTATAGATACGAAAAAAGGAGATTTTAATTCTAGTTATAAACTGTATTTGATATTGCGCTGCCAAAACTGAAGTGAGATATGCTCGCTGCAGATCTCGGATTTTAAGTGTAAAAATTCATTGGTGTTGATTCAGATGTTAAGATTTACCTGCTCTTTGCATGTCTACAGTAGACTAGGATTCTAATCTATCAATTACTTTAAAGAAAACTAAATTTCAACAGCTGAGTGAAAAGTTATTAACAAGTGAGCAGTTGGTGGGTACAACTGTGCATGCCAAGCATGGCCACAGCAACTTTTGTAAACAAAGTCAACGCCTGATACCACCGGCGTTCCTATTTACGAGACCAAAACAGGATAACAGAATTTCTGCCGAAGGAAATAGGCAATAAAACAGAAGTATCTTCGGATAAACACATCACCATAAAGAACACCAACTAGGTTAATTTCCAATAGAAATTTTATTCCGCATTGAACTTCACTTCACTTATACACTTCAACCATACAGTTTCGAATATCGAGGTACGGTCTCAACAACGAAAACGGTACGTTTCGGGTAGCATTCTTGATCACGGATCAAATGTACATCAGCAAGAAGAGATGGAGATGATGGAATAGCTTACAGCTTGACCGGAGGTAGCTGTCCGACGAACTTTGCCCTGCGTTCTTCAGCGCGCTTAACCGATTCCTCACGGGACAGATTGCCCTTCTTGGAGAATCGCAGGTTGTGCAGGAATTTCTGGCACATCTGAAAGATTTATACGTTCAGTCATCCTGGAGCGGTTTGAACAAGCTAAATATACTTACCCCACGGGTCGATTCGGTGCGCTGGCGTTTCGGCTTGGTGATGCCGTTCTTGTGAGCCTTTTGGTCTGTAAAATAATAGGAATGTTTGAGGGTAACTGCCGTATGGACCATTTCAAAACAATTAACTTACTCTGGTTGTGATTGGTGTGATTCTTGGACTTGGCCATTGTGTATTGAGTTTACTGCCTGTGGGGATAGAGGAAACAACAGACACGGAAGGTTATAGCGATGATCAATAAAGCAGTGATTTTATCGTATGAAAAAATGTCTTGAAACAAAGTTCATTCTATCTGGCACAACACAGTATCTACTAGCTTCAATTAACCAGATTTTCTCTGGTTACCATTACGCTTTACGCAGAAAAATCAAAGAAATTCACTCACTTCGGCGGACACAAAACTTTATTGCCACAAGTTGAAAACCGGAAAGAGTAAGCAAAGCGTTTGACAGCTCTATTGTCACACGTTGTCAAAGTGGCGGAAGTTTACGCCGGGGATAGGATGCCACAATGGGAACACGGTATGAAGAAATACCCAACACGGTGTTTCGCGAAAACCCATTAATGGGTATAAAAACACCCATTTCAGCTAAAAGTGCCCCTCCTCATTTAATGGGTAAACTATGGTTTACTCATTAATGGGTAAATGGGGGATCTGTCAATAAATGGGTGTTTTTTACCCATCTTTTTGAATTGTGTTTTTCGTAAAATGGGTAAAAAAAAAAACCCATGTCCTCGTTGACATAAAAAACTTTCTAATACATTGGAAATAAATGCAGGTGTTCCGATCAAATTGTATTACACGAAATATTATGATACCATATTGGATAAAATTGTATTTACTCATCCGTAAGCCTCTCCAATGTTCGGGATTCTAACCTTTTCCGGAGATCGTCCATTTTCGCTAAAAAAAAGCTGCTGACAGCAGCTGTTTGCATTCCCAATGAATCCGTGAAGAAATGAGACGATAAAATTTCAAAGTGTTTTTTCACCCATTAGTGGGTAAAAAATATACCCATTATTCAACCGGGAACTGATTCTTTAAATGGGTATTTTTTCACCCATTTTATGATTTCAAAATTCCCCCATTTTTTGACAGCTGCATACATGGTTTGAAAATGGGTATTTTTATACCCATTAATGGGTTTTTGCGAAACACCGTGAACACGCGCTATTGAAATTTTAAAGGCTCTGAACCATTTGGTGGATTATTTTAACTTTTGGTTAAAATTTGACAGATGGAAATTTATCGATTAACCCTACTATCCGAGCGTGGTTATTTCTGACAAACAAGAAGTTAAATGTTGACAACCGTGGCTGAGTTCTTCTCGAAAATCGGTCGATCGACAGCACACGGATTTTCAAACATCAAGAATAACTTTCGAAATGTCACTTTTAACCACGAGTTAAATTTAACTCAGCAAATGGTTCACAGCCTAAGTACCCAACACTGAGAAGAAAATTACTCAGTTTCGATACATGGTAACCCTCAAAATACCCAATAATGACTACAAAGTAAGCATTTTCGAGGGAAACTGGGACTACCCATTAAATGAGTAAAATTTTACCCATTTATGAGTAATTACGACTACAAAAACAAGTAGGAAGTATTCATTTTTGAGTAACAAATACTCATAAATGGAATATTTTTACTCATTCAATGGGTCGTCCCAGTCTCCCTCGAAAATGCTTACACTCAAAAAAATTGAAATCTAAATAGTATAAAAGTTACACTAAATAGCAACTCTCCGTACCACGGGACTGACATCAAATGTTTCCACTGTGGGATTTCACAAATTTGACAGTACCCTCTTAACTGGTCTATAAATTTATGGCCCATAACAAACTTGAACAACATATACGAACTTTGCAGATGTATTGCATATTATACAGCTGTCGCTTACACCGCATGTGTTTGTTTTGCGTTGGTTGTAAGTGTGTGAGTGAAAAATAGCAGACTACAGAAAAACACTGGCTTCCCTAATAAAATTGTTATGGTTATTTTGCTTAACGACGTGTTCGGGATATCATCCAAACCATTTGTGGAATAGTTCTATTATTTGGGTTATCGTTCGTTTATGGTAATTTTTTATTAGGGTTAGCAACCCATTGGTCCGTACCGACGCAAAGGTCGGTGTAAAGGGAGAGAATGCAAACTTAGTATAAAAATGGTTTATGCGTGCCATAGTATAAAATCGAAATATACTCACAATGCATAGATACGGTTTATTCAAGAGAATGTATTTTTCGCTTCTTTATTTCATTTATGGTAAATATTATTGTTTTCAAATGAAAATAAAAATTGTCTCAGGAAGCTTTTTTTATTAGTTTATTTTTTATTAATAATATTTAAAAAAATACTTCAGATTTCGATGCTGCCCAGCAGATTACAGGCGCAGTAGAAATCCGGTGGGACAAAGCCCTTCACCAGCGCGAAGCTCCGAAGGGAATCCAGATGTTCTTATTCCTGTCATTTTAGTAAACACTGATCGAATCCCGCATAAGCGCGAACCATAACATAAACCTTACCTAAAATGGTTAAAATTGTTTATAATCCCTGCTAAACTTCAACTGAAATGGTTATGGAACTTTACATGAACGTTTAATGATAAAGTTTTAACCTTAAGTATTATAGTTTTTTGGAAGTGGACCTTACAAATAATGGGTTGTTAAGAACCATTACCATTCAAAATTCTTGTTTTCTCCATACATTTTCGGAAAGAAAACTATACTAAAACCTTTTAACTTATGGTTTGAGAACATTAATGGTAATGGTTATGGTAACCAGTAAGGTCCATGAATGGTTTTGTAACATCGATCAACTTTATGTGGAATATATCGCGAATTGGTTGCCTGTAAATTACTGATTACCAATTCACGATATATTTCACGTAAAGTTGAGTGATAATACAAAACCATTAATGGACCTTACTGACTACCATAACCATAACCATTAATGTTCTCAAACCATAAGTAAAAACGTTCTAATATAGTTCTCTTTCCGAAAATGTATGGAGAAAACAAGAATTTGGAATGGTAATGGTTCTTAACAACCCATTATTTGTAAGGTCCGCTTCCAAAAAACCATAATACATAAGGTTAAAACTTTATCACACAAACGTTCATGTAAAGTTCCATAACCATTTCAGTTGAAGTTTAGCAGGGATTATAAACAATTTATAACCATTATCGGTAAGGTCATGTGATGGTTCGCGTTTATGCGGGATTCCACTCCGTTATTCGGACTTAGTATAATTTTGACCAAAATTTCAATCGAGCAATGTATAAATTTTGAAAAACCATAAAATGCATAAAATTTAATCTATATTCGTTTTGTAATATTTTTGAGTGTACTTTGTAGTCATTATTGGGTATTTTGCGACGACTCTACATATAAGTAAAAGTTACCGTGTATAAGTTTCGTACACGGTAATAAAAAAATACCCAAAAAATAGGTTTAAAGTACTCAAAATTGAGTATATTGCTTAAAGTGTTCCGTTGGGTAAAAGTTGAACTGACAGGTAAATACTTTTTACTCATAGGTTGAGTAAATATTACAATACCTAGCGTTGAGTAAAAAAAAACTTGTAATTATGCCCTTATCATAATCATGGTGATACCAAAATATTGAAAAAAAAATACATAAGTCTAGATTCTCTTCGACATTCTCTAAAACACTCGCTTTTCGAGAATATAGGTGCTTCGCATTAATTGCATATTATAATATGTCTTATCGATCTTTATTTTATATTTCCCAAAATAAGCAAGTCCAAAACTACCCAACGCTAAGTTTATCAAGTATAGTTAACGTTGCGTAAAATATACTTAAAATTGGATGAAAATTTCCTCCAGTGTTATTGCAAACTACGGCGCCATAATTGTTTCGATCTTTGACAAGGCAAGTTGGTTTCTGTATATTTTTCAGTTTTAAGGATTATTTTAAACACAAAATTTATGGACAACTCCTGTCTCGTCTCCTGATATTTTTGATTGATTGATTTTGTAAGTATAATATTATTATAACAGCATTGGTTGATTTTTAATTCTATATTAAACTTCTCTCTGCAACAGTGGATTCCGATTTTGTTTGCTGTGTTTTTTTCTAGGTTTGGCTGAGCTTCCGGCAGGCTTAGCAGTGGTTGTGTGATAGCCGTTCGAGCTTACAGCAGGATCAGTGCTGTTTTGTAATTGGATCACCAGATTTTCTTGATTTGGCCGAGTGTCCGGCAGATTTGGTGAAGCTTCCTGCCAGCTACAATACGACCGTTCCGGTCAATACCGGTATTGTTCCTTGCCGTTGAGAGTATTTTGTAAGTATGACGTTATTTTAACATCATTGCTTTATCTTTAATTTAACATTAAACTTCTCTCTAGCAGTGGTAGCCGGATTGCGCTTTCACCTCGCTTGAGGTGGTTTTTTCGGTTTTGGCTGAGCTTCCGGCAGGCGTAGAGTGGTTGTGCGACAGCCGTTCCAGTTGTTAACCACTTCCCTGGTTAACGTTGGCGGTGGATTTCCTGGATTTAACTGAGCCTCCGGTAGCTTTGGCTAAGCTTCCGTTCGGCTACAGTACAATAATCGTTCCGGGTTAGTGTTGTAAGAATGATGTTATTTTAACAACATTGGTTGATTTTTAATTCTATGTTAATTTTAGGTTTCTCTCTGCAGCAGCAGTTCCATTTTCATTTCGCTTGTCGCGGATTTTCCGGATTTGGCAGAGCTTCCAGCAGATTTGGTTAAGCATCCGGCTGGCAACATAACAATAGCCATTCCAGTTGACAACTGTAGTTGGATTACACTTCCACTTCACGGTGGATTTTCCGGACTTGGCTTAACCTCTGACAGATAACATTGCAACCGTTCCAGTTGACAGTATTTTGTAAGTATGATGTTATTTTAACAACAACGATTGTTTTTTAATTATATAATCAACTTCTCTCAGTAGCAGTTGTAGAAGGATTTCGCTTTCACTTTACTTACGGTGATTTTTCCGGATTTGACTGAGCTCCTGGCAGGCGTTGCAGTGGAAGCAGCCAGTTGACAACAGTACCCGGTAATTTTTACGCTTCCTCTTCCCTTGCGGCGGATTTTCTGAATTTGGCTGAGCCCCTTGCTGATTTGGCTAAACCTCCGACCGTTCTAGTTGGCAGTATCTTGTAAGTATGATGTTATTTTAATAACATTGATTGATTTTAGGTTATATATTAAATTTCTCTCTGCAGCATTGGTAGAAGGATTGCGCAAAGCGCATTTCACTTGCGGTGGTTTTTCGGTTTGTCTGAGCTTCCGATTGGCGTACAGTCCAATCAAACGTCAAACGGTTTCGAATTGATGATATCACGGAATGGCTTGAAAGAACCAATGTTGCTCCGGAAACTCAATGACATGATATCGGTAAATGTCTGGGGAACGAAACATTACAGTAAATGTAAATCCGTCACAGAGCTAACTGTGCGATACAAGGAATTTTTGAATAATTCAACAGTCGAATGAAATGTGAAAAATTTTGTATATTGATTTGGTCAATAAAAATTGATTTTCAGTGGTCAATTAAAACTTTTATAAACTGTATTTTTATTTGTTTGATGATTGAAACAGCTTCTTTTTCCGTTAGGTTCTTCTTCATTGTCTGAAGAAATTATTACAGATTTATATATATCGTAAATTCAATGAAAACGTCACCTATTGATCTTTTTTACCACCTATATTTGCTGGCTTTATTTGGCTGGATCTTCTCCGAATCTCTTTTACCTACCGGTAAGTTAATTTTACGCAACGGTGGCTTTTTTGGGACTGCATCAATTTACCTAGCAGTTTCGCCAATTTACCCAAAATTAGGTATATCTACTTTTACCCAAATTTACCTTATTGAACGATAGTACAAAGTTGAGTCAAAAGAAGCCAATTTTGGGTAGTTTTTCATTTCCGTGTAAACAACAACAGACCTACACGCTAAGAAAAAAGTATGCATTAATGTTTAAACTTTAACCAGTTTCGAGAAAACCCGCACATATTCATAAAATGAATAAACGCTGTTTACTCATCGGATGAATAAACACGTTTTTCTCGAAAGTGATTAAATTTTAATCATTAATGAATAAAGACGTTATTCTCAAAAGTGGTTAAATTTTATGCACTAGAAGGAATTTAAATGGCTGATTTCGTTTATTTGAAACATATATTATTATAAATTACAATCGAATAAAATCCAATAAAAAGTAACGTTTATTTCAAGATTCTGGTTCGTGTTGCTGTTTGGTCCACCGCCTTAGTGACCTTGTACACGGTGACCGGGGAATACTCCGTTCTTCTGCTGCCGGCTGGTCCCCTTGGTTTCAACGCAGAACACCTTAGCACAATCCGGAATCGGATGTTTCCTTGTTTTCGCGATCCTTTCGTCGACCTTCCCGTTCCATTGCCCGGCGAACTCGATCCGGATAATTGTGCTGCCGTTTGAAGCCCTATGTAGTGGGAATCAAAAGTTTTGAAATAACAAAACAATGTACCTTGTTAGATATACTTACTTTTATCATCGACCATCTCTTTGGCCTGATCCCACACATTCTGTCCTGTTTCCAAAGTCGGAAACAGAATCGGAAGAAAACTTTATTTTCGTTCCGGCACTTGATTGCGAAGGAAGCCGCAATTTCTGGTGCTCACTTCACTGATGACTTCATCTTGGAGTTCTCACCGCACTCCGGAAATGAAAACAAAACTATAAGTTAGTTTTAAATTGTATAATAATAATATAAACAATCTATCTACCTGCGAAAAGTTGATGAATGATGGCCGCTGCGGTTTCGGAAAATAATTGCTGCCAAGTTTTTTTTCAGCCACTGGTGAATAAAATTTAGACACTTATGTTACAAAATGGTTTTCTCTGGAAATGTCTAAATTGTATACACTTTTTTGCTATAAATTTCAACCACTCTATGACAGCTCGAACAAGCTCCCAAAAGTGGTTAAAAAATAGTCATCAATGCATAAACTCGTTTTTCCGTGTAAGAGCAACAGACGAATCAGAAATGCACAACATAAAAATAATTAAACCCAAATTTTAATAATTAAAACATATTAATAATTATGATTATTATTTAGTATTCCACTTCAGTCTCGCGTGTGTTTCTGTTCATTCCGGACCCGATAACTTTTGTGATTGTAGTTAAATTGGTTTATTTTGAGCAATGCTCAACCTCAACGTTGGAATCTTGGGCCATGTCGATTCTGGAAAGACAACGCTGGCCAAGGCGCTAAGTGGCATCGCAAGCACGGCGGCGTTCGATAAGAATCCTCAATCCCAACAGCGGGGGATAACCTTGGACCTGGGCTTCAGTGCTCTTCTGGTGGACTTGCCTGACCACCTGAAGGCCCACAGGGATGGCGGAAGTGAGTACGACAGATTGCAGTACACGTTTGTGGACTGCCCCGGTCATGCCAGTTTGATACGAACGATTATCGGTGGGGCCCAGATTATCGATATGATGATCCTGGTGGTGGACATTGGAAAAGGAATCCAGACCCAAACTGCAGAATGCTTGGTGATTGGAGAGCTGACATGTCGGAAAATGATAGTGGCGTTGAATAAGATTGATACATTGGAAGAGGACAAACGGGTGAAAGTAGTGGAGAAAATGAAGAAAGGCCTCGGGATGGCTCTGAGTAAGACGATTTTCGCCAGTTCGCCAATAATTGAAATATCCGCGGCGAGTGGGCTAAACCTGGAGCGATTTGTTGAAGCGTTGAAGGGGTATTCGTTTGTTCCTGAGCGAACCTACGGGCTGCCGTTCCTTTTTGCAGTCGATCACTGTTTCACTATCAAAGGCCAAGGCACGGTTTGTACGGGTACCGTGCTGCAAGGGCAGATCAAGCTTAATGAAGATGTGGAAATTCCAAAACTGAAGCTAGTCAAGAAGGTCAAATCAATGCAGATGTTCAAACAGAGTCAGCAAATTGCTAAACAAGGAGACCGCATCGGCATATGTATTACACAGTTTGATCCTAAATTGTTGGAACGGGGGCTGCTGTGTTATCCTGGCTATGTATCAGATATCTATGCAGCCGTGTTACAATTGAATCCGATTCAGTACTACAAAGGCATCGTGAAGCATAAGGCAAAATTTCACATTACATGTGGATACGAGACGGTGATGGGCACTGTAATTCTTTTCAAAGGAACTGATCCAGGTTTTACGATTGCCGAGCAGTATGAGTTTCTTGAAGAGCTAGGCCAGGATGCAGCAGGGGAAGTCTCGCCGATATTGGCTTTGTTAGAATTCGAACGGCCAATTCAAGCTGTATCAAATGCCCTAGTAATTGGCTCCAAGTTGGACACCGACATCCATTCTAGCCTCTGTCGATTGGCTTTCCACGGTAAGCTAGAGTACAGCTGTACCGATAAAGACTACTCGACTAGTTTCCTACCGCAGTTGAACATTTTCAAAGAGAAACGTAAAACGGGAACAGTTCAACGGGTGGTCAATGAAACGGAACTCATAGCGGCTGGATTGTTCAAGAAGACGGGCAACAACCGGCAAGCGTTCCTTGGATTGAAAGTTCAACTTAGCACAGGTGAGTGCGGGGTGATTGAGGATTCTTTTGGGACCACATCGAAGGTGAGACTCAGGTTTATGGAACCATTGGGTAAGACGACTTTGGATCTTTTGAATAAGAAAGGTGCCTCAGAGCAGGTAAAAGTGGAGGTCAAATACAAAAAGTATCTGTTTAGAAAAGATGGCAATAAAGTTGTTCAGTGAGAATTAGAATCAGTGCGTGCGGTTTTATCCGATCTTCCTTGATGGTTTGTGGAATTTCTCTGCGAGGTTTTTGAATAACAACAAATTGAAATTGAATTTTGAACATTTCCTTTATTCAGTATTCATTATACTAAAATTAATAAAAAATAAACATTAAAAAATCCATTTCTATTGCGGTTTACTTTCTCTACTCTGGATATTTCTTCTTTATGTTGTTTCTACCTCATCATTAATATATCAGCTATTTGTATTGGAATCTAATGTTTTCTTCTTGTGTTTCAAAATATGATTAAATTTGGCTTTGAATAGGCTCATACATATACATATTTTTTCCATCATTACTCACTAATTTTGGTTGCTTCCCTATCGTTCCTTTCGTGATCTACCGTAGACTGAGAAAAAGGTGACAAAACAGAAAATAAAACATTATCATTCCTTCTAGCATCCCGTTTCGTTCCATCATGCAAGAGGTTGTATTTGACTAGATTTGTGTCCTTCATTCGTAGACCGCATCCTACCGTAATTAGTAAATAGTCTTAGATAGAAGATCTTGTTGAGAGAAAACTATGCAGTGCTGTGGTCCAGATTCCGTTTTAAATCGACCAAAGGCCGAATAAGGATCTGTGTACCTATTTATACATACTCTAATATGGTTTATAAAGAAGAAATAATTAAAGTTCTGTTCTTGATCAGTGGCACACTGCTGCCGAAGTTGTTCGACAACAAGCACCACTGAAGAGTGAACATACATATTCACTGTATTTACATGCATCCATTATATGTAGTTGAATCAACATCTACTGACTAAGTGTAACCACTATCACTCTACTTTTACAAGACCTTTCCAACTTTTGTTGCTTTTATGATTTCGGTATTCATATGGAACGTAAAATCTATGTAAAATGAACATGTATTCCGATAGCTTTTACCGAAGACTGATAATGTTCTCGCTTCCCTCACAGCCTTTCGATATAAACGTAAATTACGATCTTCATTATATGTTCAGTAAATATGTATAATCAGCTGTTCAAGCATTTAGTCGGGAGAAAAGCTACGGAACGATATATATGCACGGTTATACCATAGAGGTTATACTGTTCTGAATTGAAAATTTCAAACTAATTAGAATGTAAAATTCCTACTTGGATACATGCTTCTCTGTTAAGTTGCCTTGCTTTCCTCTGCATTGGTGGCCTTTACGAAAATTACGACAAATTATAGAATAATGTAAATAACTATCACAACTACAAGCGCCATCGATAGCACCACGATCGCCATCCATTGTCGACGGTCTGGAAATAAAGTAAAAGGTTCCGTTTTAGAGGCCATATAATCAACCGGTGGAAACTAACGATTTTAAATTGGCTCACTACTTGACTAGCCTATTGGTCCCAAGTACATAAATCGATTAACGTACCCCATTTTTTTAATAATGCGTTTATTTTTCCAGGCTCATTTGCCGTAGCCGATAATCATCGTTTAGATTACAAAATTACTTAAAACTAACGTTAGTAAAGCGGGGTCGATTAATCGCGGCTATCTCGAGTGTAGGGGTAACAAATTGTAACAAACGGATGGCAGGGTAGGGATTGAGAACACAAGGTTTTTTCGAGCAATGTACTCTTGATCTCGAACTAAGCGACATACTAGTTGAAAAGACGAACATGGGAGTACACCGATGGGAAGCTAACAACTTGCGAGAACACAAGATGACACTAACTACTAAATCCTCAAATCGATCCGTTTCAGAAACACATACATTAAATTCATGTATCTCGGCTCGCCAAGATGTCTCTAATGGTTGTTTTCCTCGGGCCCTGAGGGATGTGGATAACTCAGATCTGACAACATGGTGTAGGGGTGACCAAACAACATGCTCGATATCATGATAACCACTGCCACACGCACATAAATTGCTGCCTGAGAGCCCAATTCGATAGAAGTGCGAGTCTAACGAACAGTGATTGGACATAAGCCTTGACATAACTTGAGCTTGAGCTTGATTGACCGCCCACGGTTGCTACTCTGTTACTGCCAGATCAGCTGTAATTACACAGAGAACCAATAGGCCGCGCCCGAACACAGGTCAAGAAAGGAATGGGAAGGATTGTGTTGACATGACACTCGCTTTGATGGAAGCCGAGAACACCTCTGCACTTCCACGAGGAATCACTGGGATGTTGGATAAGAGGGTTGGGTTTGCAGCAGGGTTCGTTTTGGTAAACGATAAGCTGAATTGATGTCCTAACGATCATATAACGCGAAGGAGCTTGGGACTAAACCCACGGTCTTCTGCTCAGTAAGCAAAAACGTTTGCCACTGGGCAGACGAGCACCTTTTTAATCACCGAGTTGCTGTTATTACCATGTAGTCATATTAACAAATAAAACGATTGACGAATCTTGAATGTGGATGGGCCTGAGATTAGACTCATGATGTTCTGCTCAGTAAGCAAAAACGGTTGCTCTAAGGCCACCGAGCCCCTCATATCACATAATACCGTTGCTCAAATTTGTGTATCCATTCAAACCCGGAACCAACGACAACAACGAGTTTCGCAAAATACACGATACACAAGCGATTTTACCATAAATCTCTTTGATATGTAAGGACCTGGGACCGCGTTTTTCTGCTCAGTAAGCAGGCCACTGTAACCGACGATCTTTCAAATCCGAAAACTAAAAACTACGAAAAAGTACTTAGGCCTTCATTAAGTTCCACTTTCACGCGACGTTCAATGACAGGGTCCTATCCAGGATTACATCTGAAAAATCCAAATCTGACCAACACCCACCTAAACCTGTTCTAATCCACCTGAAATGACTAACGAATGGAAGACTTTGACTACCCAGCCATGCAATAGTCTCATTCCGTGCCTTATGGCAACTTGATGATTCTATTGCGCTCATCTTTTGGCACCACCCAGAGGAGACTTGGTCCTGTACCCAATGCTTAACTTATCTCCATTCCACTCAGCTACTCGCAATTTCTTGTGATATAGTGGGCGGAATATTATTATATGAGACAATTCAATGCAGACGTCTTTCCAAATTTGGCAGATCGACAGGTAATCGGTGAGTTACCACGATAGTTGCTATTAAACAACTCGACAACGTCCCATCGTCAACGCCTGCTATGAGAATTTCCCATAGCAGACGTCAACGAAATGACGTCATCGAGCTATCGATCAACTACCCTGGTTATCGCCTGGTACCTTATAGCACGATGCTAGGAGGCGAACCGGAAGAATCGATGAGCTACCTCTCCCCAAAGACATAAGCCTTGACATAACGCGTATAAAGTCACGGCTCATGTCCAACCCTTTGAACCATGGTTTGTTCGACACCTGACGAGCAATGGAGGAAAATTCGTTAAAGGCGATTTGTCGATCAAAAATATCGCCTTCCATAGCCAGCGAGTCCGCTTTCTCATTACCCGGAATTGAACAATGAGAGGGAACCCAAACTAAGGTGATAGTGTAGGAGCAGTTAAATAAAGCACTCAGTTTAGATCGTATTTCAGGCAGAAAATACGAGGAGTGCTTCATCGGCCTCATTGAACGAATAGCCTCCAATGAGCTAAGACTATCCGTAAAAATGAAATAATGGTCATACTGCGTAAAATATAGCTGCGAGTTCCGCAACATATACGGAGCATGGTTTCTGCAGTTTATAGGAGGCGCTATGAAATGCATTAAATACACCAAATCCAGTGGAAGCATTTATGGTTGACTCCTCTGTGAAAAAAAAAGTAAGAGGTTGTATCCAAGACTCGACCGTCGATTTGACGTAGGATTACGTGTTCGGTATCAATATTTGGCGACTATGTTAGGGAAACCACTTATTGCAGGCAAACGGTGATAATTTTGATAACCATTTCAACAGTTGGACATTTGTGTAATTTTCAATAGTAACCTGTTGAAAATTGAGGAAGTATTGAATTTAGCAGCTTTGAAGAAAAACTACCTATCAATTGGCTTGTTGAGAATTAAAATCCATCCGCTATTGACAGAGTTATAAGTGGTCAACACCTGACCACTTTTGGTAACACGGTCGATTTTGTTTTTTTTTTTAATTGCATCCCCAATATGTTGCCAAAAGACGTAATCCTATGTCAAAATGTAAACTTTGCGGGAGACGATGTCATAACACTCAAAAGCAATTTTGTGAAATATGAAGTGAAACAAATCCTCGTTCTGCATGATGATTTTGTTTGATTGTATTTATTTGTAAAACAGGCAAACAGGCAAAAACTCACAAACAGGCTGCTTTTTCATGGTATATAGAGTGCTAATTCAATAATCAATTAATTACCTCAACATTATGCCTCTAATTTTGGCTCATACATAAATTCAGCAATCAACTAAATTTTCAAAAGCAACCAAAAATATTCAATAGTACCGTCCCAATGACGGGTTCATCTGGATAAAATTGATAAATAGCAGATTTTTAGCGATGGGCCCAATCTTAGATCCATAGGCCAACATTAGAGCCAATTCCCTTACAAAAAATTCTATAATCCATATTAAATTTCCTATGTAAGCGCCGATCGAAACAAACATTTTGACGCCACTACAAGGTTGATTGAGTAAAAAACGAATCGTGCAAAGCGGAATGAAAGCTGAGGGAAAAACGGATTAATCATTTTGTCAAGCTTCTGCTTTCATGTTCCATCAGATGTCACTGCTGTTGTTGGCGGTGGCATCGATCGGAAACTACACATAATTTGTTTTCCAATAACTGTTCACAGAGAACAGTGCAGTGCAAAACATGTCTGGTACCTCTATATATACATTTAGATTAACAACTGAAGTCCCTCCTTCTTTACACATTCTGCACTCAAAATAGCTCACCCCTCTCAGGATTTCCTTCCGAATTGTATGAATGGGGAGGGGCAGAAAGTAGCGTTTGAGCAGAATATGTAAAAAAGGAGGGACTTAGAATGTTAATCTAAATGCGGTACCAGACATGTTTTGTACTGTCAGATAGGGTTCACTACCCCATTTCCGGCTTATTAAGCACAACCCGCACTTAGTCTTTCTTAATCTAGCGCAGTTTAGCATCAAACGGAATGTTATTATTACTGATGGCTTCCAAATTTATTTACCTTTATGTACGTACTGTAAAATTTGATATAGAGAAACAAATTGTTTAGATATTGTTATAAGTCTAACACTGCTTCTTGACGCCAAACTCGGCCTACGGATTCTAAACTCGACCTTACGCATTGAAACCGCCAATGAATTCACTTCGACCTATCGGATAAAGAAAAAAAAATTGATTCGGTCGGAGAACTTCTTTTGTTTGTGGGAATTATGGGTGCAAACCTTCATATCACGCGTTTTCACTGACTTTATTCGGTAGCTTATTAACTAAATTATCGTACAAAACGCCTAATTGACTTGTTAACTCTAAAATCATGGATTTACTTGAAGTTTTCTGCTCGATAGGCCCAAAATCAGCTATTAGACCGAAGTAGTTCTCTACCCTACTATATTTTGTAATCTATGAAAGGAAATCACAAATTGGGTGTCATAAAAGCATGGCAATTGAGAGATTGAGCTCGTGAGAGCTAATTTTCTCACAAATTTGAATATTTTTTGGCTTTCTGAGGATTGGTAGTAAAGCAGGTAAAACTGTATGAAGAAAAATCATTTATATTAAACAGTATTTTGTCCCTGACTAATAAATTTAAATTGTCGTTAACTTTTTTACCTGGATATGCACCTAAAGCGAATTATTTCCACTTCTTTCAAATTCTACATGTGGATTTTTACCAGCGGAACAGCTCCGTCTCTGGAAATGGCCGGACGATATGATTAATCTCATCAATACAATCAGGCCTACAATTCCACACCTTCTATAGACAGGTTGAGCTGGTTGCGGGAACTGATGACCTTGACAAATGTCCAAATAATACTCTTTAACAATTTTGTGCTGGTCCTGAAAAGGACCGTTTAATCGTGATGGTTGAGTAATGCTGAGCTATTAGGGTGTTCAGCACGGATGAGGCTGGCGATCTGTTTATTGTTTGGAGCAAGGTTGACATGCTTGGCATAGATGACCCACAGCTACTCACGAGGAAACTGATTTCGATCCAGCGGCTTCTTCTTCCTTCTATGGGTGCTCATATGGGCTCTGCAGCTCACTGCTTGCAGGCTGCCTTTCGTGGGGTACGCCACACGCTAATCACTGCTGCTGCTGCTGACGTTGACGACCGGACACCACCACACACGGTGATTGAATGAGCACCGTTCAGTGAGACAGGATCGAATTCGATTTTTAAATCTGTG